AATCTTAAGGACTATTAGTATCACAAAAAAAGGTTAGAGACGAAAGATGATGATTTCGCAAACCTCAGGGACCATTTGTGATACAAAGCCTTTTATGAATTACAATTTTCTTTTGAACTCTTTGCAACTCTTTTGCACTCCAATATGTCAAGCCTGAAGAGTCATTGCTTAAATTATTGATGAGAATTTTAATTTCCCTCTTTGCAATAGAATATGTTGCAAAAAGTAATATTTTCTCTTAACCTAGTTTTTAAGGGATTCACATTTTTGTAATATACGGACTTTATAAGTAATTTATATCATTCTACTAGACCCTCTGTTGTCCATTGAGGAATTTCCCTTTATGAATACTTGCCTGGCTTTGTTATGCAATGGGAAGAAATGGGTCTCTAAAATAACTGATAATTCCTACGGCTTATTATGTTTTATTGGCTTGAAGAGCTGGAGCTTGGAGAAGGTGAAGACCTAGTTCCTAAAATATCCGGCTCCAATTAAGGCGTCGATTATGTTGTTAAGTTATTGGGCTAAGGCGATCAGAGATGGCAGCAGGCAGGGGACGGACCTAGGAATCTTATCTCATAGAGTCATAGTGTAAAAGTTCAATTTTTTTTAAAAAAGGTTTGTGGGGGTTGAGATTGGGGATTTAGGTATGAGGGTTTAGGAATAGGGGTTTTGGAGTTCTGAAGTCGGGATGAGGGGTCAGTTAAATTTGTTCTAATTTTGTTTTTAAAAGACCTGGACCAAAACAACGTTGTTTTGGCCAGGTCTTTTTATAAAATAAAAAATAAAAAATTGCTAGGGTTGCTCCAAAACAACGTCGTTTGGCCAACGTAAAAAAAAAATTAAACGCTGGGCCAAAATGATGCTGTTTTGACTAGCGTGTTTTAAAAACAAAAAAACAAAAAAACAAACAAAAACGTTGTGCACCTTCTTCTTCCTCAGATCTGCAAGCTTCTCCTTCAGCATTCATGGGGTCACACAGCCATTAAAGGGGACCTTCTAGCTTGTTTTCATGGAGTCCATAGGGTCGTTTGACCCCTGTTGAGGCCCAAAATATTCACGGTTCGGCCCAAATAAATTATTGGCCCAATGCGATGTTTTACCAAGAAGAAACCCAATTTGGGCATGCGAAAGTTCATCATATGCGCTTGCACACATGCCACGCCAAACGACACGCCACGCTAAGCAAGGAATTATCATTCCGCACCTAATCACGCCACAAGCTTAAGTGGGCCCCAAGCCACTCAAATACCCGGGGCTTGCTTGAGTGGGTTGTGGTATGGATGGTAATAAATTGTCATGAGGCCCATTGATGGACCAAGAAGTGGAGGTTCCGGGTTACTTGGGAGCCTCGGAACCCAAGCCCATTTCTTAGGCCCAAACATGTGGGTGAGCACAAAAGAGAAAGTAGCCCAACCAAAATAGCCCATTACTCCAACCAAAATAGCCCATCACTTCAACCAAACTAGCCCAATACTTGATGAAGTTAGCCCATGTACTTGATAAACCAACTTATTGTCATAGAAGGCCCAAGCAACCCAAAAAAATATATCTGAAAATCTTCAGCACCTAGCTGAAAACAAAAGCCACGTTAAAAGCCAAAATATCCATGTGTGAAAGTTGCTGGAAAGCTCCAACACGTGGGAGAAACAAGTTTCAAGCAAAAACTTCCAAATGACCAAGGGATATTGGAGCGCAGATCACCATTTGAACCAGCATGCATACCCATTCCTTCCCTCATCAGACCTAGCCTTGGAAAAGGAGAGAAAAGAAGGAAGAAAGATGGCTAAAAATAGAAGTCTGAAACAGCCGCAGGAAAGGGGGCTTTGAGCTCCCAAAAATCCCTGATTTTATGCAAATGGGTAGAGTGGATTTCACCAAAAAGGGATGATTGAAGAGATGAAGGGAGAAAGGAAGGAAAAGCTTAGCCAAAATGGGTAGAAGCCATTAGGTTTTCTTGGAAAATATCAGCTTCCAGCGGCTATAAATTAGGGCCTCTTCTACCCAACAAAAATCATCCACAACTAGAAAGCAAGCTTCCTCTCATACTTGCAAAAACCAGCAATTTCGTGCACTGTTCATCTTCCTCCATTTTCTTCTTCTGACAAGCTGCCAGAAGAACATAGTTCTTCCTTTTCTCTTCCTAGCCACATATGCTTGAAAACCTCTTCTTCCTCACCTTAAACACTCCCTTTTCTCCCTAGGAAGCCATATTTCCTTTTTGGTGCTCAACTCATGTTAATTTTGCTCCCATGCCACAAGCCCCTCATGCCAAACTCAAAAGTTTATCTGTAAGCATGAAGAAATTACCTGTAAGCTGCCATTATTTTGGTTGGTGAAGATAACCAAAATACTTCCTAAGGCTCTACTGCCTTTTCGAGGTATTTTGGGGCTTAATTTTCAAACTCAGGCTCAAGGGGCAATTTCTTCCATTTTGCCCTTTACGGCAGTCAGGCCCGTAGTAGCTGCCGGAAGAAAAAAAGCCCCTACAACCCCACTGTGGGTCCGTCCCTGGCAACAAGGGAGGTGGGGGTAAACCCTAAGCTCCAACCCCAAATCCCACCAATCATAGGATATGTGAATAATGCAACGAAGCAACAAGATATCAAGAGTCACTATCCTCTCAACAAGTTGAAGGCCTCAAAAATGGTACATGGGGAGAGAGGAGAGACAAAGGAGGAGAGAGAGAGAGAGAGAGAGAGAGAGAGAGAGTCACTTCTTTTCCTTTATTTTTTTTAAATTTTTTATAATATAAAAAAATCAAATAGTAAGTGAAGTGGATGGCATGTGACTTAGACAGAAAAATGGATGAAATTCGAAAAAATTAACAACAAGGGCTAAATTGGTGATTTTAATTAATTCAGGGGCTAGGCTTATTTTTTAGTTCATGGGGTTAATTTCTACAATGGTCATAGTTCAGGGGGTAAAACGGCTGAAAATCATAACATAAAAATGGACACAATTTTCTAAATTGGCCAATTTAATTAATTCGGATGTTAAATTGGTTGACTTTTTAATTCAGGGATTAAGTTCAATTGGAGTCCTAGTTCAGAGGGGTATACAACAATTTACTTCTTTTTTTTCTTTTTGTGGTCATAAAAGAGAGCTTATGATAGAAGACATGGGGAGGATGAAAGGGGTGTTGCTTAAACCCAATTTAAAATAAAATAAAATAGAGCTCATTAGGGGAAAGTGATATGCTACACAAGGTGAGTTCTAAATCTAGTATAATTATGCTGATGTGAAATAATTAACTTCGTTAGATTAATTAACTCCTACATATGTGCATATTTTTCACAAATAATACATATTTTTCAAATATTTTGCAATAATGCACGAAAGTTCACATATTTTACTCGTATTTTCACCTACTATTGATAAAAAGACCATAAATAATAAAAATTGGATAAATAATTTTTATAATGAATATAATGGCGGAATCTTTTATTTGAAAAAAATTATGAGTAATACACATACGTATTGTGTATTGTATATGTATTATGACGGTACCATGTTTTGTCAACTATGGACTTCAAGAATGCATTGGTTGAGACAAGCATGGTATTCTGGAACATAGTGGGTAAATAAATAAGAGTAATTCAATTTTCTTTTATTTTTTGGCGGTGGGTGGAAAAAGCCCGTGATCTTCAGTGAAAAGTTTGGAACTGGCAATAAGGGTATTTCATTTTATTAGTCATTAAACTTAGACCTAATTTACATTTGAGTCCCTTAATTTCCAAAATCGTTTTCGTGGTCCTTCAACTTTTGTTTCATTAGAAAAAATGGTCATACCGTCAATTTTGTTAACTTTTTCTGTTAAATGCAAGGGTAAAATGGTATTTTTGTATTATTTTTAATTTCCAATTTCTGAATATTCCTTTTACCCAAAAAATAAAAATAAAAATTAGAAACTAAAAATTTAAGGGTAAATTACTCAAATGGTCCTCAAACTTATACATTATTTACATTTTGGTCCCTCAATTAAATTATTCGTTCAAATGGTCCATCAACTCTATATTATTCGCTCCAGTGGTCTTACCATTTAATTTTCTGTTAGATTTAACCTAATTTTAGGATAAATAATGACCAATTTGCTCTCATTTTAACATAAATATTGACAGAATGTAATGATATAACCAATTGAGCGAATAATATAGAGTTGATGGACCATTTGAACTAATAATTTAATTGAGAGACCAAAATGTAAATTAAGTATAAATTTAAGGACTATTTGAGTAATTTACCCAAAATTTAAAAGTCTTATTCCTATTCTTAATCAAACTAAAAATTAAAAATTAGTTCTTCTTCCTAAGAACTTGATTTTTTTAATTTAAATATTTTATTCATATTTTAATGAATTTAAAATTTAAAATTATAAAAATACCATTTTACGCCTGTATTTAACATAAAAGTTAACAAAATTGACGACAGGACCATTTGTCATAACAAAATTGAAGTTCAAGGACCACAGAAACGATTTTGAAAATTAAGAGACTCAAATGCAAATTGAGTCTAAATTCAAGGACTAATAAAACAAATAACTCCTTGCAATAATATCACTTGAGAATATCGACAAATGAGTTCAACAATTCGATTTTGTGAATTGCAGATATTTAATGAAAAGTGAAGAAGACAAACTGTTTGTATAATGGTACCATTTTTATTTCAGACCCCGATCACAATTAATTAGACATGAAAATAAAGAACTGAGAATATGATATCATAAAATTTAATAAAATAAGAATTCATTGTTTATTTGTAGATGAACAAGAGAATACAGAAGTAACGCATTTTGTTACTGAGAGGATTTTATCTCAAACTCGTAACACAATACATCGAAACTTGTAAAAGGATATTGGGAAAAACCAAAAACAAAAACAAAATAGAAACAGCTGATCTATGGCATGAAGGCTTTTTCTCTTTTCCTTTTCTGCTCAACACAATGCCAGGTGAGACCCAGAAATATTTGTGACAATAATAAAAATATTGGTTACCTAAGCCTAATCCTTGTACTTCATTTGGGACATGACAAAACCGGGCATCTCAAATGAGGCTGAGAACTTTTCAACATCAGCCTTGAGTTCTTCAATGTCCTCGTTGTTCACCAAACCCTTGTTGAAGTCCTTCAGTAGTTTCCCATGCTCCTTCTGGATTTTCAAGGTGAGACTTACAGCCCTGTGAAGGAACTCCCCGATCTTCTCGAAGTCCTTCTCAACCAAACCTCTTGAAGTCATGGCCGGAGCACCTGTTTTTAAACATCCATGGTCAATTAATAGATTGTTGAATACAGCACTACCATGGTCAATAAGTAAACAGTGATACTTCATTCTATGCAGAACTCTAATTTCTATCAAATACATTATAATTCTTATCCACAATGGAAAAGCCAATTCGTATAGCAGTTCTTACCAATTCTTACTCCTCCAGGAGACAAGGCACTGCTGTCACCAAAAACAGCATTCTTGTTCACGGTAATGTTGCATAGGTCACAAAGCTTCTCAACCTTATTGCCTGAAGAACATCATCAAGGAGTTAGAATTGTATCACAAGGAAAACAAAAACAACAAAAACATCTGTGTGATCATCATGTTTATAGATGGAAAAAGTTCAACACTTTACCAGTCAACCCAAGAGGCCTGAGATCCCACAGAACAAGGTGGTTCTCTGTTCCTCCTGTGACAAGGTTGTAATCCTTGCTTATCAGGTAGTTTCCAAGGGCAACAGCATTGGCCTTGACTTGTTTAGCATAGGCCTTGAACCCTGGTGACATGGCCTGCTTAAGAGCAACAGCTAGGGCACCAATCTGGTGATTATGAGGACCACCCTGTAGGGAGGGGAAAACAGCAAAGTTGATCTTGTCTTCAAAGTCGTAGACTGCATCCTCGGGTTGGCCCTTCTTGGGTGGTTTAGGTCCCTTCCTGTAGAAGATCATACCAGCCCTAGGACCCCTCAAGCTCTTGTGGGTTGTGGTTGTGACAATGTCACAGTACTCAAAGGGATTTGCAGCTTCCTGTATCCAAATAAAGAGGAAAATAAAAACAGAGTAAGAAGAGGCAATCTATTAAGAGGACAGCAATGCCAGCAATTCAATACTCCAAACAAGGTTGCACCCTTTAGGTGAAAAGCACAAAAATAACCTCAATGCAATTTAGAGTTGAAAATGAAATTCAACCCTCCTATAGGTCTTATTTTGAACCATATATGAGAATTTATTTTATTATTAAAAATGAGAAAAAAGAAAAACAGATATAAGAAAACGACACAAGTCATAATCCAGTACTAGCCCTGCCATAGCATATCCGTAAATTTTGAAAACAAGCAAAACCAAAACTAAACGTGCAGTGCAGATCTACTTCATATTTAATTAACTAAAAGAAAATTAGTTTTCCATTTTCATCCCCTCAAGAACACATTTTATAATCTACATCCATTCCTATTTGCATCTTAGTGATGGCTCAATTGCTGATCCGAAACTGCATGACGTTGCATGTGAATAATGATAGGATCAAATTCTCAAAGCAAAAAACATAACTGTGCCCTTGCACTAAAAATACAATGAAACTTTATAAACTATAAATAAAAAAAGAAGAAAAAGAATTTCAAATTTTCAAAGATCAAGATCTACACAGAATCACAAATACATAGTTAAAGCATTGAGAAGTACATCAAAAATATCACAAGAACATTTAGAGTGGATCTTCTGAACAAATGGGAGTGAATATAGATCATAACCGGAAGTAAAAACCAGATCTGCTAAACCAAATCAAGTAAACTACACAAACCCAATTCATAGAACATAAAAATTAGGCAAAACCCATCAGATCTAACAACCCGCAAAGCAAATCCAATCAAAAAAAAGATCCAAATCCCACCAACAAACAACACAAAAGGCACATACCTGAGCAGCAACAAGGCCACTAATGTGAGCCATGTCACAGAGCAAAAGCGCACCACACTTATCCGCAACAGATCGAAACCTTGCATAATCCCAGTCTCTCGGGTACGCACTCCCACCGCAAATGATCAACCTGGGCCTGAAATCCAAGGCCTTCTCCTCCAACTTGTCATAATCAATGAACCCAGTTGTGGAATTGACCTTGTAAGGCAGACTCTCAAAGTAAATCGAGGTTGCGGAGATCTTCTTCCCGCCAGAAGTGTAGTAGCCATGGGTGAGGTGGCCGCCGGAGGGAAGGTCCAATCCCATGATGCGGTCATGGGGTTGGAGCACCGCCGTGTAGGCGGCGAAGTTGGCCGGAGAACCGGAGTATGGCTGCACGTTGACGCCCCATTTGGCGGCGTCGAGGTGGAAGGCCTGGAGGGCTCGTGAGCGGCAGAGGTTCTCGATCTCGTCGATGAACTCGTTGCCGCCATAGTAGCGATTGCCGGGCATGCCCTCAGAGTACTTGTTGGTTAAGGCACTGCCCAGAGCCTCTATGACAGCGAAGGAGGTGAAGTTTTCGGAGGCAATGAGCTCGATCCCTCGGCATTGGCGGCGTTTCTCCTTCTCGATGAGATCGTGGATCTCTGGGTCCACGGTCAACAGGGGAGAGTTGCCCCAGTCGTTCACTGGTTCCATTGGCAGAGATCGGAGAAGATTAAGAAGATGGTGATGAAAATGGAGGAAGAGGATAGAGAAGGGTGGTGTGGTGTGGTGGTGGTGGCAAACTGACAACTGAGGTTTATAGGAGTGGAATATTATGAAATTACCATTTTGGCCTTTTGGTGATTTTTCTGTGGTTGGTGTCAGATGTGGATTGTAGAATGGCTGGATCAGTTTGCATTTTTTGTTTGTTTGTTTTTTTTGTTACTTTTACTATATATGCACACAATTTGAGGCTGAGTTACTTTTGTTCAAATAGTCCCTAAACTTATACACAAATTACATTTTGATCCTTTAATAAAATTATTCATTCAAATGAAACACATATTCTATATTATTCGGAAAATTAGTCCCATAATTACATTTTCTTTGAGTTTTAGTCATGTGAACAACACGTGAGGGGTACAAAAAGAGTATATGCGTCTTTTTCATAGCTCATTTAAAAAATACTTAAAATTCATAATATAAAATGATAAAATAATATTCTCTAAAAAATAATTTAAAATAACATAAAAATAAAAAAAAGATCTTAAGAAAAGAAACCTACTCAGCTCTCTCTCTCTCTCTCTCTCTCTCTCTCTCTCTCTCTCTCTCTCTCTCTCTCCGCCTAAAACACAACCTAGTTTTGGGTTAGACAACGAAGGCGACAGCTCCATTTAGGGTGGCTTTTCTCTTGCTTTTGCTGCTATGAGACCGGACTAATGAATGATTGTGGTGAGGTAGGTTTCATCGAGAAAGAATCGGTTTTTAAGAGACTATGGATGGCTTGAGCATAGTTTTAAAGAAGGAGAGAGAGAGAGATGGCAATGAAGGTTTCAATTTGGATCTCTTCCTCTATGCACTTAGGGTTTCAATTTGAGAAAAATGAGGAAGAAGTTAGAGAAAAATAGACAATTTTACTTCTGCATTTGACGGCAACATTGACAAAATGCAACAGTGTGACTAATTCCTCGAAATAATAAGGAGCATGCGGACCATTTGAACAAGTAATTTAGTTAAGGGACCAAAATGCAAATCTTTTATAAATTTAGGGACCATTTGAGTTAATAAACCCATTTTTGTAATTGTCTTTCTCACCAAATCTTTTTCTTTTTTCTAAACAAAGGCTCAAAATTAAAAGCAGAATATAACTTAGAGAATGAGTGAATTTATACTTATGTGAGGATAAATAATGACCAAATGAAGTTAAAGCATCAACCATGAAATTAACTTTTGATAAAGCATTTGGTAACAAAAAAAAATTCTTTGAACACATAGTGAGTTGTTGATGTCTAAAAAATGATGATCACTTCACCAAAAAAGAAAGGATGATCATTAATGGACCCAACTTAGAGATAATCAGCCTTCGGTTGAGTGGGCCCTACGTCATGTATGAAGGATATTATGTGGATCTACAAAGAGAGTAGAAAAATAGTGAAACTTTAAGCATTGGTGTGGTAGCAACCGCTTTCCGATACTTAAGTTAGCTTAATTATGGAGAATATAAGTAATTGGGCAAAGTAAGGATTAGTGCCAAGTTACTATTACCTAGTGCATTGGAACAAAAGCCATATTTATAAACAATTGGGGTAGAGCACCTTGTGTTGTAGTTTTAATGTGTGACTGTGGGCATCGTTCAAAGGACCACCACATATTCTGACATGAAAATGGCATGACAAGACATGAAAGTGGCACGATAATGTGCCTTTGTTGAGCCGAATCAGCAGTGAGGTTGCGGAAGGCTCACCCCTACCGATGGTAGTTATGATTTCTAGCAACTGGGCTAGACCATGTGGTTTTCTACTTAGTGGGTCATTCATTTTACATGTCTAGGTGAGAGAGTATGGTCAGATATAGTATAAACATAAGTGAATATCCACAAAAGAAGCAACTAACTGATGAATATTTCTAATTATGATATGGGATCGCCAAGGAATGTCACATTGCTTTAGATCTATATGTAAATTGTACATGTATACATAAATGTAGTTTTATAATTGGTTTGTAAATTTTTTTTATAAACAAGATATATAGTCAAACTCACTAGAAATAATATATATAGGCTTATTTATATCAATGCTCCTGATTGAAACTATGATTGCAAGTTAAAGTGATCCACATTGCCCCCTTGAGTGATGTTTTGCGTCTCACTTTACTCCTCAACAATAAGTCTATCAAATAATCTATTAAAATGTTGACATGGCACGAATAGGACCCACATAAGTGCCATGTGTACAAAACATAATATTTCTTTAGAATATAATTTAATTGTTGTTGAGGCCCAAAAAAGTCACGGGAAGCCCAAAGACATTTAAAGCCCAATATAACACATAATGTCGATCATGCGTTAATCCAAGCTGTATTTTGGGATTTAATTCATTAAATAAATATAGAAATAGCGTACATGCCATGCCAAACTAATAATACATTTTTCCCATGCCGATCACCTATCAAGCTCATATGAACTCAAGTCATGTGGTTTACGGGGCTTGCATGAGGGATTGTGGTATGGAAGGTTACGGAGGTTCACAATGCCCAAGGAAGCTCTTGGATAATGGAGACTTTGGGCTAGCTACTTGGGAGCACCAAAGTCCAAGCTCATTACTTAGAGTTCTCCAATGTGGGTGAGTAAATGAGATATTTTTTCAAGCACTTCCTTTTACCCATAGGAAATAGTCATTTTCCAAATGCCTAGCTTTACCCGTTGGAAACAAGCCTTTTCCAGTACTTCCTATTACCCACTGGAAACAAGCCACTTCCAACACTTCCTTTTACCCATAGGAAATAGTCATTTTCCAATGCCTAGCTTTACCTGCTGGAAAATAACATGCCTCAGTGCTTCCTTTTAACCACTGGAAATAGGCTGGTTCCAGTACCTCTTTTTACCTATTGGAAATAAAGGAGAGTCTTCACCTTCTATAAGTTGGGAGGCATTACTCAGCCAAAGCAACCCATCTTGGTGGTTGCAAGCTTCTCAACAACCATGAAAACTCACCTTTCTTCAGCTACTGCAAGCATTCCAGCAGCTTCTAATTTTTCTTCAGCCAACACTCCCTCACTCGGCTGCTGAGCAGCCATCAACTCCCATAAAACATCACCTAGCTCCAAGATTTTCCTTCATTCCAAGCTTTAAACACCATAGCCTTCAAACCTCAAGCGTTTCCTTCCATCCTCCTTCTCTTGAAACTCTTAAATCCATAAAGCATCACCTATCTCCAAGCTTTTCCTTCCTTCCAAACTTTAAACACCATAGCCTTCAAACCTCAAGTTTTTCCTTCCATCCTCCTTCTCTTGAAACTCTTAAATCCCTATAGCCATAGCCACAAACAACAAATTATCAACACCAAACTCAAACATATCCAACACCAAGCCAAGCACATGCATTCTCATTTGCTAAACTTGTGGGTCTTTAGCTTCCACACTACAAGCTCTCATGCCAAGCTCATATAATCTCATATCAACATCAGCAAGTCATCTTCAACAATTCGTCGAGCTGCCGAAAACGTCAACACAAAACACGCAACCGTTGGAAGAAGAACAAAATACTCCCTCGCGACTTGCTTATCTCTCAGGATACTTTGGGCCTAGTTCTCGCTAACTCAGACAAAGGGGTAACGAAGTCTTCGTTCATCACTCTATGGCATCTAAGGATCAACAAGCTCATATGAGCCTTCGGACGAAAAAGACCCCAAAATTTGTTAAAAAAATAATAAAACATAATATTTTCTTAAGTCCATGAACCCTAATTTATGTTTCTCATTTTCTAACTTAAGCATCAAAGATTTAAGGCAAATGACCCACTAGTGTAGTGGTTTGGAGCATTTGCTCTCACATGAAAAGTTTTAGGTTCGAATCCTAGTATCCGTGTAGTGTGTGTAAGTTTAATATATTATGGCCCTTCTTAATAAGACAAGTTCTAAAAAAAAGAAAAAAACATCAAATGCTTTATGTTTTTATATCTCTAAATACTATTACTCATCTTTTTTTTTCTTTTTTTTTTCTTATTTATGGTCAAATGCCTTACAAGGCTAAATAGTCATTGACAAAATTTGGCTGGATGAGAATTATAGTTAGGTTTGACATCATAATTTTAAAAATGGCTTAAATGCTAAAATAGTCCATGTGTTTTATCTTGTTGGCCAATTTAGTCCATGTATTTTTAATTTGGTCAATTTAGTCCATGTGCACTGTTAGCCAATGTGGCCCATTCTGTTAAAATTGCCGTTAAATAAACATGATAATTCTTTTTTGTTCTTCTTCCTTTGAAAACCTATCATTTTTGTTGAAATTAATTTATAAAAATTGAATTAATTTTAAAACATATTAAAACTTCATTAGAACTAAAACATAGCATTAGAAAAAATATATTTATATATATAAAATAAAAAATAAAAAGGATGGGCGTGGGCTGCTTAGCGATGTGGTTGGGGGGAATAGGGCGATGACCGCATGGTGAAGATCCTATGGTCAGGAGTTAGGGATTGTTCTTGAGAGAGAGAGAGAGAGAGAGAGAGAGAGAGAGAGAGAGAGAGAGAGAGAGAGAGAGAAGGGGAGGGGTGGGTGGCTGTGGCTTGGAGAGTTGGGGTTTTCGCGTGTTGGTAAGTTGTTGCTTAGGAGAAAGGGTGTTGCAGTTGAGATGAAATGGTGTTGTCCTTTGTTTTTAATTGCCTTTAGCTTTTAAATCTTATTTTTATTTCATAATATTTATTTTATAGATTGAATTCAAATGTTTATTTTTTTTATTAATATTTTAACAGAAGTTTAACGGATTGAATTACATTAGCTAACGATGCAAAACACAGGGACCAAATTAGCCAAATTATAAACACATGGACTAAATTGACCAACGAACTAAAATATAGGGACCATTTTAGCATTTAAGCTTTTAAAAATAGGACACATAGTTAGTGACATTTGTAAACCATATAAATGTAGGATCTCATGAAATCAACAATTTTAACGACAGAGATCGTCTTTAGAGAGGCTTTCTTTTTAAGGAAAAAAAAATGTGTGCCGCCTATGTGTAGGACACTTGGTAGTTTGGTCCCACAATATGAAAAGCCGAGTCTTTTTTTTTAATTCTCTGTATGTCCTTCAAAACTCATCCTTAGAAACTAAAAATTAATTAAATTGAAAATGATTTGTCATTAAATTTAGCCCACCGTGTTTTTAAATATTGGACTGCCTAACATGTGAATAACACATATTGGGTGGTGTGGGAGTACGTGTGGCCGTTGGGCCCAACACGTGAAGCTTTGCTCTGATATCATGTAGAAATTGATTTTTTTTTTAATTCATTTGTATGATCATTATACAATATATATATATATATATATATATACCCCTTATATTGAGGGATCTCTCAAATAATTTTATTTGAGGGACACCCTTTAAGGTACCCTATGAATTTTTTTTCAACGATTCAAACCATCTATTTTTTAAGTCTATATTCATAGATCATCCTTGCAAAAAATTAGACAAATCAGAAACCGTTTCGACATCCAATTGTGTCCTACAAAATCAATGAACACAGTGCTTCAAGAAAGTACTAAAATTTCAATAACTCAATTGAATGATCAAATGATATCGGATTCAAGTGATTTTTTTTGTAAAGATGGTATTTAAATGTGTATCTACAAAATAGACGGTTTGAATTAGTGAAATACAATCCGAAGTGGGCCCTACAAGGGATGTCCCTCAAATAAGTTATTTGAGGGATCACTCAATGGAAGCTCTGTGTGTGTGTATATATATATATATATATAGGTTTGCAGAGAATAATCTACAGTTACAACAAGTTATTATTATAAACATAAATATAGAGTTATGGCCTAATAACAACGTAACTGACAACTGACCATTTCCTTATAGGGTCATTTACGAGTTCATACCCGATTTTGGGAACATTTATGGGTACATACACAACGTCGCAAAAAATTACAGATCGCCCCCTCCGTTAGCGATTCCGTCATGAAATTCGTTATGTGCCTACGTGGCGTCTAGCTGGACAATTTTTTAAGGGCATTTTCGGCAGATCAGGTCCCTGGTTTTCGCGCCAACACGTGGTTTAGTTTAATTCAAAAAAGAAAAACAAAAAACCCCCAAATCGTGTTCTATATCTAAGCCCCCACTCAAACCTAGCCCCCAAAATCGATAGAAGTGAATGCCCAGGTTCCAATTCGAAGAAGACAAAGACGACGATGTCGACGAGGTCGACAATGTCTACAAATCGAAGATGTGAAGTGGGCCATCCCATTTGTCACTGCGGCAATCAATGTCGTCTGACGACGTCATGGACTGACAACAACCTTGGGAGAAGATTTTGGGGCTGCGCCGATTATGGGGTCAGAAGAGGTTGTGCATTCTTTGAATGGTATGATCCACAGGTATGCGAAAGGTCCAAGATTGTGATATCTGGACAATTGAAACGATTGCGTAAGGAAGAAGAGGAAAACCGAAAATTGAAAAAAAAGGTTGGAGCTGCCTTGAAAGCACAAAGATTTCTATGAGCAACTGTTCTGGGTTCTTGGATTTTTTTTATTGTGTTGTTGGGAATGCTAGTAGTGGAATGGAAAGACTCTGGATCTTCCAAGAATGTGAAATTAGCACTTACATTTTAGGGTCTATATCTTAGAAGAGTTGGGTGATGTATTTTGTGGCCATTTGTGGGACATTCTGGAAAATCAAAGTGCTTTGTGTATGAAAGGTCTGTTTCTTGTAATTTCCCATGTGAAGTTGTATGAAAGATGTTTATGTATGAACAATTGTGAGGCAAATTGGAAATGCTGAATGTTTATGTATGCACAATTGTTAGGGAATTTCCAATTGAACAATTGCTTGAAGGCAAATTCCATTATATTTTGAGTTCAAAACACATGCATACATTTCCAACATTTGCATCTCAATTTTACAAAATGAACATGAGCACCTAATCTGGAATACAATAAAACAGCTACCAAAACCAGAAGTTGGTCCCTACTTGGAGTTCAAAATACCAGAAAGTAAACTTCAAAATGCCATATCACAAAACCAGACATAATACTAGTTCAAAATCAAATGGAATTTGCATAAACTAAGAACTAAGAACTAAGAGACTATTTTCTCTGTCTCTTGGATGCTCTCAATCCTATTGCAGCAGTTTCAGCTGCATTTGGCTGGGAAGCATTTAGTGCAGCGTTCTTTGCAACAGCAGCAGCCTTTGCCCTTACATATGCATTATTTCTCCTAACTCTTGCAGCTACTTTTGCTTCATCCTACAGACAAAATACACTCTCAACTTCAAACAATAAAACAATGAAATTGCTTTTCCATTTTAAGGAAGAAACAACATAACATTTCATCAACACAACCTAGCAATAAAAATAGGCACTCACAGCAGCAACTGCAGGGTCTTGGTTAGATATCTTTATTGGTCTTCCTTTACCTCTTGAAAGGGGTTTTTCCTTTTGAGGTAGATTCCGATGGTGGGTGGTTTTGTTATGGTCAGTTGAGCCACAAATACTACACCTCATTTGCATTCCTTGTCCTCCCAACCATTTTTTCCCACTCTTATCTATTCTCTCTTCAGCTCCTTTTATCCTCACCTTTCTAGGTCTTCCAGGTTGTCTAGTGTAGGCTGGGGGCTTTATTGCTGGCTGGTTGGTCTTCTCCCATAGCTGTGATCCATTAATTGGCATAATGAGATTGTTATAGAGGGCCATGTAACTGTCCTTGCTGTAGTATGAATGCACATAATCCTCCACAGCTTTACCTCCTTTGTAATGTATGGCAGCAATTCCATGAGCACAAGGAGTGCCTGACAAGTCCCACTTTCTGCAAGAACAAGTGTGATTATCCAAATCCACCACATATTGGTCACCTCTTCCTGCATCAACTTGATATTTAGGACCACCAGACCACTGCACAGTACAATTACATGCTTCTAGCTTTTTCTGTTGCACATGGTCAAAAATGTTCTTGCATATTTGATGAGGCCAACTGCTCATCTTGTCCCTCCTCCACTGGATCATTCTCATCAACAAGCACCTGATTATCTCTAGCATTGTGATAATTGGCTTGTCCCTTGTTGTCTTGATACTATTGTTGAAGCTTTCATACAAGTTATTCTGCAGCATATCACACTTAATATGTGTTCTGAAATGAGACTTACTCCATTGTGTTGGTGGCTTCTCAGCAAGCCACTCCCATGCATTGCTATCTAAGGTCTTCATTACTTCCATTTGATAGTTAAAACAAGGCACATTGGTAGCTCTAGCACATGTCCATAACTGATCCCTCAATACTTTACCTTTATACGTTTTGTTGAAGTTATCTCAAAGGTGCCTCACACAGAATCTTGTCTCAGCATTAGGCACAATGTCTTCAAAGGCACCAGGCAGTCTTTTTTGCTTGTTAGATATAAAGGCTCATCCATAGGAATTAACAATGTCCACATCCTTGGCCAACAGATCAATGAACCATGTCCATGACTCCCTTGTTTCCATCTCAACCACAGCATATGCTAGGACCCAAGTCTCGTTATTGGGATCAATCCCAACTCCTGTAAGCAACTGTCCACTATAAACCCCGTTTAGATGGCAGGCATCTAACCCAATAAAAGACCTACAGTTCATCTTAAACCCTTTCTTTAATGGTTCTAAACAAATGTACAAACGCTTGAAAACAGCTTCATCATCAACAAACTCACATTGCATCTTTGTTGTGGAGCCAGGGTTTTTGTCCTCCAGCTCATGGCAATAATCCCAAAGCATGGCATATTGCTCAGCAACTGATCCTTCAATCATTCGAAGTGCGTCTGCCTTTGCCCTGTAAGCTTTCATCCTAGATATACCTACTTTAAACTCAGAAGATGCTGCATTCACTATAGACTGTGGTGGCATGGTGGGATTTGACTGAATCCTAGGCAGGAACTTCTCTATCAACCATTTACTTGAAGCTTGTGTGTTTTGAAATACTCTGACACAATTGTGATTGGGATTATAGTATTTCACCACCAAGCTTCGATCTGTAGGGTTTTTCCAAGCCACATAAATCTGCCATGGACAGCTCACTGCTTTACAAACTGTCTTCAGCTTATACTTTTCATTCCTGGTGAAAGTGACCTCTTTCCCACTCAACAAGCAATATTCACGAATATCATTCCAGTATCAAAAACAGGATTTTGCTTGTCTGTTTCATGGTTGTAGTGTTTGAATTTTTTCTCCGTTGCAACTGTTTCATCATCTTCATATGAATGAACACTTCTTAACTCATCCTCCACTGCTTGATCCCCCTCTTTCAATCTGGTGTCTTCAAGATTTGTGTGGTGAAAATCCGTAGTCCGAGAAGGCTGCTCCCTATTTTGACCAGTCTGTGAAGGTTGGTCTTCATTTTGACCAGTCTGTGAAGGGTGATCCCTACTTGGGCCAGCTTGTGAAGGGTGGTCCCCACTTGGACCAGCATGTAAAGGTTGGTCCCCACTTGGACCTTCACCCTCATTAACAACACCACCCTCATTTACAGCACCACCTTCACCCTCATTTATCTCTTCATCTTCAAGAGGCTGAAAAGTATCTTCAACTAGGGAATGGTCTGCAATCCACTGTTGCAAAAATATGGTTTCCTCAGCTATCTCTTCCCCCCCCCCCCCCCCCCCCCCCCACTCACTGTCAACAAAAGTAGATGCATCTGATAAGGATGCATCACTATCTTCCCCATATGTTGCAGTTGCCATTGCCACACCTTTACCCTTTGAAGACCTTGTAGCCTTTGCCCTCTTTGGTGCCTCAGGTTCAGCCACATCTTTACCCTTTGAAGACCTTGTAGCCCTTACACTCTTTGGTGGCTCAGGGTCAGCCACTTCCTTATCCATACTACACCTTGCAGCCTTTCCCTTCTTTGCTGCCTCACCCACTGTTTTACCCTTTACATTCTTTGGTGCCTCAGGTTCTGAAAAATCCTCAACATCCTCCACTGGTTCTTGCTCCACTATCTTCAGTGTTTTATCCTTTGCAGTAGCCTTTACCCTTACATAAGGAACAAGAGGAATAGAATCAGCACATCCTATATCCTCAATCACGACTGACCTCTGTTTTTGGACCCTAGAACCTTCCACCATTTGTAGTTCCATCTCTTTGTGTTTTAAAAAGGTATAAGGGTCATCAGCCAACTGTGTCAAAAATATATCTATCTCCCTTACTCCTGGCACACATTCACATATTTTCAGAACATCTTCATCAGACATAAGCTTCTCTACAGAAGCAGAGTTGGGAAGCTCATAGTGATATAACACTATACCATCATAGCCTAACTCCTTAACCATCAGACCAATTTCAAACATAGACATTTGGTCCTTATCACAAAAATCAATGAAATCCAGAGTCCCATTTACATACCGATTGTCACATAAAGAACCCCCATGGTTCATTCGAATAGTAAACTTATCATCTTCACCTACAATGCCACATAACAGTCAAACCTATCAATACACAATTGTTCAATATTTAACTGGTGACTAAACAAGGACATAAACAAATGCAGAGGTTTTGGACCACTAAGTATTGTCTCCAATCAAAAGCAGTTTGGTTTGAAAAGAAAAAGTGCTTTTTTTTTTTATGCCTTTTCAACAACACAACTACGTTTACTATCAACCATGTACCACAAATATCACTATCAAGCACACTTCAAAGCAACTGAAAGGTTCAGACAAAATCAAACTGCACGCATCTTAAACCTTTGCGAAGAAACCAAAAGCAAGAAAATTTAAAAACTGCCTTCAACTTACAGTAACGAGGAGCACGACAACCACGAGGACGAATACCCCAGGGCATCTCGAATTACATCAACCCAGCCTTCTTTGCGCTTTCGATCGATGCAAAATAGGGATTAGGTTTCAATTTGTGCAATCGGTTTCGATTTTGGGGGGAAATCGATTTCGGTGATAGAAGTTAGGGACGATCTGGATGATTGGGTTTTTTTTTGTTTTTTTGAATTAGGTTATGCCACGTGTTGTTTTGGGCGCGAAACCCAGAGACGTGAGATGCCGAAAATGCCCTTAATAGATTTCCTGAATTACAGAAGGTCAGACGCCACGTAGGCACATAACGGATTTCATGACGGAATCGCTAACGGAGGGGACGATCTGTAATTTTTTGCGACGTTGTGTATGTACCCATAAATGTTCCCAAAATCGGGTATGAACTCGTAAATGACCCTATAGTTTAGGGGGTTTACTGTAGTTTGTCCTAGAATTAACTATTGTAACTTCCTAATACACATCATTAAACTCTCTTAACCTAATCTTGAGAAACGTATGTCTTAGTAGTTGGTGAGGGATATAGTTGTATTTCATATAACTTAATTAGTGATAATCCTTTATTAATAAATTGATTCATTGAGAAAGTAGAAAGAAGAAAATTATTTCGTCAAGGAAGGGACGAAATGATGTTGTCAACATGTTGTAGGAGTTGGTGGGTGTTAGGAGATATTGGTTTTATTATAGAAAAAAAAAAAAAAAAAAAAAAAAAAAAAAAAAAAAAAAGAAAAGAGAAGGTTTAGGGTTTTAGAGAAGAAGATGGAGGTTTTGTGGGTTGGTGATGGGCAACTTGGTCAATTCAACCAATACCAACCCCGGAGATGTGGACATTTTCCTTTCCGCAGCTTTTGTAGGGTGGGGGTGGGTGTGAGTGCACCTTCAAGTAATTATTAATTGTCAATGGTTTTTGAAATACAACAATCCAATTTGTTTATTCAAAGACGTGGTTTTTTTTTCCCAAAAAAAAAAAAAAAAAAAAAAAATAGTGGGCTGTTACCAACCACACACCAACCCCCCGGCTTAAGAGAATTTGGCAAGCTACAACTCCAGCAAGGCAGGAATTTTCATGGATAATATGAATAAATTAGTAGTTTAATTAACTATGTTTTGCTTTGTCCCTAATTAACAATGGAAGTTTATTTTAGACAATCATGTGTATAGATTTCAACTCTTAAAGAATTTTAAAAAAATAACTAATAAGAAAACGAACACTGTCTAATTTATGTAATGTCCACTCACTGCTCATTATAGCTATAACATTTGTATTTTGATTTGGAAGCAACACCTCACATGCTCTGTAAATTGACCTTTTTGCCTGAGAATGATACACTAGTTTGCTTAGCAAAGCAATTTATGCAAAGAAAAGAAACATGCACCTCATTAACAGGGTTCATTTTACTTGTTTAGTTTTCCGGGGTCCTACTTTATTAACTGGTTGAGTGATGTTCCTTTCCACACAAAGGTAGGGTTGCCCAAAATGTGATGTCATTTTGCATGTAGACTGCTAATTAAGGAAGTAAAAAACCCTTTATTTTCACGTTTTAAATGTTGCCTCCCTTGTTGTAGAATAGACGAAATACGAGAGCTGCCAATAATATGATAGCAGAATTGTATTTACTCCAATATATATGATGAAATAGCTGAGAACTTTATAGCTCGAAAACCACACGCTTAAGATTCTCTATTTTCTTCTTTGATTTGATGCAAATTTGATCATTTTTCTACATTCAAAAGCTAGTTTGAAAACCACACACTTAAGATTCTCTATTTTTCTTCTTTGATTTGATGCATATTTGATCATTTTTCTACATTCAAAAGCTTTCAATTGTTCACTAAGATTCTTTACGGATGATCTCCAGTACATTCTATAGTGCCTATATTTAGGGCTAGTTTGGTGCTTAAGATGAGATTGGATAAGTCACTAAATTAAGGTATGTTGAAGGAGGAAATGAAGGTAGAAGTGAATGACTTCCCACGTTAGGGGATTAGTTATAAGTTTTCTTCATAAGTATTTCATCTTCTACTTTCAACTTGGTTATAAAAAAAAATAAAAAATAAAAAATCACTTCTTCCTTAATTATACTTTAAATATAAAGAGTATCCAATCCAATACTAATGATTGCATAATAAATTTGATTGCGTAACTTGTGAATAACATAACAATTGGAAGGTAAGTCACCTTCCACGATTTCATGCAAATTTATTGCAATTTTCTTATCTTTCAAAGAAAACCTCATCACTCTATATCATCACCTCCCTCTGCATTAAATGAACCCAATTGCCTCTTCATCTTGTAATACGTGGGGCATTTCGCAACATCTATCTTATTATCATACACGATAAAATATTGCTTATTTTTAGAGAAAGTCTCTTATACAAGAAATATATATATATATAATGACCAAGCCTACTCAAGATGTTGCTAAGGGTGATGACGTCATCAACGTAAATTTTTTTTTAAATTCATAAATTTTTGTATTTATTTTATACATACCTAGCAATTTTTTTATTTATTAATCTCATACATATAAATTAAATTAATCTCATATTAATAGTAATTACTCTTGGGTTGTCAATGTCATGGCAATGGGTAGAAACAGGGGCGGAGCCACACTGGGACCAGTGTGGTCCCGGGCCCCCACTCAAGTTTTTTTATATTTTAAAAGTAATATATTGTTATGTATTTGTATATGTATATTATTTCAAATACTTTATGTTTTGATATGTACCCACATGTATTGTGGCGGACTTATTAAGGCACAAGGAGGTAGTTCAAATTGCGCCCTTGCTTAGCTAGTGGTGATGCACTCCAGGTGTACAAATTATCTTATTTCCATTTTCAACATTTAAGTAAATGTCTTTGTCCCTTGACTTTAATTTATTTTTATATTACTCCATTTACTTAAGTTTACAATGTAAATAAGGAAGTACCCCCTATTTGAATTCAAATAAAAATACTAGAAAATCAAATTCTCACCAAATCAAAATATGAAAAATCGGTTTTAGTGTAAAATACGATTTAGGCTAAAAATGATGGCTCATTAAGTCAATATATACTTCATACTAAAATCCCATAAAATCAAGTTTTCTTATTTCATGTGTAAGGAATAAAAGCCGCCAAAAATTATCTTGAGAAAATGATTATTCCGAAAAACCATTTTTCATACTTAGTCAATATTTTTTCATGTATGATATGAATGCATAAAGGGGCCTGAGGTTGTTTTTAATTTGGGAAATTTTGATTTTTTTTTCCTTTCTATCGGATTTAATGGGGAAAAAGCTTTAAAGATATTTGCTAAATCGCTACTTTTTGTCTATCTCTTGCAATTTTTCTTGATTAGAATGTATTTGTCTATTCCTTTGTCGAGAACAATTATGATTGCAACCAATAAGCGATATAATTCTTGACATATGTGATATATATATACACTATTTTTTGTATGTATTATGAGTTCGAATTTTTGATTATATATAATTTGTAAGAGACCCCCACACACATAAAATCTTGGCTTCGCCACTGGGTAGAAAAGCAAAATAAAAAAGGGCAGGGCAATCACTATTTACATGATTAGTGTCTACCTTTTGTCATGACACTATGAGTGGAAGTGCTCTTATGGTAATAGCATCTCCAACAACTTTAGAATGCTAAAATAGGTGAGCCACATCATCAAAATCCTCTACAACAACCTTGTCAAACTAGTCTTCAAAGCTACAACATGTTTCTCTCTCTTCAAGATTGGTAAGTTGACCTTGGCTCTTCAAAACATTTCATTTTACTTTGAAAAGATAAAACTTACCTTGAAAATGTTATAACATGTATTTCTTCTTATCAAACAATAAATACATAAAAAAAATTTCACATGTTTTTATATTTCATTATTTTTCATAATATTACATTAATTAAATTGAAAAAATCTCGACACTCCATAAAAATTTCGTGAAGAGAGCATATTGACGAGCACACACATGGCCACATGAGCAAGGGCAATACATACAGCAACGGCACTCTCTCTCTTTCTGATAAACCATGATTTCGTGACCGCCAGAACCCCACCATGCAGCACATGCTCATACGCCTGCACACCTTAACAAATCTGTCTCAGAGTGGTCCCCACATCCATCCCCCCCCGACAGTCTCACGATCGACCTCACAAAGTAAGGCTGTTTCATAAATACAAAAAACAGAAAAAGAAAAAAGAAAAATAGCCCCCCTTTCCTTTATATAATTAACTACTAGAAAACATGCACACACGATCCCAACAGTATCTTATTTCTTAAATCGTTTAATTATATATGTAAATTTGAGGGAGAAACATGATCAAGTATGCATTATTTTGCTCACCCAAATCTAATTTAAGAATTAAATAGTGATTTTTTTTTAAATTTCTCAGATTAATTATGCTTTTTTAAAATTTATTTTATTTTAGAGTGTTTTGGGTCTTCCTTCCTTCCCTCTCAAGTCTCAACTCAACCACCGACGCTTTCTCTTTCCCCAAATCATATTCTTCATTTTCAATTCCTATATATTTTGTTGGTTATATATATATATATATATATATAATTTTTGAGGTTTAGATCCTGCGAGAATGTGAAAGTGAAATATCCCACATTAGAAAGTTGAGAAACTTAATAAGAACTTATAAGGAGTTGGATTACTCCCCATCGCCAATTAATTTTGATACACAACCTCAACTTCCTTCAGATCCAATCCAAGCAGGCACGAAAGAAAGAGTGTAGATCCAAAAACAAGAATCTCACGGTTGCACCACAGCCGTAGGGTATCATGTGAGCCAGCAGAGAGAGAGTAGTCAAAGATTTGATGGGCTTTTAAAGAAAAAGAAAACAAGAAATATTACATATATATTATTTAAAAGGCTTTATGAAGAAGTACTTGAACGTACAATGAAAATATGCTCAAGGAAGGAGTCGTCGGTGAAGGGACCCACACAACACAAGTTGTCGTAACAATGACGCCACTGCCCGGCACTAAAGTTCCAAACCGACACAAATATAATTATAGCTTGTTTAATATTGGCCAATTAGATTATTGGCTTTGGGCCAAGATTTGTTGGGTCACACTTAAATATTTTTGGGCTTTGTATTTCGCAGCTACTCGACCCATCTCAGAACTGATCTCTCCGGCCCAAATTACATGACTTGGTATTTCACATTTATTTTGTGTGGGGTCCGAGTCTAACCAATTATTTTTTTTATACATGCGAAATTACCAGTTAAAAAATTAATCCTTTTTGAGTTAACTCATGAAAACCGTTAATGATACGTTACTATATAATTTGATTTCTATAATGTAAAAATAATAAAATTATGCTGTAAAATACATTTTATTTTATATTTTTATTGTAAACTTCAAACATAAATATGTTTTGATATAGCTTAACAACTTTTAATGAGAGGTGATAGTTATTGAGATTTTTGATACAAGTGATATTGGGAGAGGAGGAATCGAAAGTAGGACATCTGGTGCAAGAGTAAATACTTTTAATCACTTGAGTTACAAGCCCATTGCGATAATTATTTAAATTTAAACTGTTTTTGTTTTATTGTATAAGAGCATTTCCAACCGATATGTAAAATTGTCATATGGACATGGAATGACAAAAATTGAAGTTTAAAGTTATTCTGACAGAGTAGTCAAATCATATATGGATTTGAAGGCTATAAAAGAAATATAAAAAATAACATATCAAAAAGTTTGATGTCTAATATTATTTTAATATTTTTTTAGTAATGGACCCCACTATCATTTAATCTCTTTTAAACTTTATGCATCATATGGGCCCTTTTAATTTTCAAAATACAATAAAATAATATGATATTTGGCATTTCGGGTGGAGTGAATTTTTTATTTTTTTTTCCAAAGTGTCAAATTATCACATAAGCCATTAAATTCAAATTTAACATTTTGCATTTGACATCTCTAAGGGAAGAGACAAATGAAATAGGCAAAATTGTACTATAACAACTAGGGATGGTAGAAATCCCTAAGGGGGAATGATTTCGGGGCAAAACGGGAATTGGGTATAGAGATCCTCGAAGTATAAAAATCCCCATCGCGTATGGGTAGGGGATGGTATTGACATCCCTGTCCTCGAACCAGGCCCGATAATTATATATTTATTTTCAAATTAATAATATATAATATAATACCCTTGTATTACAGTGAAATAATTATTATATTTAATACTTCATTCCAACTAAATAAAGAAGACTGGCATTTTGGTTCATGCATCTTGCGGAAATGTATCTTGGAATCAACATTGTAAGTTTTTGTGAAATTAGTTTAAATAGATCTTAACTATTTCTTGCCCTCCAAAGTCATAACCATGTTCTTCAACTTCTAATTTAACCACCCAAAAAATAGTCTTGATCACTAACAATACATTTCATGAGATTCACAACTATATTTATGTGTAATAGATGATATGATGCTGTAATTGATTATCAATTCTTATATCATTAGCATATTATGGACATAGGTTTGTTCCTTCTTTGTAGAAGTGTAAGAAAGCTTCATGGATGATGTCTTGCAAACATAAAGATCATTTCAAAAAATAAGGGATTCGGGCCGGGGATGGGGGATAGCCCCCTGAAAGGTACGAGGACGGGGATTCCTTGAAACTGCCTAAACGGGGATGGGGTCAAGGATGGGAAGTGGGAATGGGGATGGTATTGCCATACTCGGCCCGTTGCCATCCCTAATAACAACTTAGGTGCATGTTGCCTACTCATTTGCCTCATGAAAAAAGTTAGTCAATCCAAGGGACTAGGCAATGCAAGTCTACAAATCATTATTATATTATTTATTTTTATCTTTTACATTTACTATTATATTTTATAGAAAGAATGTGAGAGAGTGGAAATGATATTTTATTATAAAAAGCAAGTGAGGCTCAATATGCCTCTTCATTTTGAAATAAGCAAATATTGCTTTGATGGGGAAATTAGGTATATTTTGCCTACCCATTTGCCTATTCCCTTGGAGCATGAAAATGCTGATGTAGCAAGGTAAATGAGGTTTGCCTATTCTTTTGCCTCTTCCCTTGAAGATGCTCTAAGAATAAAAATCTCGCAGCTTCAAACTACACAAACAAATTAATTAAACCATAAGGTAAATTCAGGAGTTTGTTTTCTTGTGTTTTGCCCCGGACTGGACGCTATGCTTTTTGGTGCCTTTTTTGATTACCTTGGTTTTGATTGAGCTTGCTCCTTGCTTACTTTTCAATCGTTTTTGGGACTTTGCTTTTAATCCTCTATTAGTTTAATAAACTACAATTTGCCCCAAGACAAAAATCTTCATCATGTTAATTGAGATTCACATGTGACAACAATACAGTGCAACCAAGACCACACTACACACAACCATCCCAACCCCCCACCAAACCACAACCCGCCACGTCTCAAATTATCTCCAACCCTTATCCGCCATTGATGAATCAAATCACACAAGAAAACCACAACCCACACCAAATGGGTCCCGCATCATCTTCCGTTTACTACGCCAGACGTTTCACTCTCATTTACCAAAATCAGATCCACCAACTCCTCCAACCCCAATCCCCACCGTCCATCTCACCCCCCCTCCCTATTTATGCCCCCTCACTCTCTCACTCTACCCTCGCTCTAATCCCTCACTCGCCACAAACCCTATTTTGCAGAGAAAGCAAAACAGAGTGAGAGATTATCTCCCAACCTTTACCTTCTTCCCCAATGGCTCTCTCCGTCGAGAAAAGCAGCAGCGGCCGCGAGTACAAGGTCAAGGACATGTCCCAGGCCGACTTCGGTCGCCTCGAGATCGAGCTCGCTGAGGTAGAAATGCCCGGCCTCATCTCCTGCCGCACTGAATTCGGGCCCTCCCAGCCCTTCAAGGGCGCCCGCATCACTGGCTCCCTCCACATGACCATCCAGACCGCCGTCCTCATCGAAACCCTAACCGCCCTCGGCGCCGAGGTCCGCTGGTGCTCCTGTAACATTTTCTCCACCCAGGACCACGCTGCCGCTGCCATCGCCCGCGACAGCGCCGCCGTCTTCGCCTGGAAGGGCGAGACCCTCCAAGAGTACTGGTGGTGCACCGAGCGCGCCCTCGACTGGGGCCCCGGCGGCGGACCCGATCTGATCGTCGACGACGGTGGTGACGCCACGTTGCTGATCCACGAGGGGGTCAAGGCGGAGGAGGAGTTTGAGAAGTCCGGGAAGCTGCCTGACCCCGCCTCCACCGACAACCAGGAGTTCCAGCTCGTTCTTACCATTATCAGAGATGGGTTGAAGACCGACCCCAAGAGGTACCACAAGATGAAGGACAGGTTGGTTGGTGTTTCTGAGGAGACCACCACCGGAGTTAAGAGGTTGTATCAGATGCAGGCTAGTGGGGCGCTTTTGTTCCCTGCTATCAATGTCAATGACTCTGTTACCAAGAGCAAGGTATGCGTTTCTCAGATCTATGTTTTTGGTCTGGTTTCATTTCTATTATATAGATCTGTGTTGTTTTGGTAATTTTGATTCTTGTTTTGCTGACTTTGATATGATTGGTTTCATTTCATTGCATTCTAAATCTTATCTGGGTTTGGCTTCAGATCTCATTTCATGCTGGAATTTAGATTTTAGATTTGAGATTGACCATTAGATCCATAGTTTCATGCTTATTTTAATATCTTCAGTGAAGTGGGAACTAGAAATGCTTGGATTAGCTTGATTTTATTACAATTAACTAGAAAGTAAGAAATAGGAAGCTTATTTTCCAGATTAGTTGGCTTTGTCATATAATAATGGTGGTTTTGCTGACCCAGATTCTTATAAGTGCCTGATTGATTGGAAATTTCAATAATTGAATGGATCTTCTGTTTTTTGTTTTGTGCATGGCAGTTCGACAACTTGTACGGGTGCCGTCACTCTCTCCCTGATGGTTTGATGAGAGCCACTGATGTCATGATTGCCGGAAAGGTTTCCGTTGTCTGTGGATACGGAGATGTTGGAAAGGGCTGTGCTGCTGCCCTCAAGCAAGCTGGATCACGTGTGATTGTGACCGAAATTGACCCAATCTGTGCCCTCCAGGCTCTTATGGAAGGCCTTCAGGTTCTTCCTCTGGAAGATGCTGTCTCTGAGGCTGATATCTTCGTTACCACCACCGGTAACAAGGACATCATCATGGTTGACCACATGAGGAAGATGAAGAACAATGCCATTGTTTGCAACATTGGTCACTTTGACAATGAGATTGACATGCATGGTCTTGAGACATACCCAGGAGTGAAGCGCATAACCATCAAGCCTCAAACCGACAGGTGGGTCTTCCCAGAGACCAACACCGGCATCATCATTTTGGCTGAGGGCCGTCTCATGAACTTGGGTTGTGCCACTGGACACCCCAGCTTTGTGATGTCCTGTTCTTTCACCAACCAAGTGATTGCCCAGCTCGAGTTGTGGAATGAGAGGAAGTCCGGCAAGTATGAGAAGAAGGTGTATGTTTTACCAAAGCACCTTGATGAGAAGGTCGCCGCTCTTCATCTTGGCAAGCTTGGAGCTAAGCTCACCAAGCTCAGCAAGGAACAGGCCGACTACATCAGCGTGCCAGTTGAGGGTCCATACAAGCCAGCTCACTACAGGTACTGAGAGGAGGAGGAGAAGATTGTCAAGGACAAGAGACGTGAGAAAAAAAATTATATTTGGACGGGTTGTTTTTAAGTTGTTTATTTTTCATTTTGATGAAATGTGTTAGAATTGTAGGTTAAATTTTGTAGGAGTTTGTGGTGTGATGGGGAAAAGGGTGGGAGGAAGGAAATGGATGATTAGGTCTCAGAAGAAGACCTGGGGTTTGAATAAGGATGGAATGGGGCTGTGTTTGGATACATCTTCTGCCGCATCCGTTGTGCTGCATTTGATTATCAATTTACTACCAAAAAAGAGATCCAAAAAATGAACAATTTACCTTCCATTTGAGTTTTGGTTCAATTTGTCTTCAGCTATCATATTCGTATCCAAATGGAAGTTCATAACAATGGTTAAAATTTTAGAAGTTCAAATGAGATCAATCATATGAAGTGTTGATGTACTTTCTATTCTTTTGTCTTTTGCTGTAGATATGAACGAATGTTAGTGGGATTTCGTTTCTTCGACGGCATACTTTACATACGCATATGCATACATTTGAGACATATGGGTTGGTGGGTGGGCAGGGTGGGTGAGTGTGGGTGGGGTGTGGTTGATTGATTGATAAAAAAGCAACGACTATTATTTAGTTTCCCAGTGGGTCCCAGTGTGGATCCACGACATTTTTCTCTGCCTTTGAGATCATGAGAATGTGGTCGGCCCCTCAATCAAAGTGACCTTTACCTGCGTACATGTCATTCTGTCTACTTCAGATGCTGTAAATTGGACGCGTAGGGGCCTGATAAAACTAAGCTTATCATGAAAAGATGAATATGTCGACACAACTATTATGAAAACAAGGTTGCAAGTTCAAGCGATTTTCACAAATTTATCATGGCGTTGGCTCTAACAGTGAGAAGAAAAATATCACAACAATAAGACGTACCTTATTATAAAAGACGAGCATAATCCCACATATAAATGTAGTAAAACAAGCTATGATGTTTTATTTTATTGTAATGAAAATCATATTTGAGACATTTTCTAACGAAATGTATAAAATAACACTCACTCTGGCTTTTTGTTTAGTAAGGTAAGTGAGGTCACGACAAATATAAGGTTAATGACATGCTTTCTTTCTTCAATTTTGTCTCGCGCGGGGGCCTTGCTGCCGCCTTGGGATTACCCGCCCAACCAAGTAAGTTGCACAAGAAAACAGAACAGCAGCAACTCACTCCTCATTTCCTCAGAGTAAGAAGCCGCAGCTTCTCTTCTCTTGCACTCAGGTATTTCTCTGATTTTCTTTATCTCGTCATCTGCAATCATTAGTTTTTGTTGAGCATTGAGCTCTCTGCTTTGTTGGTGTCATGCTATTGACAGGCAGTCTCTGTTAAAGTGGGAAGTCAAGGCTTTTTTTCTTGGTATAAAACAACTAACCCAGAGATCTTTCTATTTCTGGATTTTATTTCTTTGAATATTACATGGGCTTTCATGTTTTTTTAAATATTCTTTATCCTGATTTGGTTTAAACCAAACCAAATGTTCAGTGTGTTTTCTGGTTTTGCATTTTTCTTTTCAAAGTTCTGGCCTTTTCTTTTGTAATTTTTACTTAGGGTTTGTTTTCTCCATTTGATATTCTGGCAATATGCTCTATTTCTTTTTCCTGTTGTATAAAAATATCTGATATGATATTAGTTACATTCTCGTCATGGTTTTATTTCTACACTGGTGCTTGTTTTTATTGAGGTAAACGTTTAAAAGCCACAAGCTTCGTGCAGATGATCAGATTTTGATTCTCAATGCGTTACACTAATCACATTTATCAATTCTAGATATTATAATGTTTCGGTTTATCACACAATAGTTATCTTTAAATTTGGATTTTATCCCCAAAAAAACTACAATAGAAGGGAATTATGAGGTTTCTATTTCATTTATGGAACTGTAAAATGTTTGTTTCTTTAGTGGAGTGTTTTGCTGAAAGATACTTGGGGAGAGCCACAACCTCGACTAACCTTCTAAGAAAGAATTGTGGACACGCAGTTTAAGTTTTCTCAAATATTGCCAGTACTTCAGGCATTTGAACGCTTAGTGCATATTTTGTGTATCTGCACTTTACTGCACTTGGAAATTTCGAATATCATGTAGAAGTTTTTTAGAACGGTTTTTAGTATGTAAAACGTTTTTTGTCATAATTATTTTTATTTATTGGTATTTCTAGTTTGTTGTGTGTAACAACAACATTGCTTGCCAACAAGCTCAAGACTCACGTTATTAGCCTGACTAATGCTTTCTGTCATAGCTATGCATTTCTTAGTTTCTTTATATGTGCCTAGATTTGAAGTTTGGAGCTTTAAAGATTAGAAAATTTGCTTGTTTCCAGTGTTTGGTGTAGTTACCAATGGTGTTGAGGAGCCCAAGAGCTTGTATGTCCCTTCCTTCACCTTCTCAGTGGACATATGATGTTTTTTAAGTTTTAGAGGTGAAGACACCCGCATAGGTTTCACAGACCATTTATATGACAAACTGCAGTGGCAAACAATCAAAACCTTCAGGGACAATGAAGAACTTCAGAGAGGTACAACTATTGCTCCAGAGCTTTTGACCGCAATTGAACAATCAAGGTTTGCTATTGTTGTTCTCTCGCCGAATTATGCTTCTTCCTCTTGGTGCTTGGATGAGATTACAAAGATTGTTGAATGCATGGAAACGAGGGGTACAATTTTGCCAATTTTTTATCACGTGGATCCGTCCTATGTACGCAAACAATGGGTAGCTTTGCAGAATCCTTCACTAAACGTGAAGAAATTTTTAGGAAAGACATGGCAAAGGTGAGGCAATGGAGAGAAGCTTTATTCAAAGTGGCTAATTTCAGTGGGTGGACTTCTAAGGATAGGTATGAAACAGAGCTTATCAAAGAAATTGTGGTAGTAGTATGGAATAAAGTGCATCCCATGTTGTTAGGTTCCGCCAATAACTTGGTTGGAGTTGATTTTAGAGTAAAGGAAATAAATTTGCTTTTAGATGCTGAGGCAAATGATGTTCGCTTTATAGGGATATGGGGGATGGGTGGGATGGGTAAGACAACCATTGCTAGATTGGTTTACGAGAGAGTTTTCCATAATTTTGAAGTTAGCAGCTTTCTTGCAAATGTAAGAGAGGTTTCTGCAAAACATGGTCTAGTTCATCTACAAAAAGAACTTCTTTCCCAGATCTTGAAGAAAGAAAGTACAAATTTTTGGGATGTTTATAGTGGAACCAGTATGATCAAGAACTATTTATGCAATAAAAAGGTTCTTCTCATTCTTGATGATATCGACGAATTAAACCAACTGCAAATATTACTTGGGGAGAAACACTGGTTTGGTTTGGGGAGCAGAATCATCATTACAACTAGAGATCAACATTTGCTGGTCACACATGGTGTAGAAAAATCATATGAGCTTGAGGGATTAAATGAAGTTGAAGCCCTGCAGCTCTTTAGCTGGAACGCCTTTAAAAAAGACCATCCTGAAGACGATTATTCGGAACTGTCCAAGTGCTTCATGGAATATGCTGGAGGCCTTCCATTAGCTCTTACAACCTTGGGATCCTTTTTGTATAAAAGAAGCCGGGATGCATGGACTAGTGCATTGGATAAACTAAAGAAAGCTCCTAACAGAACAATTTTTGGAACACTCAAAATGAGTTATGATGGACTAGATGAGATAGAGAGAAGAATTTTTCTCGATGTTGCATGTTTCCTTAAGGGATATAACAGGAGCGAACAATTGAAGTACTAGAGAGTTATGGCTTTTGCCCTTGTATTACCGTAGATGTTCTTGTTGAGAAATCTCTTTTAACTATTTCAGACAACCATGTGTGGATGCATGATTTGATACAGGAAATGGAACGTGAAATTGTTCGTCAAGAGTCTTATGAAGAACCTGGTCGACGTAGTCGATTATGGCATCGGGACGACATCCTAAATGTATTTTTGAAGAATAGAGTAAGGATTTATGCAGAAATGCTAGGTTTGGCTAGCACTGTAATTTTTGTTTTTGTTTTGAGATAGTATGATCCTTGATTATGGAATTAACTTAACCTTCGTTGTAAATTATTAGGGAACAAAGGCAATTGAAGGGATTGTCTTACACTTGCCTGAATTGGAAGAGGCACATTGGAATCCAGAAGCCTTCTCTAAGATGTCTAAGCTAAGGTAATTCATAATTTGAGCCTTTCTCAAGGACCCAAGTATCTTTCTAATGCCTTAAAATTTATTGACTGGAGTTGGTATCCTTCAAAATATCTCCCACCAACTTTTCAGCCGGATGAAATTTCTGAACTTAATTTGCGTCATAGCAAAATTAATCATCTTTGAAATGGATCAAAGGTAATGTTCTTGAATATATGCCATTGCACAGTTTTCTTTCTTTTTTGTTTTGCAAAAGAATTGTAGCGTCTGAGGAAGCTAACCATTCTATAATTTTATGTTTTGTACAGTACTTGGGAAAGTTGAAATATATCGATCTTAGTTTCTCCCAAAGCTTGACCAAGACCCCAGATTTCACAGGTATTCAAAATCTTGAGAGGTTGGTGCTTGAAGGTTGTACAAGTTTAGTTGAGATTCATTCATCCATTTCAGATCTGAAACGGCTTAAAATTTTGAATTTAAAAAATTGTGAAAGTCTTAAAAGTCTTCCAAGTAAGGTAGAAATGGAATCTCTCAAAGTTTTTATCCTTTCTGGTTGCTCAAAATTAAAAAGGATTCCAGAATTTGTGGGGCATATGAAAAAATTATCAAAGCTTTCTTTAGATGGGACTAGTATTAAGAAAATACCTTCATCAATTGAACGTCTTATTGGCCTTATTTCACTGGATCTTAGAGATTGTAAAAGTCTCATATGCCTTCCCAGTGTCATCTGTGGTTTGAAGTCTCTTCAAAACCTCAACATGTCTGGATGCTCATTACTTGGAAACCTACCGGAAATCTTGGGGGAAATTGAGTGTTTGGAGGAACTTGATCTGAGTGGAACTGCTATAGGAGAGCCACCATCCTCCCTTGCTCTGATGAAAAATCTCAAAGTGTTATCCTTTTGTAGATGTAAAGGGCAACCGCCTAAATCATGGCATTCGTTCCTCCCTTTTGAATTTTTTGCAGGAAAGAGTTCTGGTCCTAAGGGTTTGGTGTTGGCTTCTTTAAAACGTTTCTGCTCTTTGAAGAAATTAGATCTAAGTGACTGCAATCTTTGTGAAGGAGGAATCCCTGATGATATTGGATGCATGTCCTCCTTAGAAGAATTAAATTTAAGTGGAAACAATTTTGTTAGCTTGCCTGCAAGCCTTAGATGTCTCTCTAAGCTTTGGGAGTTAAACTTGGAAAGCTGCAAAAGTCTTCAGCAGTTGCCAGACCTTCCATCAAATAGGACTTTACATGTAAAAGCAATGAGTGTACTTCGTTAAAAATATTGCCAGATCCACCCATGTTGAGCATTTTATATAATTACTTTTTCAGAGCTGTCAATGGCTTCAGATTGGTTGAAAACGATGAAGGCTGCAATAACATAGCATTTTTAATGCTACAGAAATTCTGTCAGGTTCTCTCTCTCTCTCTCTCTCTCCCCATCCATTGAATCAATCTAGTTTTTTGAGTTGATATAATGGTTTGTGGTACAGGGAGTCCGTCATTCTGTTCTCAAATTCAACATTGTCATTCCTGGAAGTGAAATTCCTGATTGGTTCAGTAATCAACGTGTGGGAGATTCACTAATGGTGGAGTGGCCTCCGCATTTATGTAATAGCAAGTGGATGGGGTTTGTTTTATGTGCTGTTTTTGGAGCTCAAGAAAATCCAGCTGCCCTTCTTGAATTTGATTCTTTTGGACGCCATCCATGTGGAATTTTATGTTATTTGGAAATAGCTGGATCATATCAACTTTCTTTTCCTATACCTGATGAGGTGTATCATAGTGTTGGCCATGTTGCATCAGATCACCTTTGGTTACTCTATTTTTCTCGTAAGTACCATCGCTGTGAGAACTTTTTGAAGGATAACTGCAGTCAGGTTGAGGTTTTATTCAAACCCTTTGTAGTGTGCGAAACAACACGTGCTTGAAGCTGAAGAAGTGTGGCATTCATCTGGTATATGGAGAAGATGTGGAAGAGCTCAACCGATAAATGAACCAATCTAACAGCAGCATTTCTCTTTGCAACGCAATGGATGTCCCTTGTTGTTATTTTGAAAAATCATCAGATGCAGAAGGCGCCGTCGTTAAGCGAACACGCGAACATTCTGATGAGGCAGAACCAAGTGCAATTGGTAGCTCTGAGTCTGACAAGGAATCACTCCGCAAAAGATTGAAAGAAGACTAGTTGGTCTTGTGCATCTTCACTAGTACAGTTCCTCGAAACAGTACTTGAAAGGGTAATAACGATCTTCTCATGATATTAGCCCCTTGACCTCTCCTTTTCCTTTGAGCTTTACAATCTTTGCTAGCCATACAAAGTACACGATTCACCTGCTTGGCCAGGAAATCTGAATTGGGCACCTTACCTTATAAACTTTTAACACTCATGATGATTCATCACAGTACTCCTCTCTCTCTCTCTTTCTCTCTCTCTCAGTAATTAATTAAATGCAGTAGCCGAAGCCTAAATTTTGTACTGTCACTCCTGACTGCAGGTTGCATCAGAGAAGAGTGGATTTTTTAATTTTTTGCCTGCGGTAATCAGCAAATTGGTTTATTTCATCAAAGGAGCTGCAAAGCTGCAATGAAGTTATTCAAATGATCGGGAAAGAGAAGCGAAACATTGGTGGTATTATGTGCTATACTGTTGTGTGTTGTAAATCTTGTTCTTCTTACACCATTCACTTTGGAATGATAACACTTTCTGATATTCTTTGTGCTCCTTTTAGTAAGATCTAAATACAGGGAGGTTGGGGGATTTCCCTCATCTGGACCAATGCTATTCAAGAATAGCAAAACAATGACAATCAAGCCAGCCAATAAAACTTTATACTCAGAGTGTTCAAGGTACAGGATCTATAAATTGGATAGATGACAGCTTTTCCATGGTTAGTGATGGGCATACTGTGATGTAAATTGGAACTGAATAGTATCTGATGAGGATCCGCAAGCTCATTTTTACCCAGTTTGCTTTGGATTTTGAATTCTATTTTCCAAATGCTTTGGTTAGTGATGGGCATACTGTGATGTAAATTGGAACTGAATGGTATCTCATGGATATAGCTCGAGGGAATGTTTAAATTTATACTTGAGTTGTTCAATTTTATTTTGGGAACCATTACTAATGTATCAGAGTGTTCAAGGTCAAGCATTTTAACCGATCCTGAATATGGTAAAATGCAAATTGCTGTTGACACTGTCTTCTGCATATCACACTGATGTGGCTGAGCAGCTCCCTCTAAATTGCAGCAGAGGAAAGATTGGCTTATTGGGGCTTTAAGAGCAGTATCTAATGTGCCTTTTCCTATGTCGTTGTTTCTTTTATTTTTCCAATCGTTTAATTGAATGCTGAGGTCACATGTTATGTTTGTGCAGTAGCGCCCTGCATGATTAGTTTTGCAGCTACCTATATGTTGTTTCTTGTTGAATAAGTTAACGCATTGTAAATTTTGTAAAATGGTCAACCATGTTGTCTTGTTCTTCTACTAAAATATTTGAAAACTCGATCGAAATAAATTTAGTGCATTCAGATTTGAGCTGTTGCATCATCCAATGCTAATATGTCCTCCCTAGTGTTGGAAGGTGTTTTTATGTCATCATGTACCACTAGAGAATCGGATGAACATATGTAAGAAGTTTTTGCAAATTTTTGAAAAGGAAAGGATCAAATTGAAGGAGATTTCTAGTTTGACGAGCATTCTTCCGGAGCAAATTCATGTTTTTGTTGTTCTTGCAGCACCGAGACATTAGGCCAGACATTTGGGGAGGACATTAGTTTTTGCCTGGATATGAAGCTACTGCTTCGGAAGCTATCATCCGTCTTCCAGATGCTACAAAGTACATCTGCTACCAAGGATATTTTGTAGGCTACCTGAAGTTTAGAGTGACTATTTTCGCAGGCATAGATTTTTACAGCAGATACTGATGCGGCGTTGAAAAGGTAGAAGTGGAGGGCTGAAGGGTGCGTAGAACGATCAGGCTCCGTTCCGATCACTGGACATTTAAGGAATATACTATTTCATTAGCTCTCACTTTTTGGCTCCATGTAGATGTCTATCGACTGCATACGGCCTACGCAAGTCAATGTTGCTCAACATTTGTTTACTGTATTCCACAACATATGAATCCGTCACATTATCAAGTTTGAGGCAACAGATTAGCTTGCACATTCAGACTTCGATTCGGACTTTGTAGCGCCAGTGCTGCTGTTGCCTGCGTGTAGGGCCGTCCGTCCCCCACTCCCGTCCCGGGGCGCTAAGGGGCTTTTGTGTGCTGGATGCGAGTGATAGGAGTTCCAAGTTTAAAATGAAAAATGCAACACGAGTTCTTCTTTCTTTCTTTTTATGTTCACAAAGCAACATTGTGGATTTTCTTTCACAGCAGAAAATTAAGTCTTCAAAGTTTGCATTTACAACTAAATCCCATTACAAAATGGTGGTTTAATAAGTCATGTTCTACTACACACTACCAAAGGGGATTCAAGCCAGTTTGACCTGCAAAAATGTGGACAATCCATCCAATATATCACAATAACCTTCTGTCCACTGATGAGATCCTTCTGTCATCCACTCAGAATAACTGTCTTCCTCACACAAGTCACAAAAGAATATCCAACACTCTGCACTGTTAAGCACCGACCCTAGCTTTTGGCAGAACTCTGTTGCATATTTCCATTTCTCATCTTCTCATATTCCATCAACACAAAGGGGCTTTTTCAGAAACCTAACAACAACAACTAGTAGACATTTGAACCATTTCTCTAATTAACCCAACCTCTCTTTTTTGCTTTTCTTTTTCAAACAATAAGCAAAATTGCATTAGAAAAAATGATTACATGAGTGTCATGAGTGGCCAATCAGGCATAATTCTATCCCAGACAAGAACAGCTGCCTCTGGAAACAAAGAAGCTACCTAGTAGAATTGCATTCAAGATTTTTTTTTTTAAAATATATAAAAAAAAAAAAAAAAAAAAAAAAAAAAAAAAAAAAAAAAAAATGAAAACATAATCATTGATCCCAAAATTTACCCAAAAATATAAAAAGAAAAGAAAAGAGGAAAATCCCCAGAATTCATGTAATGAGCATCAATTCCAGATTCATATGAAAAGAAACCATAGATCTCTCTAAAATTGAGGCTAGTGATACATTAGTATAGCAATTCAGAACATGGGTCTCAAATATACAATCATAACCAGAAACCCCCCATCAAATACACCATCAAAATAAGAAGGAAAAAAGGAAAAGAAAATGAAATTGCTGCTTCCATTTCTCCATACTTGGTCCATGCACTGTAATTAAGTCAAGTTTTGATGTCATTACCTCTTGCACATCTTGTAATGACCTCACAGCCTCTACTGTAAGGATTTGCCGCAACAGCATGACAATTGTAATATGAAGCCCCAGGTTTTCCACATGGAACCAAGTCCCTCCTCAGTGTCTCATAGCTTATGTACTTCTTCTGCATTGCTAGAACTCTCCTGCTGGTCTCTGACTCCATTTCTGGCTCTGTCAAGCACTCCCCAATCTTCTGGTTGCAGGCCCTTCCAGCTCCCACCATACCATCAATTCCACTTCCTTTCAGTGAATTGAGGTCAAAAGCTGAAACCCCATTGCAGATTGAGAAATGGGTATGGATCAAAAGGAGGGATAGGTAGGAGATTAGCATGGGATTGGGTCTTCTGGGTTTGGACATTTTTTTTGTTTTTGTGCCTTCTTTTTTCTGTGTGTGGTGTTTTGGACTGTGGAAGAAGTGAGATTCTTAGTGGTTGGTGGTTCATAAATGGATGGACCATGAGACATGATCATGACTTACCATACAGTTCCAAATGATATATATGTAAATGTAGGTGGCTATGATTATAGACATGTCATGTGCGATGAAGGAATAAATGGGAACCCAACATCCCGTGAACCCTGTCAACATATTAAAAGAACGTTACTAGGAAAAGAAAGAGAATAAAATTGATCTAGAACAAGTTAATTGTTTGTCTTGACCAAAAAAATAAAAGAACATTGTTCGTTTACCATTGATATTCATATCGAATTTATACGGGGATGACAATTTCTGCTCCTAGGTTATTTTCTTATCGTGTTAATATCAAATGAGTAATGCTAGGAACATCAAATTTGAGTTTCAAATGATATGGCGCATAACATATCATCACTTTAACTTAATAAAATTGCGTATTATTCTAAAAAGAAAACCATGTAACTTAGTTGATTAATCCAAAGTTCCAGTCTTTTTGGCCCTTTCTCACACAAAAAAAGAAAAAAATTGTCGCAAACTTAATCACCACCATATTCCACAACAACCAGTCCCCGCCGTCGCTGCACCTTTACCAACAACTCAGCCCACCCCAAGTCAACCTTCATAGATTCATTTAATCAGCAAAAGAGTTAAACAAATTTTTTGTCCAGACATTCGCTTCCCATTTAATTTTGATAAACAATATACTCTTCAAAATCTTCTCTTTATATAAAAATTTTGATGATGGAATTTCAACCTTTTAGATTGTCTAGGATGATGGGGGCGCTGTAGGTGGTTGGGGTGGGGAGATCTCGTGGTTGGGGGGATATGGTGGTGGTCAGTTTTGGGATTTTATTCGGTTAATTGAAGTTAACATTTATGCTTTAATTTTTTCAAAAGAAATTAATTGCTGGTATAATAAGTACATATTGGCAATTAATTGATGATGTGTCACTTGTCACATTAGGTGGGACTCAAATTTGATGTTTCTAGCAATATGAATATTAGAGCATCTCCAAGGGAGATGCTAAATATCAAACATCAAATTTAAATTTGATGGCTGATGTGGCAATTTGACATCTTACACAGTTTTACACTCCACCCGATATGTCAAATTAAATTATTATTTTATTACATTTTAGTGTTGATTCATTTTTAATTAAAAAGAAAAGAAAAGAAAAAAAGAAAAAAATATTCATTTGACATCTTGTTTTTGGGATGTCAAAAATAACATCTCAACCTCCAGCCTTCATTCTACATCAACTTTGACATATTAGTTGAAGTGATGTGAGATGTTATTTATAGCTGTTAAATGTCTATGTGGCACGTTTAACACATGATTTCTTTAGAAATGACTTATGAACTCTAATCAACTCGTTTATTACACTTGTTGTAACTCGTTTGACACTTATCGTAGATCACATATACAATTATTAAGTTAGAATTTTTAAACTACATTTTATTTTCATTTTCATGCACCTTTTTTTCAGCATGACCTTAATGCTTTAGTAACACCATAATAGAAGTCCTATAATTCTAGAAATAGTATTAAGAAATAGGAAAGATATTTTGTTTAAAAATCACATCTGTTACCTCAATGTATGAAGTTGAGTTTTAGTGGAAGTTAATGCTTGGGTATGTAGTGTAAAAGAGACGGATAAAATTTTTGAGTTTCTGTTATTTCACTTTGTTGTTAATTTGACTGAATTGACAAAAGGGTGGCAATCCGATATTTTTCCCAAGAAACCAATGAATAAATTTTAAATTTTACCCATTCCAATTATTTTGCATACAGTCTTATGAAGAAGACAAACACATTTTTGCTTCAAAAAACTACTCAAAGTCTACGGGGGAAAGTGACCAAAACGACTGCACTGCCAAAATTATGCTCAAATAAAGAACGCAAGGGTCACAGTCTCACCGGCTCTACCGGGCTGGTCTGGTCTGGTCTTGTCACTGACTTGGTGGGTATGTATGAAGTTAATGAATGGGACAGCCCATCACCAATTGATTTTTTTTTTTAAAATAAATAAAAATTATGATTATTTAGATAGAATTTAAAGTTGAAATTTGTGACTTTTAAATTATATGTCCCATCACCAATTATTTTTTTTTAAATAAATAAAAATTATGATTATTTAGATAGAATTTAAAATTGAAATTTGTGACTTTTAAATTATATGTTTGTTTACACTTGAAAATTTTAAATTTTTAAGGTTTTTTTTTTTGGTTTTATTTTGGAATTTTAGAAATGACAACTATTTAGATATAATTTAAAGTTAGAATTTATGACTTCCGAATTCTATATTTTTTCTGCGTGGAATTTTTAAAATTTTAAATTTGTTTATCAAAGCACGAGAATTGGTGCATATAAATTTAGAAACTCTGATTTTGTTCAAATCCCAAATTTATTTCTCTCATCTAGGAGAGCTCATTTTCGTGGCAAACCAGCCTAACACCTACGTTAGTGTATAATAGTAATAATTATATAATAACATGAGTTGAATTGATTACTTATACAACATGACAGATGTTTTAATACCACAGCATGATAAATTACTTGTGGGCCACAACCTGTAGGCCCATCCCAGCCCGCTAAAACAAAATTTTAACTTCACGTTACTTGTGGGCTGGCAAATTCTTTCTTTTGTGACAAGAATCTCTCTCTCTCTCTCTCTCTCTCTCTCTCTCTCTCTCTCCATCCCAGCCCACAAGAAAACCATGCAAGTTGATTAATCTCTCTCTCCATCCTAGCCCATAAGAAAACCATGCAAGTTTATTAATCCTAGTAATCAATTTATTTAATGGTGAAATTACAAAATTTGCCCTTAAAGTAGGGTCACTTTAGTCTTTTTCTAATCCAGAAGGATTTTGTGAAAATAAGTGGCACCATTGCGTAGAGCTTGCTCTCACGAGTTCGTAGACGAGTAGTGGGCTCAAATCGGAGTTTTAACAAAAAAGTTGTAGTCAACGGAAGTGCAGTGGTACAACCATAATTTTTTTTGATTTTTAAAACAGATCACTCTCTCTCTCTCTCTCTCTCTCTCTCTCTCTCTCTCTCTCCGCGCTGGGTAGCAAATTTCCGACAGAGATTTCGTTGCCGTCCAGTGTCCAATTCGAGTGAAATTGGTTGCAAAAGTTTCGTATCGATGTCCTCTATCTAACCCACCCATTTTTCCAACTTGAAAACCCAAGGCAATTAAACTGGAATGACTGGAAGTTCGGGTGATTTTCGAAGTTTCTGACGCCGTTCCAGGCGATTCTAGCGGTTGTATTCGTCGATCCAGGTATGAATCTTCATCCCTTCCATGTGCTCTAGCTGTCTATGCTGGTATTTTGGATCAATTTTGAGGTTTTACAGATCGTTCAAAATACCCATTTTAGTCGACTGTTTTGGCTTTGATTCGGCTAGTTCCGACTAGTTTTTGGTCGTGATCATGGTCCAAGAACAAAAACTGATCCCCTAGTTAGTATGAATCTATTCATATAGGTATTGGCCGGCGGCAAGTGGTGGTGCGTGGGCCATTGTGTGGCGGCCCACTACTTTCTAAAATGTTCTCCTTGTTGTCATGAGTATGATGATATGCTCGGATTTGGATTTGATTATCGTTTGACTATCGAACAGATATTATGCCTATTAGGCGATATTTGGGTTTGATAGGTGCAACGTGTTTGATTGGTCTCATTTTCAAATATGTTGTTCCTTGTATCTCTAGGATCGTATGGAAACTTGTGGATCGATAATCAGAGTCCCGGATACTGCGAGTCAATGAATTTGGGGTTAGGTAAACTGGCTATCGTGCGATCGAGAGCTACCTGACCACTCGATCAAGACTAAATCATCGGGACTTGGTTAATAGACATTGTTGGACCTATAGGAACCCTTGGATCGGAAATAAGAGGTCATGGGCCCCGCGGGTCCGATTGACCAAAAATGGGAAGTTTGAACGATCTATAAAACCTCAAAATTAATCCAAAATACTAGCATAGACAGCTAGAGCACGTCCATGGGATGAAGATTCATACCTGGATAGACGAATACAACCACCAGAATCATCGGGAACGGCGTTGGAAACTTCGAAAATCACTCGAACTTCTAGTTGTTCCAATTATTTATTTATTTTGTTTTTTTTTGTTTGGGGTTTTTGAGTTGGGAAAATGGGTGGGTTAGATAGAGGACATCGATACGAAACTTTTGCAACCAATTTTGCTTGAATCAGACACCGGACTGTGACGAAATTGCCATCGAAAATTTGCTGCCACACGAGTAGAGAGAGAGAGAGAGAGAGAGTGGTTTGTTTTAAAAATCCAACTTTGAAAAATTTACGGTTATGCCACTGCACTTATGTTGACCACAACTTCTTTGTTAAAACTCCGATTTGAGCCCACTATGCGTCTATGAACTCGTGAGAGCGAGCTCTACGCAATAATGCCACTCCTTTCCCCAAAATCCTTCCAGATCAAAAATTGACTAAAGTGACCATGCCTTAAAGGCAAAATTTGTAATTTCACCATTAAATAAATTGATTACAACAATTAAATTGGGTCAAGATGTTACAACAACAAGGTCCAACGTCAATCTATTATGATAATGTTTATGCTATTAAGCTTTCAAAAAATCCAGTTTTGCATGGGATATTCAAAGTTGTCATGGAGTCATGGTTAGTGGCTGAACGTGATGGTTTAGTCGTGCAATAGTTGTTCCTACTATTTAGCTTAGTTGCATTGTTAGTTTCCTATTTAAGTTGTATCAGTATTCAAGTTGAATGTGAAGAACAGTTTGAATTCCACAAATGCGTTCTTGGTTCTTCACATGTTTCCTTATTTTTAACATTTTGTAGCAGAAATAACACCAACAATACCAAAGACAAGAAACAATGGAGAGCAGAAGAAACCATAGATGGCAACCGTGAAGCTCTCGGAGCTCTTAGAGAACTCATCATCTACCCTGTTTTCTATCCATGAGCCGAAGAGATCGATCTCAAAGTAACTCATAAAAAACACACTTTCTCAAATCTTTGGGCATCCCCAGTTAATATGTTTAAGTTATGTTTCAATTGCAGAAGAGCGCAAGATGTTCGCCTAACTTCTCAACTCTCTGCGCTGATTGGACTCCAACACACCCTCAACATCTGTACCACAAGTTGTTTTTGTTGCAGCGAATAACAGGTACTATTATTATTATTTGTTATCTCCTAGAATTTATGATGTGATCTATTTGCGGTGTGTTATTTCTTCATGGTTTTTAACTATCTACTGCTTCGTCCTTCAAAAGTTTTGTGCATTCTGTTCATCTCATTGCCAGTTTGCTAATTTCCTGAAGAACTCATGGCTTTCTCATCGTTATTAATGTTCTACTTGGGACATATTTGTTACTTGAGACCATTCGTTTAGTTCTTGTATATTATTTCATATTTTATTCTAAAGGGATTAATATCTGGTTCCTACATACAAAGAGTCGAAGCAGTTGATCCAGACCTAAGACGATGTTTTGATGAGGAAATTGAAGTTACTGCACCTACTAAAGAAGAACGCTTTCAAATTCTCAAGGTGAGAGTGATGCTTTCAAAATTTTGTAAGCGAGAAACTGGGCTTACTTTTTTTGTAATGTCAATCAATTCTCATCTTGCTCAAATTGACACCCATTATTCCTTTTAAACATCCAATTGTTTTTTAGCTAGTTTAATAGAAATTCAAGAGATATGAGCGTATGGCACACTTATAACTATGTTTATGATTGCGCAGCTGTACACGAGAAAGCTTCCTTTGAATTCCAACGTTAACCTACAAGCCTTAGCTTTATGTTGTGAGGTTGAGCTTGGTCTGCATATAAAAGGAACTCAGATGCAAATAAAGAAGCTGGTGTGTTTAGCGTAGCAACAAAAAACTGGGAGAGCATGCAAGGTTTGAGGTTAGCCGAAGTACAAGAAGAGGTGTTACGGTGGAAATCCCCAAAGTGAAGTGGGAAGATATAGGAGGATTAGAATATGTGAAGGTGTGTGTAAATTTTCGTGTATATCTTAGTCTGAAGTCTCATAGTATTAATTATACTTCACCTTCTCATTGACAGGAAAAGCTCAAACAAGCCGTTGAGTGGCCTATTAAGTATCCTACACAGTTTGCAAGGTTGGGAATATCACCATTGCTAAAGTTGCTGTTGCTAGTGTTTTTGTATTCTTGCTGGGTTATGAAAAGTTGAAGAGAAGAAATAGAAGGATGAAGAAAGACAGAGTGATGAAATGCTCTTATTCTCTCTTGTTGAAATTTCAAAGAGGATTATATTTGTCTTTCATCAGAATGAGCACACAAAGCGTGTACTAAATACCCGTTAGCCTTAGCTGGATTCACACACACAACAAAATGAATCTCAGCCACACATCTAGCTATTCTAGGATCACTACATGTGGCTTATTTCAGCCTTACATTTTGGAGCCTTACACTTGCCATTCTAAGAGACTAAGTGCATTCACTATTATCATTCTAGGCTTATACTTATGTAATTAGCTTATTACTTACAGTTCTAGACTCCCCTTTAAGTTTTGAGTTGATTTCACTCCTAGTTTATCCCTGAGGTAGCAGAATCGATCCTTAGCCAATGATTTGGTGAAGATGTCTGCTGGTTGCTCATTTGTAGGACAGTAAACCAAGTCAATGATTCCTTCTTGCAGAGCATCCTTCATGAAGTGATACCTTCGATCAATATGCTTAGTTTTTTTTGGTGAAACATAGGATTCTTTGTTATGGCAATTGCAGCAGTATTATCACACTGAAGTGTAGTAGCCTCAACTTGAAATTTGCCAAAATCTTCCAACATAAACCTGAGCCAAATTGCCCGTGCAGTTGCCTTTGATGCACTGATATATTTTGCCTTTGCTGTAGAGAGAGCAACACAGTTTTGTTTAACTGAAGCCCAAGTAAAGACTCCACTGCCAAAGGAAAAGGCATATCCTGAGGTGCTTTTGCTGTCATCAACTAAGCCACTCTAGTCACTATCACAGTAACCAATTAAGATTGCATTTCTTCCTTCCACATACTCCAAATCGTAGTCAAGTGTTCCTTTGACATACCCGAGAACTCTTTTAGCAGTTCCATAGTGCTTATTAGTAGGGCAATGAATAAACCTTGAAAGTAGGCTAGCAACATACATCACATCGGGTCTTGTGGCGGTGAGATACAACATACTTCCCACAATTTTCCTATACTGTTCTTCATTTGTTGGACCACTACCATCATCTTTGCTCAGCTTTTCAGTTGTAACTAAGGGTATAGAAACGGGTTTATAATCACTCAAGCCAAATTTACTCAACAAAGATGCAACATACTTTCTTTGATGAATAAAAATACTTGTGTGAGTTTGGATAACTCCCATTCCTAGAAAGTGATGTAGGAGCCCGAAGTCTGTCATTTCATACTTTACCATCATATCTCTCTTGAACTCCTCCAACATTGGTTGACTATTTCCTGTATACACAATATTATCCACATATATTGACACGATTAGGATTTCTGCTTCCCCTCTGGTTTTGGTATAAAGAGTAACCTCAGTTTGACTCTTTGCAAATCCACATTGAGCAAAATAGGTGTCAATTTCACCATACCATGCCCTTGGTGCTTGTTTTAAGCCATATAGAGCTTTATGAAGCTTGTACACTTTGTCTTCACTCCCCTTGACCACAAAACCATCTAGCTGGTCTACATAAACCTCTTCTTCTAACACACCATTTAGGAAAGTAGATTTAACATCCAGCTCATACAATTTCCAATGCTTCTGTGCTGCCAATGCAACTAGTGTTCGAATTATATCAAGTCTATCCATTGGTGCAAAAGTCTCATTATAGTCAACACCTAGTTTCTGAGCATAACCCTTGGGGTACTAGTCTGGCCTCATTCTTCTGTATTGAGCCATCAAAATTTAGCTTGGTCTTGAACACCCCATTTAACTCCAATTATCGGCTTGTCAGTTGGTCTATCCACCTACTTCCATGTTGCATTTTTCTCAATCATTTACAGTTAATCTTCCATGGCTTTCACCCATGATTCATCTTTAGCAGCTTCATCAAATTTCTCAGGTTCCATGATGCAGAGATTGCATTGTGCTAGAACATCATCCAAGTTTCTCCATTTTAGTGGAGTGTGATCAAAAGCTTGAGAATTCCTCATGCTGCTACTTATGCCACTTGATGGTGCATAAGGAGATATCACTCTTGGTGACTGAATGTGATCATGACTCTCGAGGGGTGTCTTTGGTGATGTAGCTTCAGGTACCTTGAATTGCTCTTCATGATTGGACACAGATACAAGATTCTTAGGCATTGCCTTCTAATCCCAAGCTATATTTTCATCAAACACTACATCTCTTGAGAGTAGAAGCTTCTTAGTGATTGGATCATACACTCTGTATCCCTTTTCACATGTTGCATAACCCACAAATATCCCCTTGGTACTCTTTGCATCTAGCTTCTGTCTCACCTCCCTTGGTATATGCATATAGCTCAAGCAACCAAAGATTTTAAGGTGTGAAATCCCTGGTTTTCTCCCACTGTATGCTTTAAATGAAGTCATCTCTCCAAGTGCTCTTATAGGACATCTATTCAATATGTAGACATCTGTGAGTAAAGCTTTTGCTCACAAGTAGTAAGGTAATCCTTTCTCATGAAGCATGGCTTTTGCCATTTCAACTGCAGTCCTATTCTTTCTCTCCACCACTCCATTTTGTTGTGGAGTGTAAGCCATAGAGAGTGTCTTCGAATACCTTCATCTTCACACAACTTGTTGAACTCATAAGATGTGAATTCACCCCCTCTGTTACTTCTCAAACATTTCACTCTGAAGCCACTTTGCAATTCTACCATAGACTTGAACTTTCTAAAATAGTTCAATGCATCTGACTTGTATCTGAGAAAGTAAACCCAAGTTATCCTTGTACAGTCATCTATAAGAAGCATGAAGTACTTGTTACTAGCTATAGATTCATTTTGCATAGGCCCACACAAATCCACGTGAATTATTTCAAGGGGATCGCTTGCTCTCCATGCTTGATTCTTTGGAAATCACTCTCTATGTTGCGTTCCAAGTTGACATCCTTCACAGACTTCATCAACCTCTTCTAAGTATGGAAGTCCATGCATCATTTCCTTTTCTTTGAGTTGGATTAGCCCCCTTAGATGTAGATGGCCTAGCCTTTTATGCCAAGTCCAAGTAGAGTGTGATACACCTGTTTTCAAAGCAATATGATCATTAGGTAATAGTGCCAAAAGGATGGCATCTATTCCTCTTCATTTCCACTTTGATGACAAGACTGTCCAGTGAGGAACTGTCAAAGATGCTGCACATTTTGCCCCCAAATAGCAATAGTAATTGTGCTCATCCATCTGTCCCACACTCAACAAGTTCTCCTTCAACTCAGGTAGGTACATAACTTCTTTGATGTACTTTCTACCCTTGCTTGTGTCAATCACTAGAGTTCCCATTCCAGCTACATCCACAAGCTCTCCAGTGGGCATTTGTACCCTGCCAATCACGTTTGTTCTTATATCAACTAGTATCTTCTTATCTCCAGTCATGTGATTGCTGCAACCACTGTCTATATACCATTCACCAGTAGTACTTGCTCTAGAGATGGTACTATTGGCATAAAATAGATTTCCTGTCACTTCTACTTGATTTGCACAGTTAGCCTTCTGCACATTCTTACTTGCAGTGCATTCTCTAGCCCAATGTCCAAATTTAACACAATTGTAACACTTTGGCTTTCCTTTATGCCTGCATTCACCAAAATGGAACCTCGAACACACTTTGCACTGTGGCTTTGCCCCTTCTTGATTCACTGATGGTGATGAACCCTGTGTAGAGCTAGTCTGCTGAAACTTGGACTTTGATTCCCATGGCTTGCCCTTAGGATTCCAATTCTTTTGGAATTTAGACGAACCAGAGTGAGTGCCACCCTTGTTCTGGCCTTTTGGACTCACAGAAAATGAGGCAAATGTCTTCTCAGCTGTATCAACATTATGCAACTCAAAACGTTGTTATTGACTCTTCAATATTGCAATAACCTCCTGCAGTTCTACAGTTTCTAGACTTTTTGTATTCTCAATCACCAGACAGATAGGATCATAAACCTTACTCAGACTGATCAGAACCTTTTGGACAAGCCTCTCATTAGAGAGAGTATCAACAAAGGTTTTCATCTGGTTAATTAGCTCATTCAATCGAGTAAGACAAACATATAGAGATTCATTGTCACGCATTCTAGTATATTCAAATTCATGTATGAGGTTTTGGAGTTTTACTGATCTCATGTGGTCACCGCCGTGATATTCTCCATACACCAATTCCCATGCCATCTTAGTAGATTCAGCATTAGCAATACGAGGGAAGATTTGGTCAGAAACAAATTTTTAATGATGCCTAGAGCCTTCGCATCCTTCATGAAGATGGCGGCCATTTTTTCATGATCGTCATCTTCTGAAGCTTCTTTAGTCTCCTTCTTCTTCTTTGAATCAGGGATTGGAATTCCCTTTTCAACCAAATTCCACAACCCATATGACTTGAATATGGTTACCATCTTGATTCTCTAAAACTCGTAGTTCTCACCGGAGAAGATCAGAGTTCTTACTTCTGAACTTCCAAATCCAGCCATCTCTGATCTCAGGTAAGCCACGAACAAGCTGATTTTAGGTTTCGATCGAACTTTAGCAATTTCACAGAACCTTGATGGAGCTTTGATGTAGCTCGATTACACAGATTGAAAACGCCCAGACTCAGTAGAATGAACCTGGCTATGAGGGTTATGAAATGTTGAACAAAAGAAATAGAAGGATGAAGAAAGATAGAGTGATGAAATGCTTTTCTTTTCTCTTGCTGAAATTGTAGAGAGGATTATATTTGTCTTTTATCAGAATGAGCACAAAAAGCGTGTACTACATACCTGTAAGCCTTAGTTGGATTCACACACAACAAAATGAATTGATTTGTACCACTTTGCAAAACCCAAGCGAAGGTGTTGTTTAGCAGTGTAGGTCGAAAGTCCGAGTGTCATATCCACAGAGAGCGGTGTAAAGAAAATAACAGAGTTGAAAAAGAACAATTGTGATTGAGAAGTAGATTTAAACATGATTTGATTTAAAGAAAATTTAATTGATTAAAACACAAAGGCATTGGAGTTCCACTTTTAACATAAGCATGCAACTTTTATTAATTGGACCCACAAAATATATTCCATTGTAGTTGTTCAAAATTGGTAAAGCTCTTTTTAATTTCCTTAGAAGTATTCTAAGCATAACTTGTACCATTGGCAACAAACTATCAAAAAATAATATTTGTCGAAATTCTATTAATCTTAGTAATTATCTCCTCGTTTAAAAGCATGAAATTTTTTACTACACAATGGGAAAAACATGATCGAACCCATAAAATAGATTATCAAACATTCATCAATTAATTAAAAAGAAAAAAAAACTACAAATTCCATTTGAACAAAAACTACAAATTCACATTAAAGCTTAAGTTTGGATCAAACTAATAAAAATTACATACTCATATTAAAAGCTTTCTCCCTAGCCGTAGCTAGGGAGTTAGTTCCCCTTAAAATAACATTTAAAACGGAAATTTAGAGAGGAAGAAGAGAGCTCAAGAAGTTGTAGTTTTACAAATGGTCAACTTGATAGGATTAATTTCATAAGGTTAAAGTTTTTTCTATTTTCTTTAAAAGAAAAAGCGAAAAGTTGGCTATATTCATTAAGGGCTAGGTCCATAGGTTCTTGGGTGGAGATGACTGAAGCATTTTTTAACAAATATTTTCCTAATCACAAAACAATTGCTCTTAAGAAAAGAAAATCTCCAATTTATCTCAAAAGGAAAATGAAACTTCATATCAAACTTGGAAATTTTTTAAAGAACTTTTGAATTTGTGCCCACACCATGGCTTCGAAAACTGGCGTCTTACTAGTCATATCTATGAGGGACTTCTCCCTCGTGATAGCCAATTTGTTGAGTCTATGTGTAACGGAAATTTTATGCAAAAAGACCCTGATGATGCCCTAGAATTTTTGGATGAAATTGCTAAAAAAGCTCATCAATGGACTGTCCCCAGTCCAGTTGAGACCACTGATCGGTCAAGAATTGCCACATCTTTTACTAATAAAGGAATTTATCAATTAAAAGAAGAAGATGATTGGAAATTGAAAGTTGAGATTTTGACTAAAGAGATAGCTGCTTTATAAATGGAAAAATCAAATTTGCCTAAACCTGTTTATCAAGCTGATGTTAATCAAGTATGTGATTCTTGTTATGAGATTGGTCATACTGTTAAAAATTGCCAAATTTTTCAGGAAATGAAAGGAGCTTATGAGGAGCGTTGTGCTACTGTTGAAAACTTTAAACAATAATATTCTCCTTTTTCCAACACTTACAATCTAGCAACAAGAAATTCTTTCAATCATCATTTTCCTGCAACTAATGCATTTAATACTAGACCTACTTTGAGCGATACTCTTCAAGCATTTATGCAGGAACAACAATCAAAGATATGATACCTTGTTTGGTCAATTGGTTGAAGAAAATAAAGAAATTAAAAACCAAATTTCTAAATTGACAAATTCTTTTGCAATAAATGAAAAAGGAAAATTTCCTTCTCAAAATCAACCAAATCCAAAGAATGTTAATTCGTGTGAAACCTCAATTGAACATGCTAAGTCTGTCATTACTCTTAGAAGTGGTAAAATAATTGATAACACACCTTCACCAAAGGAAGTTGAAAAATCTAGGAATAATGATGAACTAAACAAGTCCAAATTGAGTGAATCGAATGAATATCATTTTCTTGCTCCTTTTCCCCAAGCTTTAAATCCTCCAAAGAAATTGAATCAAAATTCTGAAATTTTGGATGTCTTTAAAGAAGTTAAAGTTAATATTCATCTGTTAGATGCTATTAAACAGATCCCTTCTTATGATAAAATTTTAAAATATTTGGGCAAATTTAAAAGAAAGCATCAGGTGAAGAGAACTGCATTTTTGACCGAACATGTGAGTGCATTGTTGCAACATAAGGTCCCTCCCAAATACAAATATCCAGGAAATCCCACACTTTCATGTGTAAGTGGAAAAAATTACATAAATTGTGCTTTGCTTGATTTGGGGCCTTGTGTAAATTTATTGCCATATTCAGTATATTTGCAGTTAGGTGTTAGTGAATTGAAGCCCACAACAATGAAGTGACAACTTGCTGATCGTTCTGTACGAATGCCAAGAGGGGTAATTGAAGATGTATTGGTCCAAGTGGACAAATTTTACTACCCTATTGACTTCGTTGTTTTAGATACACAACCTGTTTTGCATTCTGAAAATGAAATTCCTGTCATTTTAGGACTTCCCTTCCTTGCTACATGTGACACACACATTAGTTGCAGAAGTGGGGTAATGAAACTCAGTTTTGGTAACTTGACATTGGAAATTAACATTTTTAATGTTTTAAGGCGACCTTATGAAGATGATGAATGTGCAGTGGTGAACTTGATTGAAGCTCTTGTGAAGGATCAATTTGAGAAGACTAGTATTTCTGAATCTTTAGAGGCTCTGTTATTGAATTCTAAAGAATTTGAATTACTTGAGGATCCAGAGATTGCTGGTCTTAATTCGTTGTTAAATTCCTTGCAGGTTGATAAATAGAGGCCAAGGTTTGAGAAGCTTCCACCTCAGAAGGAAAAGACATTAACATCATATGTGGAAGTTCCTAAGCTAGAATGGAAGCCTACCTGCGGGACTTAAACATGCATTCTTGGGGTCCAACAACACTTTTCCAGTGGTAATATCTTCTGAACTTGACTCTTTGCAAGAAGGTAAGTTACTTAATGTGTTGAATTCTCACAGATCTGACATTGGTTAGACTCTTGCTGGCATTAAGGGAATTAGTCCTCTTGTTTGTACTCATAAAATATTTTTAGAGGATAAAGCCAAATTATCTAGGGAGGCACAACGTAGGTAAAACCCAATCATGAAAGATGTTGTTAAAACTGAGGTGTTGAAATTAATAGATGCAGGTATTATTTATTCCATCTCTGATAGTAAATGGGTAAGTCCTACTCAAGTTGTACCTAAGAAATCTAGCATAATTGTGGTTGAAAATGATAAAAATGAATTGATACCTACTAGAGTTGTTTCAAGTTGGCGTATGTGTATTGATTATAGAAAGCTAAATTCTGCAACTAGAAAAGACCATTTCCCTTTACCTTTTATTGATCACATCTTAGAAAGGGTAGTCGGTCATGAATTTTATGGATTCTTAGATGGATACTCAAGTTATTATCAAATTGAAATTGCCATTGAAGATCAAGAAAAAACTACTTTTACATGTCCTTTTGGTACTTTTGCTTTTTGTAGAATGCCTTTTGGACTATGTAATGCTCATGCTACTTTTCAAAGATGCATGATCAATATTTTCAATGATATGGTTGAGAAATTTCTTGAAGTTTTCATGGATGATATTTCTGTTTTCGGTAATTCTTTTGATAATTGCTTGAGTAATTTGGAAAAAGTATTGGTTCGATGCTAGGAGAAAAACTTTGTTTTAAATTGGGAGAAATGTCATTTTATGGTTTCTTCTAGAATTGTTCTTGGCCATATTGTTTCATCTAAAACAATTGAAGTGGATAAAGCTAGATTTCAAAATTGTCAGTTCCAAAAATTGTTAAAGATTTCAGATCATTTTTAGGTCATGCTGGTTTGTATAGGAGATTTATTCAGAATTTTAGTGCAATATCTAGACCCTTGTGCAATCTCCTATTAAAAGATAGTAAATTTGAGTGGTCTAATTCATGTCAAAAGGTTTTTGAGAAATTAATTGAAATGCTCACATCTGCTCCAATTATGCAACCACCTAATTAGACTTCAGCTTTTGAAATTATGTGTGATGCCAGTGATTATTCAGTTGGGGCTGTTTTGTTGAAAAGAAAGGATAAGAAGCCACATGTCATCCATTATGCAAGCAGAACCTTGAACAATGTTCAGATGAATTATTCTACAACTAAAAAAGAACTCCTTGCCGTGGTATTTGCTTTGGATAAGTTTGGTGCTTATATAGTTGGATCACATATTGTTATTTTCACTGACCATGTAGCTTTAAAGTACCTTTTAGAAAAGAAAGATGCTAAAGCTTGACTGATTAGATGGATCCTACTACTTCAAGAATTTGACATCACAATGAAAGACAAAAAGGGAGTAGAAAATGTAGTGGCTGATCATTTGTCTAGATTGAGTTTTGAGGATTCCATTGGAACATTGCCAATTAATGACTCTTTTCCATATGAGCAATTATTTGCTATTTCGGAATTACCTTGGTTTGCTAACATTGTTAATTTTCTTGCTACAGGTAAGCTTCCATCTTTTTGGACTGCTCAAGACAAGAGGAAATTTCTTGAAGAGGTTAAAAATTTATTTTGGAATGACCCTTATCTGCTTAAATATTGCCCTGATCAGGTCATTAGGAGATGTGTACCTGATAATGAAATCCATGCAGTAATTTCTTTTTGTCATAATAAAGCATGTGGAGGTCATTTTTCTGTAAAGAAAACCACTGCAAAATGGATTTAATTGGCCTACGCTTTTTAACGACACTAATTCTTTTTGTCGAACTTGTAACCGTTGTCAAAAGTTGGGTGCAATTACCCGTAGAAACATGATGTCTTTGAACCCATTTTGGTAATTGAAGTATTTGATTGTTGGGGAATTCATTTTATGGATCCATTCCCTATTTCTTTTGGATATCTTTATATCTTGGTCGGTATTGATTATGTTTCCAAATGGGTACATGCTGCTCCTTGTTGACATAATGATCATAAAACTATTTTGCGATTTTTAAAAGAAAACATTTTCGCAAGATTTGGAACACCTTGAGTTATTATAAGTGACGGGGGGGAAACAATTTTTGTAATAAACCTTTTGAGGCTTTAATGAAAAAATATGGTGTCACTCATAAAGTCGCTACCCCATATCACCCACAAACAAGCGGTTAAGTTGAACTTGCTAATCGGGAGATAAAACAAATTTTGGAAAAAACTGTGAGTCCTAACCGTAAAGATTGGTCTTTGAGATTAACTGATGCTTTATGGGCATATCGTACAACATATAAATCTCCCACAGGGATGTCACCATACAGAGTGTAAGGCTTGTCACTTGCCAGTTGAACTTGAACATAAGGCATATTGGGCAATTAAAATGTTTAATTTTGGTTTAAATGATGCAAAATTAAAATGTTTAATTTTGGTAATGTTTTAAAGTTAATGGTCAACGCCTTAAACCATTTTTGGAGAATTTTGTTTTGCACAATGACACGATTCACTTGGAGAATCCTGTTTATTAGGATTGAATTTTCTGACTATCTTTAGTTTAGTATTTAGTTTAATTATTGTTTTTTTTTCTTTTTGTGTTTTATTTATTTATTTATGTTTTATGGATACTAATGAGTTGTGGGATATATTTTGAAGAGTTTAAGTTTTTCTTTTCAGGTGATCTCTTCTTGCCCAATTATAATCATTTGTTTCTCTTTAATGAAGTATGCATGCTCACATTGAGGACAATGTTTCATTCATGTTGGGGGGAAGTGGAATCATTTCTTGCAATTTGTTAGTTTCTTAAATTTAAATTTTTATTTTTTTTTTTTTTTTTTATTTAAACACCCACACCATCCACTTCTAAAGCAAAGAAATCAAAGCTTCATTTTTCCATAGAAGGAGACTTTAGTTTGGCCCTCTAAAGTGTCTCTCTTGGGTCTTCAAGCATCGCTTCTTGGGGCTCATTACTTGAGCCTCCTAAGATCACACATTTCTCTCTTGAACTCCTCTCGTGATCTTGCGTGCGCTTTCCTAGGTTCTCCAAGGCCTCCAACTGCTTTTGGATGTCTTCAGAATAAATACTAACCATCTTTGATAGCTTTTCATTCTCTTCCTGCAATATTTGAAGTTGATGTCGGTTCTCCTTTGCTTTATTTGCCCTATCCTTTTCTTTTGATGTCACGCTGATAATCATCAACCAAATTCCTCTTCGCCGCCAATTGAGCTCTCAGTACTTGCACCTCATGAGATTTTTCAATGAGGCGATGCCCTACAGTTGCGATAGATGCTGCACTTTGCACGCTCAATGCCATGGCATCGCTCACTAGCCGGTTGTCATCCCTTGTTCCCAAGACATGCACATCCTTGGAAATCACCAAACTCCTCGCCACTCCAATAGAAACTTCATTGTCAAGGAGTAACGAATCATTAACTGTCACTGGACCTCGTGAGGAACCAAAGTAGGGCATCTAGACAGGTGTAGCTCCGTGCCCCTATGTCTGTATGGGCGGAGCTAGGTTGAGATCTAGAGAAGATGGGAAGGAAGACGTCATTATATTTTGATTTCTTCTTCTTCTCTTTTCTCTCTTCTTCATTTTTCTTTTTCTCATCTCTTTTCTCTCTTCTGCATGGTTGTGATTTTATCATGCGTTCATTTTTTAGAGACAATTATCATCAGTAGAACCCCCCAATCACGCGTTTCTTTTTTGACACAATTCCCTCGAGCCTCACACATAACTTTCTCTGGACGAACTTTCAACAAAGTTGTTACGAGTTCCCAAGAAACGAGAAAGTTGTCGCTCTTCTATTTGCTTTGCGTCCCAAAAAGCGTCGTTTTTGTCATTAAGGTTAGGGATAAAACGAGCATCTGTTTGTTATAAAAAAAAGAAAAAAAAAGGAAAAAAAAAGAAAAAAAAAGAGCAAATTTTCCCCACATTTTATTTTATTTTTTTTTTTTTTTTTTTTAAATAACCAATTTGTGTTTCCTTTTGGTTTTGTTTATTTTATTCGTTTGTGTGTTTCCATTTAAAATTTTATTTTATTGTTGAGTTTTTTTTTTCTTTCTTATTTCTCTTGGCAATTCCATATATTATATCTTTTGTGCTTCATGAATGGAATAATTTCAAGGTGAAATTGGAAAAGCATTTTTCAGGTAAGAAGTTTCTTAGTCTTCTCCTTTCTAAATTTTTGCATTTGTTATGCTTTCATTTTAAATAAACACATTGAGGACAATGTTTCATTCAAGTTGGGGGGGGAGTGGAATTAGTTATCGCAATTTGTTTCCAAGAGAATCTCCCATAAGAGAAGTTTAAAAAAAATGAATAAAATAAAATAAAATCCTAAGCTTGTTGTCATCAATATATATATATATATATATATATATATATTTATGCATTTAATTGAGATTTGATATTCATGCATGAATTTAAAATTGAGAACACTTGAGCGATACAATAACTAGTCTTTAGTCTTTTTCATTTATTTCTACGTAATGAATGATTTATGAGCTAGGCTTTGATAAATTCACACTCACACTAATACGCTTGAGAATATAGAGTTTGAGATTGATTGTATTTATCTTTGTTTTTGCAAAAAATAATAATAAATTAATAAAAAAAAAAAAAAAAAAAAAAAAAGAACTTTCAGTAAGTAACCGGGCCTCTTGCCTAATCAGTAGTGAGTGTTCGCGTCAAACCGTGAAGTTCTTTTTTTGTTTTAAAAAAAAATTGCATGTGTGACTTGTTTAGCTTTGTAGCCTTCTTAACTCAAGTTATTAAGCTCATCGGGATGTTTCAATACCTAATGCCTTAAAGCCTTTGTGTTTGAGAGTCATTGGCCTAACACTTGCTGCATGGGTTAATTAGAAAGCTGAAGGGAGCTGCACAGTCCACATAATAAAAATAAAAATAACATGTATATATTTATTATTATTTTTTTTAAAAAAAAAGAAATCTAAGATAGCAAGGATGGTGTGATTAAGATTGAATTTTTGTCTTTTCAACTGTGTTAGTTCATTTTACACCAAAGAAAGCAATTGAAAAGTTTATTAATGATGATAAATGACTTTGACTTCAGACTGGAAGAACTTAAAGTTTTGGATTTGTGTTCGCTCTTTTAAATTTGTTCATGAATTGAGAATCTTGGTTTTTGAGCCTTGACATTATTGATGATGATTTGGCAGGAGAGTTACTTAAAATTTCATCTTCTTGTGGGTATCATCCTTGAAAACCCTCACGAGACTTTACTCATCAACCAGGGAAACCTAAGGGTTTAAAGGCTTGCTGCATATGCTAAATGCAATTGAGATCTTTGCGAAAGTGGCTTAGTTGTTTTGTTTGTTTGTATTTATTTTTTGAGTTGGAGCTAGATTTTGTTTATGCTTGAATTGCTAGAGACTAGCAATAAGCTAGTTGGGGGGGTGTGATAATATTACAATAATACATGTTTATTTCCCTTAACGTTTAATTTTAAAAGCAATTATAATGGGTAATTAAATAATCTTATGCATTTATATTTTTACTTGGTCAAATTGGTTTAATGTTATTTTATTAACTTTGATCAATGACTTCCTATGTAGGCTTGTGTGCTATGAAAACCAACTCAATTTGCATGCCAAGAAGTGTGTCATCCAAAGATAATATGCTAGTGACCAATTAAAGAACTTCAAAATATTCATGAAGCAATGATGATGAAGGAAGAAGTGCAACTAGCACAAGAAGAAAATAATTGAAAAGAATGCATGAAGTGCCACCTCACAAGCATGTGAATTCAATGTCTTCTTTCTTGCTTCCATACTTCATGCATTCTTTTCAATTCTTTACTTCTTGTGCTAGTTGCACTTCTTCCTTCATCATCATTGCTCAATTGATATGTTGAAGTTCTTTAATTGGCCACTAGCATATTATCTTTGGGTGGCACACTTCTTGGCATGCAAATTGAGTTGGTTTTCATAGCACACAAGCCTACATAGGAAGTCATTGATCAAAGTTAATAAAATAACATTAAACCAATTTGACCAAGTAAAAATATAAATGCATAAGATTATTTAATTACCCATTATAATTGCTTTTAAAAATAAATATTAAGGGAAATAAACATGTATTATTGTAATATTATCATGAATCTCAGCCACACATCTAGCTATTCTAGGAAGTGGCTTATTTCAGCCTTATATTTTGGAGCCTTACACCTGCCATTCTAAGAGACTAAGTGCATTCACTATTATCATTCTAGGCTTATACTTATGCAATCAGCTTATTACTTACAATTCTACAGCTGTACATGCTGCCCAAGCTTCCTTTTTTTTTCTTTGCGAATCGAACTTCTTTGAATCAGTCTATTTAAGCCTAAAGTACATTGAAAGTTTTACAATTATAATTAGTCTGTTTGACAAAGTAGAAGAGATGCATGCCTGAATTTTATAAACTTTGAAACAGTTGTACAGATTTGTTTTCAATGTATGTTGGAGAGGGTGAAGCTTTCCTGCGCAATACCTTTCATATTGCTCGCGTTGCAGCACCCAGCATAATATTCATTGATGAGTTTGATGTTGTTGGTGCCAAAAGGTTAGTAACTTAGCATGTTGCAGTTTGGGATTAATCTGCATATTGATGATTTGTTAATTTTGTGTATTGGAACAAGTACGCTTAATCTAATGAGAATTTCCATGATGAACTCCTACTTACATACAAGTCCCATAACTTTTTCGCTCAACTTAAATGGGCAGAGGTGGGAGTTTAAGCAACAGCAGTATCGTCGTTGGAGAAAGGATTCTGTTTACTTTGCTGACTGAAATGGATGGTTCAGCAGAGGCCAAGGTAAGCACTACGTCCCATTAAATTCTTTTACTTGTGCAATAATTTTAAGATCAATTTGTGAGAGGTATCCATGCTGCATTAGTTCTCATTTTCCTGTGCCTTTAAATTGTACTCTCCTTTGGTTTTCAGGGAGTCTTTGTTTTGGCTGCTGCGAATATTCCTTTTGCTTAATTTGGAGTAAGATTAGAAGGTGTTGTGCCTCTTTGTTTTGATGTTGTCGTACTTTTGTAAGCCTAATGCTTCTCTTCTTCTACTTTGTGGTTGTGAGTCTTGGGCAAGTGTGGAATTTGCACTACTTTGAGAAGCAATTTTCCGAAACTTGGAAAATATTGTCTCTCTACAAGGACTTCTCATGCACAAAATGCAGAACAAACCCAACACCAATGTATACCAGCCAGTAGCTACTACCTGAAAGAGTTGGGTTTAACTAAGTAGCTGGTGCCTTGAGCTTTAGTTTTCTGCTTTAGGTTAATTTGTTTCCTAGCATTTTCCGTTGAGTAACTATTTCGTGATGAAAATAGAACAATTATTTTTGGGACAAAATTATGCACCATGCAAGAAGGTTTTAGGACCATATTATTGGTTACTGCGTACAAAGTTTTTTAAAATAAATTTCATGAAAATAATAGGATTAAATTTTTTAATTCGAAACCTTACCTTATATGATTAGATGATGAAGAGCCCATATTATGTAGCTCAGCTCGCTGTAGACGTGTTTCAGGTGAAAGTCTTGTTGGAGGAATCACCCTCATTGCTTTCTGCTGATGTGATGCCCCTCAAATGTTTGTGTGCGAAATAATTTTACTTTCCATTCAATACATAAATTAGGATTTTACAAATAAGTCCATTTTTATTTTTAGTATGACATATCTATATAGAGCCTATTCGGAAAAAAAAAAACTCAAAACTAACCACTAGTTATTTTCTAAGAACCAATTAGAGAATGACAAGTGTTGAGCAAAAAAAGAAGAAAGAAAATGACAAGTGACTAATTTGAGTTTTTCTCTCCAATTAGACTTTTTTTTTTTTTTTTTTTTTTTTTTTTTTTTTTTTTTTGTTGTTATATACCATGTTAAAATGAGCCTATTTTTAAAAAGCCCTAAATAAATAAAAGGCTGTGAAAGGGGAGATGTTGAACATTTATGCGTTAAGCTTCTCTCCTCTATGATGTATGCACGAAGATTTGCGAAAAATGACTGAAGGACACGAGGCTTTGTTTTAATACTTCGTTTCTATCATTAGCTCCCAAGCTCACTAGTACGAGATACCAGACAATTGAAAGCTTTCTACAACATCGAGAATTTTATAGTAAGACATGGGCCCTTATCTAAGGACCATATATAAGGCCCTCACACGCATCCAAATTGTCTTATCAGATTCGAGTGTACCATTTTTCTTAGCTGTCGACTCCAGCTCACATGAAATTTTAAGCGGAAGAAGATTAGATACAAGAGGTATTCGGAGATGACAGATTTGAATACTGTACCTCGGGTTATTCTCTTAACCAACTCAACTCTAAACGTGGACGAAGATTTGAGGAATTGTTAAGAGATTGCAAAATCTAGATAAACCAAAATATCCAGAATCGAAATTTAGACAACGAAAATTGAAACTAATCAATACAAGCGGGGCATTTTATTTTACTTTTAATCTTAAAAATAAAAAAATAAAAATTGTTTCATGCAGTCTAGGTTTAAGTGGGGAAATAATGGAGCTTGAATACAAAACAAAATGCCTGCCAGCATAACGGTGGACAAGAAAATTATGGAAATGGGGACATTTTAATCAGTCATTCATCCATTGCACCTCACGCAGTATTTGCATCTATAGTAATACAATGTCATGAAAGAAGTGAAAAGCTAATGAAGGAAAGTAGAGCAGAGACGACAATAAAAGTAATACTAAAACTAAAATCAAAGATATAATTGATGGATCATTAAAACTTCAAATTTTAGCATATCCTCAATATTGTTTCCATAGAAGCCTAAACCAAAAAGTGGATTCAGTATGAACTAATAGATCATCTCAGATCACCAAATTTCAGATATACTCGTTTTTCTAGGACGCCACTCAATGTAAGCAAAACTTTAGCACCTGAAACAGATACATCTAGCATAGAATAACAGGTTAGTACGCTTCTTCCCAACAAGTGCAGCACTTAAATATACAATCTTATGTCAGATTAATTGTAAATTGCCTAACTAGTTACAAGTTAGAAATCTATAACCATGGAAGAAATGTGTGTTGTTGCAAGTTACAACATATGCATTAACATCACACTGCTAACGCAGCCAGTGATGACTAAGAACTAATTGCATTTTGGCATGAACTTATTCAAACCAGTAACAGGCAAGGTTATTTCAAGTTTCAGATCTTCTGAAATCTGAATCATACAAAGCATGGGAAGCAAGGGGAGAGCTTTCTTGAACCTGGTTCAGGGCTTCACCATAACTGCAGTACTCAAAGAGTGAGTGTTTCAGCATCCTTGGCACTTCTGGACATTCCGTGGCCTAGCCTTCCATCATCCTGCTCATCATATGGATTTCCCCTATAATTAGAACTTGCTTCTTCATTTTCTGAACAGCCAGGTCTTTCAGTTAAGAACTGTTCCCAGAAAACATCATTTACTCTAACTGGAGCAGGTGGAGGCCCTTGATTGTTATTTGTGGCTTCTTGGGAGCAAGTTTTATGCATGTCTTCATCAGCTGGATTTTTGTTTGTAAAGGCTCTTATATCTGATTCCTTGCCAATGGCATTTAATCCTGATGCTAGGGATTTGCTGATATCCTGACCTACTTGGGGTATTGTAGCAGAATGAGGACTACTATTGACTTGCAACGGGGAAGATGCTAGAGTGAGCTTTAATTGGCAGGATATCTGGCCATCACCTTCTTCGTTAGAAGACAAACCTGGCTGCAGTGAATGAAGTCTCGGGTTCCCAACAGTTAGTGCTTTTCGTGATAACAATGAATCCATTTTGAATGCAAAAGATGTTCCAGTATCTGAAAGTTCTAAGGTTTCAGGTGCAAATAACAGGCCTTCTGTTCTTTTCTGTACACCTTTAAGTTCTTCAGATATTTTCCTAGTTGGACTATACCCATCTTCATTGGAACTCTGTGTGCTGCGTGAAACCAGGTTAATGTCTGAAACAGCTGGTGATAATTCTAGTCTCAGTTTACTTGAAAAGTCTTGGTGGAAAATATTCCCAAACTCAGATCTGGAACTACTTTGGTTATCCACAAAACTATTCTCCACAACTGGCTGTAGGTGATCAACATCAGGCAATCGCCTTTTCTTATTACATGCTGAGATATCCATAGCTTCGATTTTTCTAGTGAGATGTTCAACAAAAGTAGGGTTCTGAACATTTTTATCTAAGAATTTCAGCAAATCCTTCTGCCGTTGTTCCATGGAATTCACCCCGCTGTGTTAGGTCTTCCAACTGCAGCTTTGCATCAGATCGCTGCTGCTTGAACCTTGAAATATTTGCCTCTAGTGTGGCTTTATCATGTGAAAGCTTCTCTATTTCGTCATCAAGAGCCGCTCTCTCCGGATCTACCATAGAACCTTGAGGATTACTGTGGCTGTGGATGGGTTTTCTGCGGTGGATATTCTTAAGAAGATGCTTTTGATCTTGTATGAAGTCTTCATTAGCAAATTCCCATCTCTCTGGATCAATCTTTCGAAATCCCTGTGACAAATTTATGTCCCAACGTATTTAGTTACATTATATTGAGACTCAGTTCCGCCATGTAAAAACAGCGATCAATTAGAGATGATACAAAATTATGCACAATGTATTTGAAAGTGGGTGAGCGGGGGGATAGATATATGATGCATGAGTATGATTCAAATAAAACAAAAAGAAATAAAACAAAAAAAGAAAAAAAAAAAAAAAAAAAATCCTCAATTAGAGTTGCTCACCATAAGCCATGGAACATATCAAGAAAATTCATGCATTGGAAAACACAACCGAGGAAGGCCCTATAGTTAAATTAAATATATTACCTCAATGAAAAATACATCTCTTTCGTTAATACATGCAAATCCGCATTCTAAAAACAAAGAAATCAGAGGACTTCAACAAATACAATGCAATGTAGCAACAGCACGGAAAATGAAAAAAAGAAAAAGAAATATGCTTTATTTGAGAAATTGTAAAAGGGTGCCATTTGGCATTACGTTGGAGCACATTTTTTTGCTGTTTGATGTTAAATATGACATAACATGGAATTATAGAAAAACACTGGATATGCTCTAAGCAAGAAAGTTGTGAAACTTTAGATCTGTCCCTGCACATAAAATCTTATAACACACACAAGACTCAATTCTAAAAACTGTTTTGATTCAGACTCCTAGGGAAATAACCATCAAAACCATAACACTCGTCATCCATTGTCGCATTCCAGGCCTAAACGTTAAAAATCCTAAAATTGCAAAATCTAATAATTTGAAAGAAAAATATCAACGTTCTGCCTTCAACTTGGTGCACAACCCAAACACAACTATGGATGGCCCTAAGAAGGTAAAGAGACTGAAAACAAAATCATCAAAGTAATATTTAGCAACAGTTATATCAATTAGATAGTACTTGCTTTTAAGTTCTCAAAAGACGATTTCTGCTCAAAATTCCACTTTCAGTGATTTGGTATTAATTAATGCTGACTACGAAGAGACTATAATATGTTCCTAAATGTCCAAAGTACCATGGAGTTGATGGTAAATAGGATTGACAAACAAATTAAAGGTAGTGCTAGTAGTGGATAAAACAGGAGGATCATACTATTTTCAAGTTTCATAGTCAAATAATTCTTAGGGAGTTTCACTAAAACACCCAAAATGGGGATTGAAATTATAAAAAACCCAACACCCAAAACACTTTATAAACACACCCAAAACCCATCATTACACACACTCAAAACCCATTTATAAACACACCCAAAAAATATACAATTGTTGATTTTGGGGTTGATTTTGGGTGTGTTTCTATGTTTAAATAGTGCTTGGGTTTTTTTTTATAAATACATGTCTAGGATTGGGTTTATTTATAAATTTGTATAATTCTTAATGGTTAAGTAGACACATTAGAAGCAATTGAAACTTCAAAAAATTGTTCAAGCTCATTGGTTAGGTATTCAACTGTAAGAAAACTGGTCAACTAACTATATACAAATTGAGCATTAGTAATCTTACATGTAGGAAAATACCATTCATTTTGTTTTATAAATAAATAAATAAATAAATAAATATATATATATATACAGAAATTCTCCCATGCAGATGTCCGGACGTTATTACTGTGTAAACGTCATGTATTTTGTACTACCCCTCCCTGTTTTCCTCCCTATTTACTATGGAATCCGCGCAGTAATAAAGTGTGGACATCCGGATGAGAGAAAATATATATATATATATATATATACACACACACATACACACACATATGTATTGAAACTTTTGCCACAACGTAGCAATCAACCTAAAGCAAGGTGGTTCATATGTTTTATATGGAAACACTTGGATATGAAAAAACGGTGCAATGCATTTTGTTTTCAGACTAAAGATGGCCTGGCACATTTCACAAGCAATGCATGTCGAAAAAATAATTAGAAAGCTTCATAACACAAATGTTTGATGAGCAAGATTATCTATACATATCGAAACAAACACAAATTAATCACTAAAAACAGTGAAATCCCTTTGTGAGGATGCTAATTTTTGTATTTACTTTAATTGACTCTTACTAAAATTAGGGCATTTTTCAAGGCATCAAGACACTCATCTTTCAAAACTCCTTGCCTTTAATCAAGGTCAGTTAAGTCAAATTTGCCTCTTATTCCAGTTAAAGTACTTCCCTAGCAGCAAAAAACAATTGCTTCAAAAAATTTCAGCTCCCATCCTAGTGTCGTGGCCCATATAGTTTTCCCTTGCAATACCAGCATTTTAGAAGATACATTACCTGAAGTCTTGTCTCATCTTTCAATGTTGGATATCTATGATATGAAACAACAGAGTGGCCCAAGCCCATCTGCACATTTTGTTGACACATTCCTGATAGCTCCACAGTAGCCCTTCCTCCAGTATCCAATGGCTTACCATCATGACCATACATAATGATGCATCATAATCTAGCCTACAGGTTGACCCTTTACTGGACTCTAACCTAGTTGCATGGTGAAAGTGCTCTGATACCAAATATCATGGCCTAAAACCTACAAAATCAAACTGCAAGGGAAGGCCGCCCAAGAGCTCATATGTGGTCCCAAAATGTTCCACTTTTCAATGTGGCACATTCGGGACATGACACCTTAGCCACGGCATGGCCTTCACATAAGCTCTTCTTGCTTGAAAACCTCAACAGGCAGCCAAAACCCCTTCAATAATCCAAATTTCATATGTATCGCTAAAGATTTGGTAAAGGTTTTATGGTTGAAAGCAATATCTTTTTTCTCAAACTGGAAAAAGAAAAAGAAAACCAAGAACTTTCTGTACAGTTTGGTTGAGCCAGACTAAGAAATTCATTGAATACTTTGAATGAGCCCCACCTAAAAAGTCCCTCTTTTTTCTTCGATATTAATGAAAAACAAATTTTTATTGGAACCAATAAGAAAATACAAATTACATTAAATTGGCAACATATTCACTATAAAAAAATTCAGCTCAAAACCATAAACACCATACAGGAAGGGTTAAAAAACAATTAAATACAAGCTAAAAAAAACTGCTTGACAATCTGCAAAAACAGGGAAAAAACACGATCTCCCTAAACTCAGAACTACCGAGCTCCTGCAATTTCTTAAAATGCTAGTACTTAGAAACCGAAAAAAAAAGAAAGAAACCAAACAATGATTCAGCTTAACTACGGAGTCTTCTAAGTTGATATTCAATAGCAATACTCAACTAATATTAAAAATTATTAATTTTTTCGGTGAACAAATAAAATTCAAAATTTGCGGTTGCTGTAAGTCATCTGTATGGATTTTATTAAATACTATGTATACCAATTGTTGAACCGGTAATTTACAAACACCCAAACACAAAATTAGTAAAACACGAAAATTTTGCAGGCTACATCCAAACAAAGGAAATTGGGAGGAAAATGCTCGATGCTTTCAATTTTTCAAGAATTTAACAATTCACCTAAATCAAATCTTAAAAGGGAAGAAACTTACGTATGTATTGAGCTGACGAATGAAGCTAGAGAAGTTGTTGTGCTTGAAATAAGTGGGGAGCAGAAGCCGAGCGAACTCCGGCGGGTTCCAAACGACGAAACTCTTCTTGTTCGTGCTCCACGACACGATCTCGTCTGTCGCTGAATCATCCACCATGTCGTATGTCTTCAGCAAAAACGGCGCCGGACCGCCTCCTCCGCCCGCCGTCGAAGCTCCTTCCATTATGGGCGCTCGGGGTCAGGGTTTGGGCGGACCCGAATCCGATTGGAACGTTCGAGAGAAATAGGAAAAAAATTGATGACAGGTGGATGAAGCGAGAGTCTACGCTGGAGAAAGAGAAAGAGGAGAGAATTTAGAACGCTCGGGTCGAGACGCGACGGTTGCCAGAGTTGACTTGAAAACATACGGCCTTAAAATGTTCGTTTTCGGTAGCAAGTCAGCATTCAAAATACAGCAAATACTGTTATACTTACATACCCTTGAAATATTAGATGTTTCATCATCTAACGGTTATAAATGCATTGGGTTATTAGGAGCAATAGTCCTTGAATAATAGCCCGAATTGTATTTTGACTCTTCAATATCTAATGGTTGTTGTGGCCCTCTCTAAATTTGCTTTTGTTAACAATAGAGGTCAAGTCGTAAATTCTGTTAATTTTTGTGTTAAATTTCTTAGTAAAAAATGAAAATTGCTTGGTTTTTAATTTAGCTTGATTTTTTTTATCTCTTTTCACCACCATACCACCCAACCACCCACGGCCATACCACCAACCATAACCCACACACTCAAATCCACAACCCACCTTAGCCACTATCTTCCTCGACCCAGCACAACCAACACCAGCTCTCACAATTTGATGTAGAATACATGGTCGAGTTGATTGAGGCTCAGTTGGATAGGCGCGCACGTTGTCGCGGCAACAAAGTCCAATCTATGCAAGTATGGGCTCCGAGCTCAGAATCGGACCCATAACCTATCGTTTTGAAGAGAATTATGTGACAAGTGCAACTCAATCAGTTTCAGCATTTAGCATATTTTTGGAAACTTCTGCTATTTTAGCTAAATTCTATCATTTACTTTGACTTTTCAGCATTTAAAGTTTTTAGAATATTTTTGGAAACTTTTGTTATTTTCCTTTTTGTTTTCTAATTAGCTTTCCTGGCAAATCTAGGGGTTTTCTCATTAGCTTTCCAAGCAAGTCTAGGGTTTCTCTTGTATAAAATGAATGCGTTGGAGTATCCTGAATCATTCATCTTATTTTCTATCAATATATTTGAGGTTTATTCAATTTCTCTGGTGGATTCTAACATGTTACTTGTAAGGTTATTATTCGATCTCCCTATTCCCTTATATCTCGTTGCTTCAGTTAGTATCAGAAAAGGCCTTGCCTCACTCGAAGTGCCTCTAGTGGTGCGTTTAGATGGAGAAGATAAGACCCGTGGAGACGGAGAACCAATCACTCTTGATGAATTCAATACAGCCATCAAGGGTCTACGTCAGATGATCCTAAACTTGGGAAACCAAGCACGACCAGACGAAGATAGAGGAGAAGACCAGTGTAACAAATGGCGGCCCCTACGACACCCTTGTCGAGAAGATAGTGATGTAGAGTCGGAGGAAGAAATTTCTAACGATCATGCCTAACCCAATAACCAACGCCAAGAAGACTATCGCATAAAGACTAAAATTGCATATTTCAATGGGAACCTACAAGTTGAAGATTTCTTAGATTGGGTTGTTGAAGTGGAGAAGTTCTTTAAACTTATGAAAGCCCTCGAGGCGAAGATGGTGAAGCTAATAGCTTTTCATCTCAAAGGAAGTGTTGCAGTGTGTATTAGATGTATGCCCTGAAAGCCAATCATTAGATGAAATCTTTCATGGAAACTCTGTTTAAACCAATTCTTTAGGTTAACACAAAATGGCAAATAAGTCAACATAGGTAACGGTCCATGCCCAACCATTGACTAATTTGACAAGTCCATGGATTTATGAGATAAGGAAAGTGATCTAAAGAAGTTAGATGCAAAGGGACCTTTTCCTATAACTCAAACAAAATTTGTTCTCAGTCATAGGATCGTTCAATTGGGCATTGACAAACCTCAAAGATCAGTACACACTCTATCTACTCAACTAGAAGAATGACTAGTCTCGAGTTATTAGTATGTAGACATTGAGGTAAGTTCGTAGGTGCTTACTAGGGAGTGAGTTCACTAAACGCGATCAAACTAAGTAATCTTGTATGGAAGTTCCACTTGCATGTCAAACAAGATTTCTTCGGTTGTAATAACGGAAGGTTAATCCTTAGATTTAAGGCACCATGGTTGCCTTATAAATGAATAGTCGGTCTTTGATTGTATCATAAGGTTGAGCTCATCCTTGGGCTCAATTCAAGGTAACGTCGGGATCTTCGACAAGTACATAGAGGCAAGTGAGTGTTCGATAAAAGATCTCAACTTTTAGTAAAAGGAAGAGAATGTTCTAAGATATGATTTAGGAATCTCCGGCTAGAGTCGGAGTGCAATTGAGAAAGAATCTTCCAATTATGCTCATTGAATCATATAGCCAATAGAGATCACGCTAGGGATTTGACAGGAATTCCATATCCTATTAATGAGATGAAGAACATTGTGAAGAGAAGGATCAAATTGCGTTATAATTCCAACTAAATGAGTTCTCCTAATATATTATATATTAGCTTAGGTAATTGTAATATGTTGCTAAACGTCACTCACAGTTTGTGGAAGTCTTGAGGACATTCCGTAATTGGGTGCTCACAAAGGGAAAATTAAAAATGGGAGTTTTTAATTCACAATCGATAAAAGAAAGAGTTCATGATCAGCCACCACGGCCTCATTAATTAGAACCCAATGGATCAGACACCCATAGGCTTATGTTTTGGATAATAATGGAAGATGACAAGATCAACAGTTAAGTCAATTAATTAATTTGATTAATTGATTAAGAGAATTAATTAAAGAGTTAATTACATTGAAATAGAATGGGCCTAATTATAGTTTAAGAAACTAAAGGCCCATCGGATTTTAGCAAAGAGGTCTTGAGAAGAGTCAAGTGGGACAAGTTGGACCAAGAGGCCCAAGATAAAACCCACCCCCCTTATGATGTCCAAATGGAGAGCGAGAAGGAGAACCTTAGGGTTCTCCCATGTTTTTTATATATTCACCACTTAGCTCATCTTTCTCCTTATTTAAGTCTTGCAAAGGTGAGGAAGTAAGAGAAAACATCAAATCTCTATTCCTAAGATAAAATCGATCCCAAGAGAAGTGTTGCTAGCACCACATACTTCTATTGTGTATCATCTTTATTCCAATGAGAAGGCTTGGTGTGGAGACTTTGGAGGCCACCACTTTGTGGCTTGGAGGAAAACCAGAAAGTGGATCCTACCACCATCACCTAGTGGAATACTTGGGTTGGACTCAAGTTGCACTCCAAGGGTTAATTTGTAGTTATCTTCCCCTCCTTAATTTCAAGTAATGGTAGTTTTGAATACACATCAAGTCTTTGAACTTTAAGATCCTTTGTAAGGTTTTGGTTTTTAGGCTCTAGGATTTTTTCGGTTGCCTATTTTGATATCTAAATAAAAAAATTAATTACAGAAGACACACCAAAGGCAAGGCAAAGCTCCTGTACAGACTTGGTGATAGATTAAACAATTAATGATGGACAGATGCCTCATGACAGACTTTGAGCAATATTTGTATCGCCTTTACCACAATTGCATCCAAGCCCATAGGAAGGTGGCATAGTATACATCTAAATTCATGCGCCTCGCAGAATGTTACCTTGATGAAACCAATAGTCAAGAAATGGCAAGGTACATGAATGGGCTTAGACCTTCCATCCAAGATCAAATTGGGCTGCAAACTTTCTGGATCGTGCAAGAGGCTAATAGCATGGCCCTGAAGGCAGACCTTATGGAGAACAAGAGATGATCGAGTTCTAGAAATTTTCAGAAGAAATATACCGATTCTCTTGTCCCTACAAAAGACAAAGGTAAAGAAGTTGAATAGGTTCTTGGGAATAATAATACTAACAAATGGTAGGGCACAAAAGGACCAACAGAAAGTAGTAGTAGCATTGGGGGTATTTGTTTCTAAAGACAAAATCCTTATGCAAAACTTTATGGAGATCACTGTTATCGTAAAGGCAAATCGGGCCACAAATCCAACGATTGTCCAAATCGTCGGCAAGTTAACCTAGCTGAAGCATATGAAGATGACAATGAGGATCATGGTGCCGATGAAGAGTATGTTGGAGCTGATTTCGCCTATGACGAAGGCGACGAAGTAATTAACATAGTCTTGCAACGGGTGTTACTCGCACCAAGACAAGAAGAAGGGCAACGACATAAGATTTTTCAATCTCTTTGTACCGTCAACAACAAGGTGTGAAATTTAATTATCGATGGTGGTAGCTGCAAGAATTTCATATCCAAGAAAGTCGTGGATTGTTTAAAGTTGCCAACATAATAGCATGAATCACCTTATTCCTTGAGATTGGTGAAGAGAGCTCATTCAGTTCATATGACAAAAGTTTAAAAGGTATCGTTGTCTATTGGTAAGCAGTACAAGTTCGAGGTTCTATGTGATATTATTAATATGGATGCTAGGCACATTTTTTTGGGAAGACCTTGGCAGTTTGATACAGATGCTACTCATAAGGGACGCGATAACCTGTATGTTTTCAATTTGGGCTCTCACAAAATTGTCATGGCTCCTGTAAATGACTCAGGCAAGCCTAAGAAACTAGCTGCGAATTCCAGTTTCCTCACCATAACTAGCAATGAATGTGATTGCTTAGAAGCCACTAAAGATGCAGAAACAATTTATCTCGTGGTGATGAAAAGGTTGTTAGCTGTTGTACTTGAGAAAGTTGAAATCCCAAATGAAGCGCGGAAAATCTTGCAGGGGTTCAAGAAGTTGATTGACGACGACCTACTCAACCAGCTGCCTCCCATTTGGGATATCCAACATCATATTGATTTGGTGCATGTAGCAAATCTCCCCAATCTGCCCCATTATCGAATGAGTCCTAAGGAGAATGACATTCTACAGAAGAAGATAGAAGAGTTGCTACAAAAAGGGTTTATCCGTGAGAGCATGAGTCCTTGTGCAGCCCCAATATTTTTGGTGCTCAAGAAAGATAAAACAAGGCATATGTGTTGATAGTAAGGCGATAAAAAAATTACTATCAAATTCAGATTTCCAATAACACGGTTAAAAAACATGTTGGATGTGTTGGAGGGTTTTAAGCTGTTTTTGAAGATAGACCTTCGAAGTGGCTACCATCATATTGGCATCAAGCCGAGTAATGAGTGGAAAACAGCGTTAAAAAACAAAGATGACTTGTACAAGTGGCTAGTGATGCTTTTTGGCTCTTTTTTTATTGTGGTGTATTTGGATGATATTTTGATTTACAGTTGAACCAAGGAAGAACATTTGGAGCATTTGAAATAGTTCCTTCGCGTTTTGGTGGAAAACGAACTTTTCATGAACCTGAAGAAGTGTAATTTATACACCAATAAATTACTCTTCCTATGTTATGTTATTGGTGAGGATGGCATTCAGGTGGATGACGAGAAGGTATGAGCTATTAGTGATTAGCCTAGTCAGAGAATAGTAAGCGAGTTACGAAGCTTTCATAGGCTGGCTACCTTTTATTGAAGGTTTGTTCGTGATTTTAGCACCATTACCGCACCCATCATTAGGTGTTTGAAGCAGGGAAAATTTCAGTGGGCTGATGAGCAAGAGAAGAATTTCGCACTTATTAAGCACAAGTTGTGCATTGCCCTGATCCTAGTCCTTCCTAACTTTGAAAAGATATTCGAGGTTGAATGTGATGCAAGTGGGGTGGGAATAGGTGTTGTTTTGTCTCAAGAGAAGAAACCAATGACCTTTTTTTAGTGAGAAACTTAGTAAGGCTTGCCAAAAATGGAGTACTTACAATTGTAAATTTTATGCAATGATTCATGCTTCGAAACAATGTGAGCACTACTTCATGCAACGTAAGTTTATGCTATATATAGATCACTAGACCTTGGAGTTCCTCAACAGTCAGAAATTCGTGAGCAAGATGCATATAGGTGGAGTACCTTCATGCAGAAATTCCCTTTTGTGATCAAACATAAATCAGCCACCCTTAACTGTGTGGCAGATGCCTTGAGTGGAAGAGCGAACATGCTAGTTGCCATGGCTCAAGAGGTTGTGGGATTTTAGTTCTTGAAGGAGCTGTATGAAACCGATGAAGACTAAAAGGAGATTTGGTCCAACTATGTTTGCAACCAAACCTGTTACAGAGTTTCACCCAACTAATGGTTATTTGTTTAAGGGCAACAAACTTTGTATTCCTGAGACATCCTTGGGGAAGAAGTTAATTCAAGATTTATATGGAGGCGGCCTTAGTGGACACTTGGGAAGAGACAAAACAATTGTTGGCATGAAAGAACGATATTATTGGCCACAATTGAAAAAGGACATGGGAAAGATCGTGTAGAAGTGTTACACTTGTCAGGGGTCTAAGGGTCAGTCTCAAAACACTAGTCTTTACATGCCTTTGCATGTACCTAATGATATTTGGCAAGACCTTTCCATGAACTTTGTGTTGGGACTCCTCTGTATGCAAACATGAGTACATTTTTTTTGACACGTTCTACAAGATGGCTCACTTCATCGTATGCAAGAAGATGAATGATGTTGCAAGCATAGCCAAACTGTTTTTCAGGGAGGTTGTTCATTTGCATGGAGTGCCCAAATCCATCACCTCTGATCATGACACCAAGTTCCCCAGTCACTTCTGGGTTACTTTGTGGAATCTGTTTGGAACCGCCCTTAATCGCAGTAGTACTCCACATCCCCAAACTAGTGACAAGATAAAAATTACCAACAAAAATTTGGGTAACATGGTCCGTAGCATCTGTGGAGACAAATCCAAACAGTGGGATAACGCACTGCCTCAAGTAGAGTTTGCTTATAACATCATTATTCACAGTGCCACAGGAAAATCACTTTTCGCTTTGGTTTACATTTTAGTTCCTAACCATGTGATTGATTTAGTGAAGTTGAAGTTGCCTAAGGCCCATGTCTTAAGTATTCAGGCCATGAAGAATGAGGTTAAAAAGAGGTTGGAGAAAACCAATGCTAAATACAAAGTCGTTGCTGACAAACAAAGGCGAGTCAAGGTGTTCGATGAAGGCAACTATATCATGGTTTATCTAAAGAATGAGAGGTTTCCAATGGGTACTTATCGCAAGTGTCAGCCCTGCAAATATGGTCCCTACAAGATTCTAAAGAAGATCAACAACAATGCTTATATTGTGGACTTGCGCTCTTCCATGGAGATTTCAAGCACTTTCAATGCTACTGACCTATATGCATTCCATGAAGATGATCTGCTCTATATTGAAGATAACTCAGGGTCCAGTTCTTCTGAAGTGGAAGGGACTGATGTAGAATACATGGCCGAGTTGATCATGGAACAACTGGACAAGTGCGCATGTCGTCGCGACACCAAAGCCTAATCTGTGCAAGTATGGGCCCCGAGCTCAGAATCAGACCCATGACCTATTGTTTTGAAGAGAACTGCTTGACAAGTGCAACTCACTGAGTTTCAACAGTTAGCATATTTAGGGAAACTTTTGCTATTGTAGCCAAATTCTATCGTTTGCTTTGACTTTTCAACATTTATAGTTTTTAGAATGTTATGGGAAACTTTTGTTATTTTCCTTTATGTTTTCTAATTAGCTTTCCTAGCAAGTCTAAGTTTTCTCATTAGCTTTCAAAGCAAGTCTAGGGTTTCTCTTGTATAAAAGGAATGCATTAGAGCATCATGAATCATTCATCTTATTTTAAATCAATATATTTGAGGTTTACTCAATTTCTTTAGTGGATTCTAGTTTGTTGGTGAATTTTGGCGTGTTACTTGTAGGGTTATCGTTCAATCTCTCTATTCCCTTATCTCTTGCTGCGTCACAATTACTCAACGAACCCAACACACCAACCCTTATTTCTTTTTCTCCCTTTCTCGACCCACCACAACCTACCCTCCTTGGCTCACCCAAACCCCACTCCCACCCTCCATTATGCAACCACACCCACCCCCTCTCCCTCTATATGATTCCTAGATCTTGTTGCTAAAAAGGTGGGATGTGCTAAAAAGATATTAGAATGGAGGTGGAGGTGAGGTCCATAGAGAAAGGGCGAGGAGAAATTGGTTGGGATTAAGGTGATAATGGTGAAAGGAAGAATTAGGATTGGGATGGTGAGGGTGGGGAGGGGTTGATGGTTGTGGAACATATGGTTTAGGCTCGGTTGGGTTGTGGTTGTGGTTAGGAAGATGAGAAGAATGTTTTTGTTTCTTTTTGGTGAAAAGGAAGATAGGTTTCAAAATGTTGGGAACCGAAAATAACATAAAGAGACTATTTAATTGTGCATTTAATGGAAAAGAAAATAGAATTAAGCCCAAGACCTCTATTGCTAAAGTGAAGTTGAAAGACTACATCGGTCAGTTTAGAAATTGAAGCACCAAAATGAAAATTGGGAAATAATTGAAGAACTATTACTCATAATATTTTTTATTATTTTATTCATAGCATTAGATACATTTGAAAGGATTTAAAAAAAAAAAGAAGAAGAAGAAAGTAGTTAGTTTAGTTAAAATATATTTTCCTTAAACTTTTATTTATAGGATTTTTTTTTTTTTTTTTTTTTTTTTTTTTTTTTTTTTTTTTGGTTGAGAATTCTGCAATTGCATTCATAATTCAACCAAAAAGTCACTAGCCACAAAGGACCACTATAAACTAGCCACAAAGGGTCATTACAATAATAGAGCGATCTAACATCAAAATTAAGACAAAATGTTACACCTCGAGTAACGATTATGCAGGATCAAAGAAACTCTGGCATATGCATTCCAATTAAGATTGCAAACTCAAAATAATCAAAAAGAGATAAAGCTTGAAAAAACCAAGCCATAACTATACAAATAAAACTCTCACAAAGGAGAGATGAAAGCTCTTACAAAGGAGTGGGGAAAAATTCTTACAAACGACATGTGAAAACTACACAGAGAACCCAAAGAGTCTCAGCAACTTATTCCAAACATAGAGAAATCACAAAAAGGATGGTGGTGGAGATCCGATGTCGAAACGCATGTGGAGAGCCAATGCCGAGACGCAGTCACCTAGGATGGTTGGAGGAAAATCATAACGAAACGAAGACAAATAGGGGAACCCTTATTTATTTGAAAATGAGGGAAGAGTAGAGGGAGGAAAAGAAGAGAGGATAGGAGAGGAAGAAAAGTGGCTTCCTCCCCCTTAAAGTGAAAATGGCTCTAAGAGTATTTTTTGAGAGAGCGGGGGCTAGGGTTTCTTTAGAGGTGAGACGAATAACCATACCTGCCTTCTAAACTGCAAAACATTAAACCTGCATATGGTTCAAGATAGTGTTCCTATTTGGTGCACTAAATAGAACTTTAAAGGATATTAGTGAAGATGATTTTGTCTTAGAAAAATGATTGATAATGCATGATAAAATTAAGGGAAATCTATATGAACCCCATAAATTACTCTTTACACCCCACCAAATTTTAATAAAATTTCAAATTACTCATTAAACCCCTTTTTTTCCCTAAATTGCCCTCATAAACCCCATTCCCTAACCACCCACCGAAAACCCCCTTCCTTTTTAGCCACACCCCATCTGATATCCAGCCACACCCCACCAAAAATTCTCTCCTCTTGCAGACACACCCCATCGCACACCCCATCCCATTTACACCAACCTCCATCACAGAACCATCGAAGAAGCCCTTTTCCATCGCCTCCATCGCAAAACATCGAAGAACTCATCCCTTTGCCATCACAGATCTTTGCTCACCATCGAAGAAGCCCTTTGCCATCGCCTCCAGCAAACCCGAACCATCTCTGAAACAGAACCATCACACCCATCTCCATCTCTGCAAACCCGAAAGCCATTGAAGGTCAAGTTCTCACAAATCCTTATTCAAGGTTTGATTTCAAATTTGATTTATATATTTACGTTTCTAAGTGTTGATTAAGCCTACATTTGATTTCACTTTCGAAAAGCCAAAGTCTGATATTGATATTGATTTCGATTTCAAGGTTCTGGGTAGTTCAAACCTGGTTTTACGAAAATGGATTCTAGTTTCGGTGGATTGCCACCGAAATGATTACATTGCTTCAGTGGTAGTCCACCGAATTGAAGTATCGACTTTTCGCGGTCTCATTTTGGTCTTCAACTTCTCTTTTGGTTCAGTAAGTGCAGTAGAACCAGGGTTCATTAGCTCATCCAGTGTCATGTGGACTTGTCTCTTCTTCTCACCATCTTGTTGTTCATACCACATATTGAATCTTTGTAGTTGTGACCTTCCTGGTGAAGTTGTGCCATGACTACTGTTTCCTATATTGATGATATCTAATTTCCTCCAATGTGAATGCACGACATCAAGTGGTATTGGTACATCACGCTCTTTATACTCCGCAATTTCATGTGCACATGGTAATTGGTGGGTTCGACGAATAGCACAACCACATGATAAAGCATCCACATAATAAATGTCGTGCTTTCGGAAATATAAACGTAATAGAATTCATGAGTGCTAACTCTCGATCGGTGACAATAACACCTGGAAGACAATTATCATCCAACAAACTCCTCAACGCAGTCAATGCCCATGTGTAATTGTCTTCCTTCTCAACATTCATATAGACATATGCAACAAAGAATGTCATATTAGTAGATGTCACCCCCACAATTTGCAATAGTGGGAAATGATACCTATTAGTCTTATAGGTGCAATCCATGATAAGTACATGTGGAAATGCGCGCAAAATATCAATATTAATGGGGTGTGTCCAAAACAGGTCAGTTACAATATCACAAGATGTCCTATGCCACTCAATATAATTGTGTTCGGATAACTTAGTAAGCAATTGTTGCATTTGGGTTCTCCCAACAAATTCTTTGGTTCTATTTCGGATCCTAGCATTGTATATTGTCTTCATAGTTGAAACATTCATTGCATCTCTATCTTTAATGGTGACCAAAATATCTCTGGGTTTCACCAAACTCTTAGACATGTCCACCAACAAGGCATTCTCCTCTTCAGTAAGTCGCCCCACAAATGAATGACCTTGAAGATACTCTGAAATAGGATGGTTGTGTACTCCACAAACCACCTCCAACTTCCAATCATCCCCATCACCAATATTGACACCTTTTAACAAGAATGGGCATCCACATTTCTTGGTACCAGTGTCCCTAGCACATTTTTTCATATCACTATTTGCATCCGACCTTATATCAGTTGTCTCACTAGACTTGCAAGACTTATAGTTACTGTTCCTCTCACAAGCAAGTATTACACGAGGTCTCCTCTTGCCCTCACCTCCATAATCAGACCTTTTAATTACAATGACAATATTATTCAATTTTCCTTGTTCACGAGCCCATCGAAGTAATGCATCTCTACCATTGAATATCTACACATAAAACTCATATTATTTAAATATAAAATTTGAAAATTAATGCCACGTTAATGATACTAAAAAGGATTTCAGACAAATAATTACCGAATAAGTTGTGAATTGATCACTATAGTCCATTACACATTCTGTTCCCACATTGTTGCCTTCAGTAGGGGCGTCACCTTGATTTTGTTCCTTCAATGGGAGTAAGATAAAAATAACTTGGATTAAATTTGTGGTCGGCAATAAGTTACTAAAAAATAAATAAATTTCGGTTGGATGCCACTCAAAACGCGGGTAAAAGTTTTGTAGTACACCACTGAACTACGTTCCATCTTACGTGGATCCCCACCGAATATTAAGTTTCTCACCGGTGAAATCCAACCGAAAACGGTGCAATGTTTCGGTGGCATCCCACCGAAATTATCTGTCGCGTTCGGTACTGATGTGCTGAGCACAACTAGCGACTGTTATGAAATACTAAACTTGTAAAACGCCAAAAAATAAACTCGTACCTCATTCAAAGCGTCTCGAACTTCAATCTCACCCTTCATGAATAAATACAATATATTTTTTCACTAGTATAAACTTATAAATCTTGGGTTTAGGGTTTAGGAACATGATAGTTTGAGAAAAAAGTCAAACTAGAGTTGCAGGAACATATGTGGGGTGTAGTGAGCAATTTTAATTTTAATTTTAATTTTTTTTGTCCTTAACGGTAATTGTGTACAAGGGTAAAATAGGTTATTTATATTTAAAATTAGTATGGGGTGTAAAGAGCAATTAATGGGGTGCCAATAAAATCACCCTAAAATTAAATGTAATTACAAAAGCACAATACAACTCACTCTGTTCATGCATCAATGATAAGTTATCTCATTAAAACATTTGCTAGGAAGACAAGTGGAAAAAAGTCTCAATGTACTTAATGATGCCTCATTAAAACCTTAGCAAGAAAAGCCAAATGAAGTAAAAACATGATCGAAGGAAAAATAGTACACCATACATATGTCTGATGTACCATACTTTTAGATGTTCCGCTGATCACAATAAGTTTCAAGCTGATTTTCTTGTCAAGTCATCCCATCCCAATATCATATACCAACTTCTGGAATATAGACTTCAACGGAGTTTTGGTAAAGAGATTTGCCATACTATATTGAGAAAAGTTTTATTTGACTTTGATCTCTTGGAATAATTTTTTGTTTTTGTTTTTTGCTGTCAATTTAGTGATATATGTTTGGTTTTATCAACATTGAAGAACCCTTCTTTACTATGAGTTATACAATTAACAATGTCTTCATATATGATCATTTGAGCATTTGTTATGAAGAAAAATCCCATGTGTTTTAGATATGATGGACTAGATATATTAATCAAGCACATTCCCTACTCGCTTCACCGAGGTCATCAAGAAGCTCATAATAATTTGAGGATGTAGTAACCAAAGTTTATTTGGTAGATCATGAAATTGTTGTATTCCCTCAAGTAAATACATACCCAAGATATGTAAAATTTTCATATAGGGTGGGAAACGGTTCGGTTCTATCCGCTTCATGGACAAAACCTAAACGAATAAATTAATGATGTGTTTACTAATTAGGAATTGAATTCCATTTGTGGAGGATTCCTGCATTTACTTCATATCAAGGAATTGAAAAGTAAGTGGGACCCACACAAAATTAGGAATTGAATTCTTGATTTTGGAGGAATTCAATTCTTGGGTGAGAAGTGGTATTCTAATTCCTGGAGAACTAACCCATTAGGAATTCATCTTTTTTACCCATCATATTCTCACACAATTTTCAAAATTACAAATTTGCCATCTACTTTAATCAAACAACAAGGACATTTTAGTAATTAGTACCACTCATACCCCAATTCCATATGGTTTAGTAAATAACTTCAATAGGAATCCAGAATCTAATTCTCTTCAATTCATATGGTTTAGTAAACAACTTTAATAGGAATTCGGAATCTAATTCTCCTCAATCCAACTCCTCCTCAATTCAATTCCTCTTAATCCAATTACGGATTAGTAAACATGTCATAACTGATTTAGTTCGGTTTCAATTTGCTCCAATCATTTCTATTTGATTTGGGCCTCAACCAATTTGATTTTTCTTTGTTGGGTTTATCCCATCATCACTTGAACCCAAGCCTAAAATCCAACTCCCCTACAGGAATCTATCAAAGTGATCAAAGAAAAACAACAAAAAGATATGGATGACATGCTAACAACAATGAGCTATTGTGTACGAATAGAGTATAGAGTAAGTAAGAAACATGCTAACAACTTCATATTTAAAACATGAATTAATTTAGGGTATTCGACATATAATATTTCTTTCAAAAAAAATTTCCAAGTATAGTAATCTATTTTTTGATACGAAGTATAGTAATCTATGTTGCACGTCCCACAAACATAGTTCCCATCTTACAATAGTGTAGGACTCTTGTATAGCATTATATAATCAATATCAATACACACGGCCTCTGTACAATTCCAGAGGCTTATAATATCTCTTCATGGTATCAGAGCTTTCTGATTAACATCAAAAATTATTTTTATCCTCTTTTTCTTCTCACCCAGCCTTCTCTATGGCGACCTCTGCTTATGGTTCCAACTCCTCCTTTGTTGCTCCTATGCCCAACGTTTCCAACATGTTGACCGTCAAGTTGGAATGTAATACCTATCCTTTATGGCTTGCGAATTGTGCCACTTCTTCACAACCGCTCTCTTATGAAGTATGTTGACGGTACCAGTATCTACCCTCATGCCTTTCTCTCTAATGTTGCTAGTAAACAAATTGACCAGGTGAATCCGGCTTTTGAGGACTGGATTCAACAAGATCAAATGGGATTGTCCTGGCTTAACGGGTCTCTCTCTCCAGCTGTGCTTGCTACCGTTACTCATTCTACCTCTGTGCATCTCACTTGGTTATCTCTTGAAAAACATTATACTTCCCAAATTCAAAATCGACTCCTCCAGCTTCATTGTGACTTGTTGCAAACTACTCGCGGTGATCTCTCGATTGCTGACTTTCTTGATAAGGTGAACTCTTTGGTTGATAACCTTGCTCTTTCTTGCTCCCCTTGCGAGTGACTCTGATCTTGTTGCTATAATCATGAACAACGTGGGTCCTTTATATGAGAATGCTGTTAACTTTGCCTAAGCTCGTAATTCTCCCATTACTTATGATACCCTTGAGGCTCTTCTTCTTAGTGTTGAATGTCGGCTCTAGTCTGTCCAACTTTCTAGTTCTGACCTTAGAGGTACTACTATGGTTGCTTCACATGGACATGGTGGTTTTCATGGTCGTGGCTCGTTTGGACAGCGTGGTGGTCGTGGTTTTTCTGGCGGTTCCTTTTTTCATGGTGGTCGTGGTAGTTTTTCTTCTTCCACAGATGGTGTTCTTGGTGTGGTTTCGTCTTCTTCCAACGGTGTTTCTTCTTCTTTCTCTAGCGGTGCTTCCTCATCTTCCATGGCTCCTGGTCCTACTGCCTTTCCTTCTGGTTCTCGGATTCTTTGTCAAATTTGTGGCCGTGGTGGTCATGCTGCCTTAGATTGCTATAACCGCATGAATCTTGCCTTTGAAGGTCGCATTCCTACTTAGTGCTTATCTGCCATGGCTGCTTCTTCCTCTCAGCAACTTGGATCCTCATCTTGGCTTATGAATACTGGTGTCAACTCTCATATTACCCCAGATATGGGTGCTTTGAAAAACCACAGAGAATATTGTGGTAATGACTCCATTGGTGGTGTCATTGGTGGAACAGGTTTAACTATATCTCATATTGGTAGTTCTAATATTGTTCATGTTTCCTCTTCTTATTCTTTGTCTAAACTTCTTTGTTGCCCTCAAGCCTCTACTAAACTTGTTTTTGTTAACCGTTTCTTGTGACAATGACTGTTTCTTCACCTTTTATCCTACCTATTTTTGTGTACAGAATTTGAAGACTAGGAGGACGCTTTTCTGGGGTCTGAGTATTAATGGTCTTTACTCTTTTCCATCTTCATCAAGTCCAACTCCTCCGGATTCGCAAGTTGCTTTCTTATGTCTTCAAGTCAACAAGGATGTATGGCATTCTCGGCTTGGCCATCCTACCTCATCCATTTTGCATCATTTGGTGTCTTCTCAGCATTTGCCTTTATTAGAAAATAAAACCAAATTTTTTTGTTCATCATGTCCTTTGGGCAAAAGTGTTAAACTTCCATTTTCCTCATCTACTTTTATTGCTAAGTTTCCTTTGGAAATCAGTCATTTAGATGTTTGGAGTGCATCTAATTCTTCAATTTCTAGTTTCAAGTATTATGTATGATTTGTTGATAATTTTTCCCATTTTTCATGGGTTTATCCCATGCGTTTTAAATCTAAAGCATTTTCTATTTTTGTTAAATTTAAATCCCTTGTTGAAAACATGTTCACATCTCACATAAAGACATTTCAAACTAATGGAGAGGGTGAATATACTAATAATTTGTTTAGGACCTTCTTAGAAACTCATGGGATTAATCATCAGTTAACCTGTACTCATCATCCTTAACAAAATGGTTTAGCCAAATGCAAGCATCGTCATATTTTGATATGAGCCTTACCTTGTTGGCCCATGCCTCCATGCCCGTCACTTATTGGGCCGAGGCCATTCACACCGTTGTTTATCTTATTAATCTTCTCCCCTCACCTCTCCTTGAATTTGTGTCGCCTTATCAAAAGCTATTTAATAAACCTCCACAATATGATTTTCTTAAGATTTTTGGCTGTGCATGTTTTCCCTATCTTTGCCTTTATAATAACAAGAAGTTGCAATTTCATTCACTTAAATGCATTTTCCTAGGCTACTCGCTAAATCAAAAGGGATATAGGTGCCTTGATCCATATACGAGTCGGGTCTTTCTCTCCCGCATGTTGTATTTGATGAAACCACTTTCCCATATTCAACACTTCATACTCGGACTATGGGGGTGTCTTCCTTGTCTTCAGGTTCTACTCCTATAATTTTTTCTCCTGCTACACTGCCACTTACAGTGGTTTCCTCCTCTCCCCCAACGCCACTTGATGCCCATGCTGCTCCTCCCTTACCTGAACCTGTGAGCAATATTACTTCTGCTGCATCTCTTGAATCTGCTTCTCCAATGCCATCACCAATGGCCCCCGTATCACCTTCTCCTTTGCAGTTTGTCCCTACCACTCATCCTATGGTGACTCGAGGGAAGGTAGGTATTCGTTAACCAGGTTCCAAATATGCTTTGATTATTAATGTATCTCATAACCTTGTTGAGCATAGTAGTTTCTCTTAGGCTAATACCATTGGCACAAGTTATTGCAAGTTAAATATACTACTCTATAGCAAGCTAAATCGTGGACTTTAGTTCCTCACACTCCCTCAATGAATGTTCTTCCTAACAAGTGGGTATATCGTATTAAGTGTAAGTCTGACGGTACAATTGAAAGATATAAGGCCCGCTTGGTGGCTAATGGTTTTCATCAACAACCCGGGTCGATTATAGTGAGACTTTTAGTCCTGTGGTTAACCAATCCACCATCCGTCTCATTCTCGCTCTTGCCGTGCATCGTAATTGGCCCATTCATCAACTTGACGTTTAGAACACCTTTTTGCACAGTTATTTATTCGAAGATGTGTACATGCGACAATACACTGGTTTTGTGGATTCTCAATTTCGCAACTATGTGTGCAAACCGAATCATTCACTTTATGGGCTCAAACAAGCACCGCATGCCTGGTTTCATTGTTTCTCCTCTCATTTGGAGCATTTGCGTTTTATTGCATCAATGGCGGATTACTCTTTGTTTACATATTTTCATAGGACCACTGTTATTTATCTTTTGATTTATGTTGACGACATTCTAATTACAAGAAATGATCCATCTCATATTACTCAACTCATTCATCATTTGGGTCACTCCTTTTCCATGAAGGACCTTGGCTCGCTTCATTATTTCCTGGGTATCGAAGCCTCTTGGACAGCCAGTAGTCTTCATTTTACATAGTCTAAGTATGTGTTGGATCTTCTTAAATGCACCAACATACTTGATGTCAAGCCTGTTTCCACGCTTGCCCTTAGTTCTAAACGTTTGAGTCTTCATGATAGTGACCCTCTCCCTGATGTTACGGAATATCGTAGTGTTGTTGGGGCTCTTCAATATCTCACAATCACCCGTCCAGATATCTCCTTTGCTATCAATCAAGTTTGTCAATTCGTGCATCAACCCACTACCATTCATTGGATCTCCGTCAAACGTATCTTGCGCTACCTTAAGGCTACTTTCATGGTTTGTTTTATCAACCTAGTTCATTATGCTTAACTACCTATTCTGACACCGACTATGCTGTTGATCCCGATGATCACCGCTCCACTGGTGGTTACTGCATTTATCTTGCCTCTAATTTGGTGTCCTGGAGTTCTAAGAATCAGAAGGGTGTCTCCCACTCCAGCACGGAAGCCAAGTATCGACAGCTTGCTCAAACCACAGCCACTCTTTCCTGGTTCCACTCTCTTTTACGTGATCTACAGCTTCCTCTCGCATGCCCTCAGCTTTGGTGTGATAATGTCAGCACGATTTCTCTAGCCTCTAATCCAGTCTTTCACTCTCGCACAAGATACGTTGAGGTAGATTTTCATTATGTACCAAAGAAGGTTGTTCGTCGTGAGTTACAAGTTGCTTACGTTCCAACTCACGATCAATTGGCTGATGTTTTTACTAAGGGACTTTCCACTACTCGGTTTCTTTACATTGTTTCCAAGCTTCCTATGCAACATTGCCCCGTTAGCTTGCGGGGGTGTAATGAGAGCCGTACATCATCCAATCTTGATCTAGAGAGTCCTAATGTTACTACATAGTTTATCTCTTCAAAATCTTGGTGGACAACATAAACTTTGAAATCTAACAAAACATTTGAACATAATCTTGAGTTAGAACTTCATACCATATCCAAAACTTATGCTTGTTGACTTAGCACAGTCAATAGTACAACTATACGTAATGGCAAGTGTATATTCCAAGCTACCTGATATACCCTTACGGACACAAAGTGAGAACTTAGGACGATTCGCTATACATCGAACACAACGTGACCACTTCTTTGCAACACATGTGCTGAACATGAAGTTTTTTTTAAGTTCAAAACTTAGTCTATCAATTAAATAAGGATAGGCAGAATGATCTCCTTGTGCTATAATCGGGATCATGAGCATTAAGAGTCGTATCATCATCATCATCATAAATACTTTGACACTAATTTTAACCACAACTTTACTACCGATTTCTTCCTTGTTATTTTGGGATTTAGAAAGAATATTTAGGATTAGTGGGTTAAGAAATGTTTTCATAATAAGATATACCAATTTAATTTTTAATATTTTAAAACTATGTTTAAGAATGTGACTTTTCAATTTTGATTAAAGTCATATGTTTATTGTTAAGGTCAATTACTAATTACAGAGAGGAACTATCATTTCATTGGGTTCTAAGTGTGCCGACTTATGATTTAACCAAATGGTTGCTTAGTAACAATTGACAATTCTTGATATTTTCTAGGGACATTTTAGAAAAAGCAAAAGGAGAGAGAAAAATTTTAAAAGAAGCAAAAATGGACAAAAATGCCCTTATTTATTTTAGATTTCCTAAGGAATCCAATACATTGTATGTCTTTGATTTGAAAGTTGAGCAATTTTTTTGTCTTTTTTGAAAAAGCTTTGGCTTTTTCCAAAAGTGAAATTTTTTTTATGTCTAAAACCTAAAAAACCTTATTTTCTATATGTTGAAATTGTCTCCTCATTACTGTATAACTGTAATTAAACTACATGAGGTTTCTACTTTCATATTTGCTATAAAGGTGTTCAAAATATGTATCTGAATTTTATTTTTTTGGAGGGAAAGTATGTATTATGATTCTTGACAACTTGACAATACAAGGCAAGTTTATTCAATTAAAAACTAAAGTTATATGGGGGCCAAACCGCAGAACCTCACATTCACATAAATATACTTCCTAATATGAAGTCTAGCAATGGGAAGTTAGCAGGCGTTTGGTATCCTATTCAAGTATGGAACTCAAAAACTTTAATTTTTCTTAAAAACAAAGAGCTCTCAAATCCATTTTTAAGATTCAAAAACTTGTTTGGTATGCAACTTGAAAACTATTTCTAAATCTTAAAAATTTTAAAACTTGTTTGGTTGAATTCTTGAAAACTATTTCTAAATCTTCAATAACAATGACAAAAAGGGAACTCAAAATTACCTGATTGCAGACATCGGAGATGTGCAACTCCATATCACGGCGAGCCAATGGTGTGTGCCTATGCGGTGGCGTGTGACATTGAGATTTTGACTGACCGAATCACAGAGACGAGAGGAGGTAGCAAGGGGGATCCTCAGATGCCCAGCCCTTAAAGTTAGTGATGAGAGAGAGAGAGAGAGAGAGAGAGAGAGAGAGAGAGAGAGAGATCTTCAAGCTTCTGCCATGGAGGCTTGAAGCTTGAACTCGACCAGAAGGAGCTTAGAGCAAGCGTCGCTTGAGTTTTTTTGTGGTTTGGGTTTTTAAAAATGGGCCTACCAAACAAGCTTTTTCTGATTTTGGACTTAAAATCTTTGAGTTTATAAAATTGGATTCAAATCCAATACCAAACAGGCCATTAATTTCTAAGATGTTTGATTTTCGTTATATATATACTAGTCTCTCTGCACGGGCTTCTGCGCTTGCAAGAAGTTTTTTTTTTCTTAAATTAAAATTTATTTTAGAATTAAAAAAGATAATAGGTAGTTGTGTTCCATAAAAATATGATATATTATCTAATTTTTCTTTTAATTTTAATTTTTTTTAATATGAAAAAGTTTGAATTTACCATATTATCCTTATTTAATTAATAATTTCAATTCTTAATGTTTGTATGAACCAAGAGCATTTTCTAGTATTTTGAATGTTTTACCATTCTTTGCCTTATATATATATATATATATATATATATATATATATAGTTGGTAATGTACCGTTAGATGTTTGATGAGTGGCTGGAATTTTATTTTATTTAAAATGGATCATTTAATTTTTGAGCGATAAAATGGAGTGCTTATAAGCAGAACACAAGTAGGAATACAAAGACAAATCATATTATCTATTATTGAATGTAGAACATGTCCACTACAGAATGCTTTATGAGTAAATCTAGATTGTGGAAATACATAGCCGCAAGAAGTACTCGGATTCGATTAGTTAAATTTCCAACTATTTGGCATTCATACTATGCTAAGGTGATCATATATGTCGAACTGTTTTCTGGGTTCAAATAAATCATGTAGATTTCTAGTTTCAAACCCATACAATGTGATCATGTAGATTACTGTTGGTACTTGCTTGAATTAATAATTAAAGGGTATTTTAGGAATAATAGTAGATGGAAAGATAGGATTGTGTTTATTCAAATTTACATGGTGGGTGGGGAAATATGACAAAAAGGTGGAAATAACAGCACTCTATCTAAAATATGAGGTCTACCAACGGGAAGTTAGTTGGATTGGTCTATATCTTTGGTGTGCTCCCAAGTATACTTCGATAGCCTCTATAGTATTCGTGTGTGTGAGTTTTCTTAAACCCTAAGTTGGAAGCAATTTTTCAAAACTTGAACGGTCATATAACTGTGTTGATTAATTGAAAAGGGGAGTGTTTCCATTTTGATATTGGAAAATGCCAACAAAAAATTATTACATTTTGTTTTCCTACATTTACTAACACACCAGTATTAAAATTCTTCCAAAACTGGGACTGAATTGATTAAGATTGGACTTATAATTTGGATTGGGCTGGACTTTAAGAGGTAGTTTCCTACTTTTCAATGTCAGGCATAATGTATAGGATAAAACAGTAATTGGTGTTTTTGGTTTTCAAAAGGCTTGCGATGATGGAGGAGTAATTTTATCGTTGGATGTTTCATTATTTGGTGGGCCTTTGAGATTGTTGTACTTGAGCCTTTTTCTGCGCCCCAAAAGTTGCATTAACAGTAATTTTGACTCATATTGGAGACATAATTGGTTTTATAATTATTTTTGTAGATTTATGTTTAACGAAGAAATTTTGGAAAAAAGTGATTGCGACAGGCTTCCTTTGGGAATATTAAATATATCATGGTAAACCTACTTGCATTATTAATAAGTACATAATTTCATATGCACAAGTGTGATTCACATGCAATCTATTAATTTTTTTTTTTTTTTTTTTTTTTTTTGAAATAAAACGACAACAATTAACGAAAATGATAACAAGTAAATGAAGAAAGATCTTGAGCATAAGCATTGGCAACACATGATGGAATATGTGACCACTAGTAATAAGCATCATGAGTCGCACCAAAATTAACCAAGGCATCAGCTGAGCAATTACCCTCTTGAAAATTATGGGAGGTAAAAAAAAATTCATATAAAGAAGTTTCCATAAACAATTATTTCAAGCAACCCGCAAATACAGAGGAACATTTGAAGTAGATGAAAGATAATGAAGCACCAAAGTGGAGTCAATCTCCAACCAGATGTGATGCCACTCAAGAACCCAAGCAACACAAATAGACTCAATTACTGCCAGAACATCTGTCGCAATTGAACTAGGTTACCCACAAAGCAAAAGCGCCCAAAATCTTTCCATGACAATCTCAAAAAATGCCATCAAAACCTGCTCATTTATAATAATTAAACGAACCATCGGTGTTTACCTTAATCCAACTGAAGGAGGGCGCCAAACAACAAGAATAAAACAGAGAACATAAGCCAATAAAGGAGAAGCTCCTAAAACCACAATGGCAAAGAAGAAGCATAACCCAAAACATTTCCATGACAATCTCTTAATCATAATGTATGTTATACTTGATCGAAAAGTATGTTGTGTCTTGGACAAGTGGGAATTGCGTGCATGATACAAATATTCTCTTGACAATGGTAATTGATTATGTGCATTGAAAGGAAATCATTGACCAACGGAATTGATGGGTTTGACCATCATCCGCATAACCTGCATAATATTAATGTTCATGTCAACAAAGAAAATGCTTTAGAATTCAACAAAGACAATAAAAATGTTAGGTTTTTTTTATTTAACATTTCCCCATCATTATACAGTTATCCATGCCCCTTCAAATCCATTTGGGATCAGAGTTTGAATAATTGCATAATCTGATTAGGTGTGATATGGACATTGAGTCATTCCTACCTTCCAAACCTTCCAATGAGTCAGACAAGCTGGGATGTTGTAGGCTAAGCTTAGTTGGTCAGGATAGTGAAAGGTAGTCTACTCCTACTCAGCTTAATCCTCTATTTGTAAATAAATGAATTTAAAATAATTTATACTATCATTTGTATTTTTAAAAATAAATTAGATAAACATAAAGGCCCAACACATATATGTTATGAATGTAATGAGTGCTTGTTTTACTGTTTTTCTCTTCCTTCCTCTGATTAGATGAATTAATTTGTAAAAAAATGTTTTTGGGTAAAGTGGAGGGCAAAAGCCCAGCCAAATATGAAGACCCGAAGGTTTGGCGACTCCGATAATAACAAGCATATCAACAACATAATTACTTTCTCTAAAAACACGTTGAACGCGGCACACACCACCAGTCATTATAGCTTTGTAATTAGAAATAAGGCTGAATAAAGGGGAGAGAGGGTCACAACAAAAGCACAGTCACAAGTTCCACATCTAAATGGGAGTCAGACTCCGCAATCAAAGGAAAACAGTTAAGACGGTTAGCAAGACCCAAGTCATGGAAATGCAGCGTCAAATTCTCTCTCAATATTCATAACATAATTATATGCACACATCCCTAAAAATATGCACATATATATAATTATATTATGCCTGTATTGGTTTATCATAATAATTAGAAAATTACGAACATGGTAAAATTGTGTCAAATAAAAACATCCCTAAAAATTTAAAAAAATTTAATTATATTTTTTGAAGGATAATGCTTCTCTCTTTGCTTATAAGGAGGAACTCGTCTTTGGCTATTGATATGGCTCAGTCACAATCTGATACATGTCTCTTTTATTATGAATAATTAAAGTGAAAAATAAACGTATCTTTGAAAATTAAAAAAGAAGAATAAATGTTAATTTATAGTTGAGCCATGTTAATCGGTAAGGAGGAATTCCTTCTTATAAGCAAAGCACTATCTTTTTTTGAAGACTAGTGGAGACTAGTGTGGAATGATATGTAGAAGAACCATATCACGTGAGGAATCTTTAATTGAAGATCCCGAGCCCCCACAGTACGAAATCTTCTGTTGCCTAAATTTAGTGGGCCAAACTTCTTTCTTTTTCTCATACACGTGGCACGTGAATAGGTTGATTCCGTCGTCACCCAATGAAACGCCACCGACAACTTCCCTTCATATCTCGCTCAAAACCCTTCCGTGTCACAAAGCTTGACTGTTTCTGAGATGGCCGCAGGGCCATCAAATGTATTATTTAATTAAAAAGAAGCATTTCACGCCTAAACAAAAGGAAATTTTTTTGACTCTTGTTGACGTTCAAAATTGGACATGACTTAGGATGCGTGTATGCCTACGGCAAGTAACTGCCTCTGGCAGGCTAATGCCTTCAACGTTTGACATTTGAGGTAGCGGTTCTCATTAAATTGATACATCGGTTGAAGAAGAAACTTTTTAAACAAAAAATATTTAAATTAATTTTGAGTTTTATTAAAATAGAAATTGTGTTTTTCAAATTGGCTATTGCAGATATTATTGATGTGTTGTGTTGTGTTTTTTATTTTTATTTTTTATATATATAGAGGATGCGTTGCTCTATATGTACTGCAGAAGTCAATTTAATGGTAGTATTATATGTACCACATACCAAATTTTTTGGGCTCTAGTCTTATTTTGTTAAGCAGATGATTGGTGCTCTGATGCTTGCTTGAGTTGGAGCTGAAGCATCTATATTTGTCCTTAAATCACACGATTTGGCTTTAAATTGGAAAGATAACAAAGTAAACCAAAAATAATTAAGTGATACATAAGTTAATGAAAAGCAACTTCTATAAAAAAATATAAAAATAAAAGGCCATATGGTGCATAAATAACGTGACGAGATTAGGCTTTTGCTTTTACTTTTTCTTTGGCTAAAAAGACAAGACTCTTAAAAAATCCTGGTATGCCTCGCCCTGAAATTAATATCTTTTTTCACTTTACTATGCCCTTTACCTTATATCGCATTTTGTAAAATAACTTAAATGATTTTTAACTGCATTAGGAAATAATCCCTCAATCTCATCCGCTTTTGTAGGGTACAAAGCTCTCCCTATGCATGACATGTGTAACATGAGTGCTTCAATCACCCGACAACGAAACGGACGTTCCTCGCTCACTACAACTTTTTTTTGCACAAATCCAAAAGCAACCCTCATTTCATCCGTCATCGTCCAACCAACAGCCCTTGGATGCATGCATCGCGCATCAAACTCTCTCTCTCCCCCTCTCTCTCCAAGTCCATGATTTTCTCTAAAAGTAAATTCTGTACTTGCTCATATTTTGCCACATTGGGCCTAACAGTACGTATTCCTATTATTAATGCCACACATGGGTTTCTTTCTTTTCTCTTTTCCTTTTCCCCAAACAAATTATTTTTCTATCTTTTCTCTTCTCTCTCACAGTCACACCCACACTCCCAGGTGCTCTTCTGCTATGAGACTTTGAGCTACTGCAGATTTTGGTTTGCTCAGCCCGGCAAGCAAGACCAAAAATGGAGAAACTTCCCGCAGGAAAGTGCTCTCAAGAACTCTGGTTTGGCATACTCATCTCCTTTGCTATGTGCTTTGTTTTTCTCTGCTTTGATTTTCAACTTTCTGGGGCGTCAACAATGAGGCCAGTCTTTTAGTCACCAAAACAGTTGATGCAATTGGCATTTTGAATTTTAACCAAACCAGAGATTCATGCTCTGATCGTTACATTTACATCCATGAGGGTCTTCCTAGCAGATTCAACTATGATTTCCTCAACAACTGTGAGTCTCTGAGTGCAGGAACCAGTATCAGCAACATCCCATGTATGTGTCCTCACCTTGTGAATTTAGGTCTTGGCCCCGAAATTAACAGCTCTGAAGGGGTTTTGTCAAACAAGAGCTGGTTCAAAACAAATCCCTACTTGTTAGAAGTCATATTCCACAACAGGATGAAGAACTATGAGTGTTTGACAAAAAACTTCACTCTGGCTTCAGCCATTTATGTGCCATTTTATCCCAGCATGGATGTTGGTGTCCATCTGTGGGATTCGAACCTCACTATCAGAGACTCTTCGGCGAAACATTTCGCGAAGTGGCTTTCGGGGCAACCCGAATGGTCGAAAATGTGGGGGAGAGACCATTTCTTTGCTTCTGGGAGGATTGCTTGGGATTTCAGGAGGGAAAGAGACGATAGCTCTGCTTGGGGTAGTAAACTCAGGTTCTTGCCTGAGTCCATGAACATGACTATGTTGACCTTGGAAGGAAGCAGGTGGAAAAACGACATTGCAATTCCATACCCCACGAACTTTCATCCGTCAAAGGACAGTGAGGTTGTTCGATGGCAGAACAGAGTTAGAGAACAAGAAAGGCCTTATTTGTTCACTTTTGCTGGGGCACCAAGGCCTAACCAGAACGGTTCTATCCGGGGCAAACTTATTGATCATTGCCAAGCTTCAACTAAGTGCAAGTTTCTACATTGCACTGAAAAAATATGTGGAAATCCCGTTACTGTTATGAGGGTGTTTCAGAGCTCAGTTTATTGCTTGCAGCCTGAAGGGGATTCATACACTCGGAGATCAGCTTTCGACGCTTTTCTGGCCGGTTGTATTCCAGTTTTCTTTCATCCAGCTACTGCCTATACTCAATATTTATGGTATTTACCAAAAGATCATACCAAGTATTCGGTGTTTATTCCGGTGAGGGATGTAAAAGATTTGAAAGAAGGCCAAATTGAGAATGTGTTGCTTGGAATTTCAAAGGATCAAGAGGTGGCCATGAGAGAGGAGGTTATAAAGTTAATACCAAAGCTGGTATATGCAGATCCTAGGTCAAGATTAGAGACTCAAGATGCATTTGATATAGCTGTGCAGGGAATTCTTGAGAGAATAGAGAATGTGAGAACGGTGATTAGAGAGGGGAGAGATCCTAGCGTTGGTTTTGCAGATGAGGATAATGGAAAGTTCAAATTTCCTGAGACAGTAGACTGTTGAGTGCAATGGATAGTTTATATACACAGAGCAAGTATGGATGGAAGAAGAAGAGGAGAGATATAGAAATCAAACCAAAAATTGCAAGTTCCGACGGATCGCAAAATTGTTGCTCTCACTCGCTTGCTTGTACTGTGATCAATATAGCCGTAGTGTTTGGATGGAGGAAGCTCTTCCTTGGCCTGAGCCTTGTAGAAAATATATATATTTCAAATTCTCTTGCTTAAGCCTCTTGTTCATATGTATTTGAGTTGCACCTCTGCTTGAAATTTCTGGTGATGCAGACAGAGTAGCATTCGATGTTAAATTAATCTGTCAAGAATAAATGCTTCGATGTTAAATTAATCAACTAGTCTCCTAGATTCTATGTTTCAGAGTTATCTAGGTTCATGGTTTAATTTTTTATGTTTAATATTTTATCAACAGACCAAGGCTTTTTGTGTGTGTGTGTGTGTGTCTTTCCTTGTTCCGGGTATTTTAGAAAATCAACAACAGAGCTTGGAATTTCACCACTGCAACTAATGAAATGGAAAAAGATCATGTAATCCTTTACCAAAAATCTTTTCATTAGAAAACCTAGAGGAGAGGGACAGGATTAAATCTCAAAGAACATTTATGCAACACAGAGGTTATTTAAGGGACTCTTGTAAGGTTCACTTTGCATTGTATTTTAATGATCCGAATTGTCTATTTTTTGTTATACTCTCAAACATCATTCTAAAATCCACTAGAAAATAGAGATTTGTCTCAATAATGTGTGGTCCTCTCACACTTCCAATCAATTAGTGTGGTCCTTAGTCTTTTGTCTGCGCATCAATTTGGCCCCTCTCAATACATTCCATCAACAAGATCAATAATAATTGTTTTAATTTTTTTAATAAGATTACAAATACACTATATGTTGACTTAAAATAGAAAATAGAAAAATTTTAAATTAGTAAGATATCCTAGATTTAAAAATATTTCTAAAACTTAATAAGAAATATTGTAAAAATCTAAACTAAATAATGTCAAGAAAATAATCTCCTAATAGACAACTTATATGAATTAAAAATATGCAAGAAATTAAATATAATCTTGCCAAAAGAACCTTTTTCTTGAAATTTGGTCAAGCAATCCGAAAATGCCAAAAATAGCTTCATCTTCCTTTTCCTAGCGTTATGCTTGATTCACAAGGGCGACTTTCCATCTTTGGTCTCCACTTGCCTGATTTTACATTGTTTCTTTTTGTACATTTTCTCCGCGGGTATAAACCCCATGTTTTCGTACAGCACTATCACTCTGAGGTTTTCTCCTCACACACACTCAATGCCTTCGTCTTCCTTCCACTTTGAGACTTGAGTGAATCAGTAACTGGAGATATTCTACTTTAGAGACCTGCTCAGAATTAAAGACCAAATGGAAAAACCACCTGCCAGAAAGTCCTCTCAAGAAGTCTGGTCTGGCATACTAGCACCCTTTTTTATTTTGTGCCTTGTATTGCTTTGCTTAAGTTATTCAACTCTATTGGGTGTCACCAATGGGGTCAATCTTTTGGTGATTAAACGAGTTCACACAATTAACATTTGGAAGATCAACCACACCGAAGATTTGTGCGCCAATCGTTACATTTACATCCATGAGGGTCTTCCTGCCAGATTCAACTATGACTTCCTCAACAACTGTGAGTCTCTAAGTGCAGGGACTTGTAATTGTAACACACCAAATATGTGTCCTCACCTTGTGAATTTGGGGCTTGGTCCTCAAGTTAACGACTCCGAAGGTGTTTTAGCCAACGAGAGTTGGTTCATCACAAATCCTTACTTGTTAGAAGTCATATTCCACAACAAGATGAAGCAGTATGAGTGTTTGACAAAAAACTCCTCTCTGGCTTCAGCCATTTATGTACCATTCTATCCCAGCATGGATGTTGGTGTCCATCTGTGGGATTCTAACCTCACCATCAGAGACTCTTCAGCTAGAGATTTTGTAAAGTGGCTTTCTGGACAACCCGAATGGATGAAAATGTGGGGGAGAGACCATTTCTTTGCTTCCGGGAGGATTGCTTGGGATTTCAGGAGGGAAAGAGACAATAGTTCTGATTGGGGTAGTAAACTCAGGTTCTTGCCTGTGTCCATGAATATGACCATGTTGTCAATTGAAGGAGGGAGATGGAAAAACGACATTGCAATTCCCTACCCCACAAACTTTCATCCTGCAAAGGACAGTGAGGTTGTTCAATGGCAGAACAGAGTTAGAGAACAAGAAAGGCGTTATTTGTTCTCTTTTGTTGGCGCACCAAGGCCTCACCAGCAGACTTCAATCCGGGGAAAACTTATTGATCATTGCCAAGCTTCAACTAATTGCAAGTTTCTACATTGCGATGAAAAGAAATGTGGCAACCCTGTTACTGTTATGAGGGTGTTTAAGAGCTCTGTTTATTGCTTGCAGCCTGGAGGGGATTCATACACTAGGAGGTCAGCTTTCGACGCATTTCTGGCTGGTTGCATTCCAGTTTTCTTTCATCCTGCTACGGCTTATACTCAATATTTATGGCATTTGCCAAAGAATCATACCAAGTATTCCGTGTTTATTCCGGTAAGGGATGTAGAAGATTTGAAAGAAGGCCAAATTGAGAAAGTGTTGCTTGGAATTTCAAAGGATAAGGAGGTGGCCATGAGAGAGGAGGTTATAAGGCTAATACCGAAGTTGGTATATGCAGATCCCAGGTCAAGATTAGGGACTCAAGATGCATTTGACATCGCTGTGCAGGGAATTCTTGAGAGAACAGAGAATGTGAGAAAGGTGATTAGAGAGGGGAGGGATCCTAGTATTGGTTTTGCAGATGAGGATAATGATAAGTTCAAATTTCCCGAGACACTAGACTCATAGACACGATCGAGCGCAATGGATAGTTTCTATGTAGAGCAAGTAGAGATGGAAGAAGAAGTGGAGATATAGAAATCAAACCAAACAAATTGCAATTGACTTTTATTATAGCCGTAACTTTTAATATAACCTCTTGTTCATCTTATTAATTTACGGGTGTATTGAATTGGTATTTTAATGAATATTAAAGCAGTTACTAACTCTTTTGGACTCTATGGGTTTTAATTGACTTCTATAGGCTGCACATAGACTGTTACTGAATTTACTTATTATTAGGAATGAGGGCAGCAATGAATTGCGGTACTAGATATGGGTAATCAAGAAATTGGAATTGGATTGACTACTCCTAAATGATCTCATTCTTAATTTTAAGGGTATTTGATTACTAATTTTAACGTGGAACCCACATATACACGTTCAGTCACTGATAGACATTCTATGTCTGGGTATTTCACATTTGTTGGTGGTAATCTTGTTATTTGGAGGAGTAAAAAGCAAAAGTTGATGTCTCGGTCTAGTGCCGAAGCAGAGTATCATCGGATGGCTCAAGGTGTGTGTGAGTTATTATGGTTGACGAGACTGTTGAAAGATCTTGGGTTTGCTCCCCAGAAACCCATGGATTTGTATTGTGATAACAAAGCTACAATTACGACTGCTCATAACCTTGTGCAACATGATTGTACAAAGCATGTGGAGGTTGATCGATATTTTATTAAAGAGAAAGTGGATGTTGAGATTTTTTTTCTTAAGTAAACGTAGGGGAAGTAAGAAATTTGAATCATTCCAGTACCCATGTGTTAGTACACTGTAAGACCCATTCCTGATAAATAAACATGCCAATATATGTAGATTTTATTGGAGCTTTTTCCGTTGAGTTATTTACATTAACACACCCTGAGGTTTTTGGTGTTTTTACAAACCCTGGAGGTTTCAAAAATTACACAATACCCTCCTTGAGGTTTCAAATGATTTTCACAAAAGCTCTTTTTGTTGATTGTTCGTGCAAAAATTGATGATTTCATTTAGGGTTTTTAGCCGTTTTACCTAATGAATTATGACCGTTGTATAATTTAACCCCCTGAGATAAAAAAATCAGCCAATTTAGTACTCTAAACCCATTAAAACATTCAATTTAGCCTTTACCGTCAAAGTTTTTTAATTTCATCAACTTTTCCATTCAAAAAGTCACGTATGCTTAACGTGACTTATTATTTGAGCGTTTTTTTTTTATATTTGAATTATTTGAGTTTTTAGATATTATTATTATTAAAAACTTAAAATTTAAAAAATAAAAATATTAAATAAAAAGGAAAATAAAATCAGGTGTCATCCTCTACTGAAGTCGACAAATGTTCAAAGTTGAACTTCTTGAATTTGTCTTTTTGTGATTTGTTTACCATGTGACTTTCCTATGCTAAGGAATGAATATTTCTCGAACACTTCTTTGAATGAAAAATCAAACTTGCATTGATATTTGGGTGATTACATTGCTTTATTGAAAGGAAATAACTGGATGAATGATTTGAAACATCAACAATAATTTGTCTTCAGTGGGAGTGGAGTAGACTTAGTCATTTGTTGGGGACTGAGTTTCTGATGAGAAGCTTCAAGGGTAGTACTTTCGGAAGTGATACGCATTCCACTGCCCTGAAATTTCATTTCCCTCCAAAGTATCTAGTGTATAGCTTCCTCAGCCCCCAGGTCTGCTGACCACGTTGGGGCTTTCCCAGCTAGGCTTCATCTTTCTTTTATTTTTAATCCTTCTTTAGATGCTGTGGTGAAAGCTTTTCACATGCTGAGCTTGAATGTTTACCCATACCCTTTACCTAATACGTGGTGTTCATGCTTGAGCTTGAATGATTGATTCCGATGTGGGCTTAACTAAATAAAATAAAATATATAATGAATGGTTCTACTACTAATATCATTGGGGCTTTTTGTGATAAAAATCTTATGTGCCCCAATCTTGGATACCGTATACCACGACATCTTAGCCCTCAGGATCTCAAACTTATCTTGCAGCTCCAAAGTTCACTCCTCCACAATAATCATCTTATAGTCGGTAGGATGTCTAGGTCCGAAAGGAGCAATAACACATTCATCTTCGTTAGGATGTCAACTTCAACCTCTTTAAATAATTAGGAACCCAATAATTAAGGTTCATGCCAAAAATCAAATTACAGAGTAGTAACCTATTGTTTAAACATATACGAGAGAGAGCAAACCAGTTTCTCAGTAGAACCATCAAATATGGTAGTCTCTCCACATCATCCTTGGAAAAACATTCAGGGTTTTGATAACCTCCACAATTTCGGTACGACTTTGAAAGAGCTGCTTCAGCATCGTGTAGGTCCGTAACTTCTATGTGTTAAACAAGGAATAAGAGAGAGAGAGAAACACGAAAAGAAATCGTGCTAATTAATGGCTTCTAGAATACATAATAAAATATAAGAATATTAGTTGTCGGCATCAAATCATAAAAGCCAAAGTTGAAATTAGGATGGAACAAATGGAGCTGTTCTATAATTTCTCCACTTAAGGCTCTCTCAGCCATTCTATAATTTCTCCACAAACTATTATATACCCATTTAAAATTTTGACTAAATACCCCTACACTCCAAATCTAGATTTTTCTGATAATCCAAATCCAGAGATTTAGATGACAATATAAGATTAAATTATTTGTGGAGACTATTACAATATATTTATGTTAAGATGTGAACAATAAGGAAACGAAGAAAATATTTAGATTCTAAATGACTCGTTGCACATGGTCATTTCAATTTCATTCTAAACGTACTACAGCTAGTTATTTCAAATACATTCAATTTAAATTTTTTAAAAAAATAAACCCAAAAAATTTTTTAAATAAATATATTTTTTTTTTTCAAATCCAAATCTTTTTTTTTTTTTTTTTTTTTTTTTTTTTTTTTTTTTTTAAATATCTCCATCCTAATGAATATACACGTTTTAAGGTTTCAAAACTAATTTGATAAATAAGGTCCCTCTCCAAGCACTCCAAGCACCTGAGAGTTTCTTTTACAGAAAAGGCTTTCCAATCTTTCTTCTCACACATACAAACTCAATGCCCTTCTCTTCTACTTTAAGACTTGGGACAATCAGTACCTGGAGATGTTCTACTGCAGAGAGCTGTTCATAATTAAAGACCAAATGGGAAAACCACTGGCCAGAAAGTGCTCTCAAGAAGTCGGGTTTGGCTTACTGGTCTCTTTTATTTTGTGCCTTGTATTGTATAGCTTAATTGATTCAAGTTTACTGGGTGTTAACAATGGGGTCAATCTTCTGGTAAACAAACAAGTTCACCCGATTAGTATTGTGAAGATTAACCGCACCGAACATCCATGCTCTGATCGTTACATTTACATCCATGAAGGTCTTCCTAGCAGATTCAACTATGACTTCCTCAACAACTGTGAGTCTCTTACTGCAGGGGCTATGACTGTTAGCAACATTTCAAATATGTGTCCTTACTTTGTTAATTTGGGTCTTGGTCCAGTAATTGAAAGCTCCGAAGGGGTTTTAGCCAATGAGAGTTGGTTTTCCACAAACCAGTTCTTGTTAGAAGTCATATTCCACAACAGGATGAAGCAGTACGAGTGTTTGATAGAAAACTCCACTCTGGCTTCAGCTATTTATGTCCCATTCTATGCTGGCATAGATACCAGTGTCCATCTGCTTGATCCTAACCTCACAGCCAGAGACTCTTCGGCGAAAGATCTTGTTCGATGGCTTTCGAGCAAACCCGAATGGAAGAAAATGTGGGGAAGAGACCATTTCTTTGTTGCCGGGAGGGTTTCCTGGGACTTCAGGAGGCAAAGAGACAATAGTTCTAATTGGGGTAGTAAACTCAGGTTCTTGCCTGAGTCTATGAATATGAGCATGTTATCAATTGAAGGAAGCGCATGGAAAAATGACCTTGCTATACCATACCCTACAAGCTTTCATCCTACAGAGGACAGTGAGGTGGTTCAGTGGCAGAAGAGAGTTAGAAAACAAGAAAGGCCTCACTTGTTTGCTTTTGTTGGTGCACCGAGGGCTCGCCAGAAGAATTCTATCCGGGGCAAACTTATTGATCAGTGCCAAGCTTCAACTAATTGCAAGTTTCTACATTGCCGTAAAAACAATTGTGACAACCCGGTTACTATTATGAGGGTGTTTCAGAGCTCAGTTTATTGCTTGCAGCCTCCCGGCGATACGAGCACCAGGAGATCCACTTTTGACTCTTTTGTAGCTGGTTGCATTCCAGTATTGTTTCATCCGGCATCGGCTTACACTCAATACTTATGGCATTTACCAAAAAATCATACCAAGTATTCAGTGTTTATTCCGGTGAGGCTTGCAGAAGATTTGAAAGAAGGCGACATTGAGAAAGTCTTGCTTGGAATTTCAAAGGACAGGGAATTGGCCATGAGAGAGGAGGTTATAAGGCTAATACCAAAGCTGGTGTATGCAGATCCCAGGTCAAGATTGAAGACTCAAGATGCATTTGATTTAGCTGTGCAGGGAATTCTTGAGAGAATAGGAAATGTTAGGAAGGTGATTAGGGAGGGGAAGGATCCTAGTATTGGTTTTGCAGAGTCTGATGGTGGTAAGTTCGCATTTCCCAAGACTAATACCAATATACTTTATTGAATGCAAATAGATACTTCGTTCTGAGAGCAACCCAAGATGGAAGAACTGGGTGTAGTTATGTAAAACAAAAATAAAGAAATTGTGTTGTTGTGTTTTTAATTATGACTTTAAAACGGGAGATTGATGTTCACTGAAGAAGCTTATGTGCAATTTACAGATTATGATTAATACACGATTCAAGATTATATACACTGCAAGCTGTAGATATAAATTTGATATTGGCTAACGCTTATATGATGTGATATCCCTAGCTCAAAAATCGCACAAACAAGGAAGAGAATAAAACGAAGAACAATCAATCAAACAATACACAAGATTACCGAGGTTCATCACAAATTAGGCTGTCCCCAGCCAATGATGATAATGACGATTAGCAAAGTTACAACAAAGAGGACATAGCTTATTCTCTCACATACTGGCAAGTAATTTCACTTCTTTCAACCCTTCTCAATAGAGACCCCGTCCCAACAACTCTCTCTCACATTGCTTGAAACGTTTGATAACTATTTTAGTTTTTCAATTTTGTTCTCACTTTTCACTTTCAAATTTTCAGTTTTCAGTTTTCATTCTAAAAAACTGAAATATAACTGTTTTCAGTTTCCAATTTATAAAAAAAAAAATTATAAAAAAAACTATTTAAAAGTTGTTTGGTACTATTTCAGTTTTTGTTTTTTTCTGTGTCATGCGCACGAATGTGACACAAATTACAGAATCCTCGAGAATAAAGTAATAAATAAATCATTTATATCCAATTTGTTTATTGCTAGGTGGTAAATCAACCGATCCTCAAGTGTTATTTTGCGTAATGAATTCTCATGCTGGTTCATGACTCAATCATCGATATGTCATGCCATTGTTTCAAACATTTAAATGCATATTTGATTGTTGGGTTAATAAATGCAAGAAGGCAGTGTGTTTGGTTGTATGTTCAATAAATATTGTCAAAATAAATTGCACATATACAGCAATGTTATTGGGCCGCACGAAGACGTAAGGATGAGAAGATCCTTACTCGTGAGTGACGTCCCAAGTAGTGTCCTTTTAATTTTCACCCTCTCTGTCTTCTCTCTCTCTCCAAAGTGAAAGCGGTTGTGGAGTGTTTTTTGGGGGAAAGCGCCAGGGGGGAGGGGGGGGGGGGGGGGGGGGGGGGGGTGTCTTCCACTCATCATAGGCGATTGTGTCTCGTTGAATCTTCACCACCACCATCCTCTGCTCCTCGGTACCACGGGTAGCTCTTTCGTCGTTTATCCTCGATGGCACTCTATGGTATGAGGTTGCTTTTAAGAAGTCAATACAATGGATGATATATATATATATATATAATATATATAGGTTATTGATTTTATGAAAGGTAGATTTGTTTTGGGTTCTTAAGCAGATCACAAACACTCGGCTTTCAAAAGTGGAAAGATAACAAACTACACCAAAAATTAGTCTTAAATAAATTAAAGAAAGGAAGTTCCTTACAAGAAAATGCTATGGTGCATATTGCATATACACTAACACAATTTGGTGCACTAGTACAGGTGGTTTTCTTTTGCAACTGATTCTGACCATTAGATGAAATAACAGCTTGCAGCTTTTGGGAAGATAAAATATCTGCTTACAGTTTCCTAGAGAATTTACATTATAATTGACAAAGAAGGTTGAAGCCACGTGTTCTATGCACTTTGGACATAACAAGCGGTGAGTTCGGCTGAAGAAGAAAGATTGAGACAAAAACAAAAATGAGTAGAAACGTTGAATGGACTAGAGAACAGAAAGAGCAATCGGCTGAAGTTGACATGTTTGTCGGTCATATAATCTCAATCAAAATTGCCGGGACTTTATTTGCAGAGAATAGTTGTGGCTCCAAACTGATGCATCATGATTGATTTGTGATCAATCAGTAAAATTAACACAATAATATTTCAAAGCTATAACTTATCATAGCCTCTTGCGTATTCAATTCAGTTTAGTTTTAGGCTTCATTTACAAACAAAGTTCTCTCATTTTTCTCTTCACACAGTCTCTGTCCGTACACCGGATGGGGAAACCACCCTCTCAAGAAGTCTGGTTTGGCCTACTAGTGTCTTTTCTTTTGTGCCTTGTATTGCTTTGCTTGAACTATTCAACTTCATGGGGGTGCCAACAATGGGATCGATCTTTCGATGAGTAAACAAGTTCGTCCAATTGGTGTTACGAAGATTAACGACACCGAAGATTCATGCTCCGATCGCTACATTTATATCCATGAGGATCTTCCTTCCAAATTCAACAGTGACTTCCTCATCAACTGCAAGTCTATTTCTGCAGGGATTAGTAGTAGTAGCACACCAAGTATGTGTCCTGACATTGTGAATTTGGGTCTTGGTCCTAAAATTGAATACTCTGACGGGGTTTTAGCCAACGAGAGTTGGTTTATCACAAATCCCTACTTGTTAGAAGTCATATTCCACAACAAGATGAAGAAGTATGAGTGTTTGACAAGCAACTCCACTCTGGCTTCTGCCATTTATGTGCCATTCTATACTGGCATGGATGCCAGTGTTCATTTGTGGGATTCTAACCTCACTGTCAGAGACTCTTCAGCTAAGAATTTGGTCAAGTGGCTTTCGGGGCAACCCGAATGGAAGAAAATGTGGGGCAGAGACCATTTCTTTGTTTCTGGGAGGACTTCTTGGGATTTTAGGAGGGTAAGAGACAATAGTTCTGAGTGGGGTAGTAAACTCAGGTTCTTGCCAGAGTCCATGAACATGACTATGTTATCAATGGAAGGAAGCCTTTGGAAAAATGACATTGCTATACCATACCCCACAAGCTTTCATCCTGCAAAGGACAGTGAGGTGGTTCAATGGCAGAACAGAGTGAGACAACAAGAAAGGCCTAACTTGTTTGCTTTTGTTGGTGCACCAAGGCCTCACCTGCAAGGTTCTATCCGGGGCAAAATTATTGATCATTGCCAAGCATCAACTACTTGCAAGTTTTTGCATTGCGGTGAAAACAATTGTCACAACCCGGTTAATATTATGAGGGTGTTTCAGAGCTCAGTCTATTGCCTGCAGCCTCGAGGGGATTCAGACACTAGGAGGTCAGCTTTCGACGCTATTCTGGCTGGTTGTATTCCAGTCTTTTTTCATCCTGCCACCGCATTTTCTCAATATTTGTGGTATTTACCAAAGAATCATACCAAGTATTCCGTGTTTATTCCGGTGAGGGATGTAAAAGATTTGAAAGAAGAAGGCATCATTGAGAAAGTCTTGCAGGGAATTTCAAAGGACAGGGAATTGGCCATGAGAGAGGAGGTTATAAGGACAATACCAAAGCTGGTGTATGCAGATCCCGGGTCAAGATTAGACACTCCAGATGCCTTTCATATAGCTGTGCAGGGAATTCTTGAGAGAATAGAGAATGTTAGAAAGGTGATTAGAGAGGGGAGGGATCCTAGTATTGGTTTTGCAGAGGTTGATGGTACTAAGTTCACATTTCCTGATACAGTAGACTAACTATAGACTTGGTTGAATGCAGTATTATACTTTCTGAGTGGAGAAATACAGGGGGGGGGGGTGGGGGGGGGGGGGGGGGGGAGAGGAAGAACAGCTTATGTAGAGAAATAAAATATAAAGAAAAGATCTGATGTTCTATTGTTTTTAAACTTTAAATTTATAGACCATAAATTTGTATTCCACTATGCGATTATTCTCCGTTGTTTGATGTCGATTGCAGAAGCTTTCCAGAAAGTTACAGATATAACTCTGTACTGTGAGTATGGTTTGAGAGTTTGCACCATTGTTGCTCAATCATTTGTAAAAGTTTCTTGGAACTGTGATTAACTTACTGACTGAGGCCTCATGTCCGAGACGATGTATTCGTTGCTTAGTCGAATGAAATTGCTTTAGCTATTAAAAACAGATCATATATGAAATGAAAGCTGAACATGGTAGCTTGCTTAGTTGAATATCATGTATACCTTGCTTAGCTCAATGAAAGCTGATATGGTGGTTTGCTTTTATACCAATTTCAAATTCCAAAGGATTTGCCTAAACTATACCTAGAGTAACTCATACTCTCAATTATTCTCAATAAATTCATATTGAATTCAGAATTAACCAAGTTAGAGGCATATATGTGAACCTTCAACATTCAAATTTAGGATATATATATATATATATATATATATATCGAGAGTTTCGGTTGAGGGATCCTTCAAATAAGCTTATTTGAGGGACACTCTTGTAGGGCCCACTCCGTATTGTATTTCACTAATCCAAACCGTTTATTTTATAAATACTCATTCAAAGATTATCTCTACAAAAAAATCACTTGAATCCAATATCATTTGACCACTCAATTGAATTATTGAAAATTTAGTACTTTCTTGAAGCACCGTGTTCATTGATTTGTAAGACACAATTGGATATCGAAACGGTTTTTGATTTGTTTAATTTTTTGTAAGGATGATCTATGAATGAAGACCTAAAAAATAGATGATTTGAATCGTTGAAAAAAATTTCGTAGGATACCCTAAATGGCGTCTCTTAAATAAATTTATATATATATATATATATGTCACCCCCCCCCCCCCCCCCCCCCCCCCCCCCCACAGGACTCCCAATTGAACTTTTAATCCCCTGAACTAAAAAGTCAGCCAATTTAACACCCGAATTAATTAAAATAACCAATTTAAAACATGCCATTAGATTTTGTTACATTTCATCCATAAGTTCGTCAGAAGTGGACCTTCACGAACGACACCATGAGCAGCAAGAACCCGATCGTGAACAAGAGTAACCTAGAGAAGGAGTTGGAGATCCGAATCAAGAGTTGGTCGTGAGGCGTGGACCCGAGTAGCTTCTTCGTAGTCCTCGATCCCAACCCAGACAATCGAATCGAATGTAAAATTGCCCTAAATTGCCCTGATTTTTTACTAAAGGTTTTTGGGTTTATGGTAAGGTCGAAATTGCCCTCTAGGTTTGTTCCATGTGTGCCTCATGTGACATTTTGGACGGAATTATGGATGAAATCCAATGAAAACTAACAGTAAGGGTGAAATTAGTGATATTTATTAATTCAGGGACTAAATTGACTGAGTTTTTAATTTATGGAGTTAAGTTCAATAAAGGTCATAGTTGAGGAGTAAAACGGCTGAAAGTAATAAGTTTTCTTGTTTGCTACAAATAATGAGTTGATTGAATATAGTCTGTCACCATAACTCGATCGAGATATTCAAAGTCATGGTTTTGTATTGTTGCTTTGATCAGCCATAGAAAGAATCCACTTTACTTGGTCAGCAAATTAATTGGAAAAATATCCTGTTTATAATAAAAATTACTTAAAAGGGTAGAATTAAACAGAAACAAAAAAATAAAAAACTTTTGTAAACCTTTAAGAATATGAACATTTTTTTCCTTGCACGTGTCCACAAGCCCAGAAGGACCAAATCGTTAAGGCTACTAGAAGCACCCGATGGTTACGGTCTACGCTGATTTGCAGGAAAAGGAGAAAACCACCCCCATAGACTCCTTCCCAATGTGACAATGTCCCAAAACACTAGTTTTCTTAATGCAAAATTTTCATTCTGAAAATTAAATTAAATTATTTTAAAAAAAGAAAAAAGAGAAAAAGAGAAACAAAAGAAACGAAAGAACAGAGGATAATGTCATTCTTCTTCCTTTTCTTCATCTCCTTTCTGTATGAGTCCTTCTTCTCCTCCTACCGCTTTCATGAAGCGGGCACCTCCGCGGCCGGGACACCAACATCATCGTCCATAAAAACACCAACACCCCCAACATGCCTCTTCAGATATCATACCAGGTATTTCTGTCTAGAAGATTAAGGTTGTGCTGGTTTTAGAGAGAGAACTGTGATTCACGTGGAAGGCTGTTTATTATTGGTGGCAGACTTGTATATAGCTGGAGTTGAAAGGTTGTTTATTGTCTTGTTCCTGTTGGGTGGCCAACAGGGACTTGTTATTAACAAATTTATAGTTTTGAGGGCTCAAAAAAAACAAAAAAAAAAAAAAAAAATTCTTTTATTGATTCATAGTTTTGAGGTAAGTCCCTTTTGATTGGTTTTCTTTATCTGTTTTGATAGTTTGCCTCATCCGTCCTCTTCATATCCCTTTTCCCTTTTCTCCTCCATCTTCCTGATCTTATTGGATTGATTGGCTTTTCCTCTTTTTGACCACTTACCATGCATATCCCATCTCCCTTTCTTTCCCCATTCCAAATCCCATATCAATCTTAAATAAATTTCCCATTTCCTTCAACTTCCCTTATATATTCCACTGATCATGCTAGAGACATAATTCGAATTCAAACAGTGGTTTACCATATATATATATATATTTTCCATGCCTCTCTGTTCTGCCTTGTTACTAATTCGGTGAACCGGTGATCGGAGACATTCTAGTCCGGCTGAGAGAGCCTGCTCATGATTGATTGAAGATCAAATGGAGAAACCACTTGCCGGAAAGTGCCACAAAGAAGTCTGGTTTGGCATTCTAGTCTCCTTTGTTTTGTGCTTTACCATTCTTTGCTTTGATTATTCAACGTCAATGTTGGGCGTCTACAATGGGGTCAATCTCTTAGTCAGACGTGTTCATCCATACATCACCAGAGATTCGTGTTACGGACGTTACATTTATGTTCATGATGATCTTCCTGCCAAATTCAACGATGATCTCCTCAAAAACTGCCAGAATCTTACTACAGGGAGCAAGCCTAAGAATAGTGACACACAAAATATGTGTCGTTACATCGTGAATTTGGGGCTTGGTCCTGAGATTGAGGAACCAGAAGGGGTTTTAGCCAACGAGAGTTGGTTCATCACAAATCCTTACTTGTTAGAAGTCATATTCCACAACAAGATGAAGCAGTACAAGTGTTTGACAAACAATTCCAATCAGGCTTCAGCCATTTATGTACCATCCTATGTTGGCCTTGATGCCAGCCTCCATCTGTGGGATTTTAACCTCACGGTCAGAGACTATTCAGCGAAAGATCTTGTGGGATGGCTTTCGGGCAAGCCCGAATGGAAGAAAATGTGGGGGAGAGATCATTTCATGGTTGCTGGGAGGACTTCTTGGGACTTAGGAGGCAAAAGGAGAATAGTTCTGATTGGGGTACTAATCTCAGGTTTTTGCCAGAGTCCATGAACATGAGTATGTTATCTGTTGAAGGAAGCCTTTGGAAAAATGACTTGCCATACCATATCCCACAAATTTCCATCCTAAAAATGACAGTGATGTGGTTCAATGGCAGAACAGAGTCAGAAGCCAAAAGAGGCCTTTCTTGTTCACTTTTGTTGGTGCGCCAAGGCCTGACATGAAAGATTCAATCCGGGGCAAGCTTATTGATCAGTGCCAAGCTTCAAGCAACTGCAAGTTCTTACATTGTGGTTCTTCTGGGATTAATTGTAACAACCCGGTTACTGTTATGAGGGTGTTTGAGAGCTCTGTTTATTGCTTGCAGCCTCCAGGGGATTCACACACTAGAAGATCAACTTTCGACTCGTTTCTGGCAGGCTGCATTCCGGTTTTCCTTCCATCCTGCAACTGCGTATACACAGTATTTGTGGCATTTACCGGAGAATCATACCAAGTATTCGGTGTTTGTTCCGGTGAAAGAAGTTGAAAATTTGAAAGAAGGCATCATTGAGAAAACTTTGCTTGGAATTTCGAAGCATGAGGAATTGGCCATGAGAGAGGAGGTTATAAGGCTAATACCAAATCTGGTATATGCAGATCCCAGGTCAAGATTAGAGACTGAAGACGCATTCGATATAGCTGTACAGGGAATTCTTGAGAGGATAGAGAATGTTAGGGAGGTTATTAGAGAGAGGAAGGATCCTAGTATTGGTTTTGCAGATGAGGATAATTTTAAGTTTACATTTCCTGAGACACCAGAATAACTTGGTAGATTGTGTTTAGAGAACAAAAAGAGATAGAAGAACATTGCAGGATATTGAAATTCATCGAACTATAATTATTTCCATTTGGTTGTAGAAATATTATATGAGACAATGCCAGTTCTTACCTCTGTGCTTCTTACACTAGCAACTAAAGACCTTATATTTAGTCATTTTTTTCAGAAAGTGAACAAGAGAAGAAAAAAAATAGGGTCATCCGTGTAATCTTTCTTCTTGCTTTCCGGGCTTCAGGCCCCCCCTCCCCCCTCTCTCTCTCAGCAACCAAAAAAGTAAAAGTAAAAAGGAGAAATATTTTTGGGGCCCGTCTAATAGTCATTTCGATTTTAGTTTTTATTTTTTATGTTAGAGTATGGAGGAACATGATAGAGAGAGAGAGAGAGAGAGAGAGAGAGAGAGAGAATGATGAGAGGGAGGAGTAACAAAAGTGAAAACAATTTCAAATATATTTCTGTTTTTAGTTTTTGTGTTCACTTTTGTTACTTATCATCCCGTCCTCCCCTCTCATCTTCACTGTCATTCTCACTGAAATTTTAATACTCTAGCAAAATATATGAAAGCTAAAAACTAAAGTTGAAATGGTTATCAAACGGTCTTTATATTCTCATAAACACGTGAGTGATTGTTAGTTGAAGAATGTCACGAATCACTTGAAAATTTTAAAAATAATTTAATGAGTACTTGGAAGCATATTCATGGAGGAGGATTATGAACTTATTCCCCCAAGCCTCATTGTTTAAACACAGCTTATTGCCCTAAACAGTCACTGAATCATCATGTACGCTACTTCCTAGCTGTTTGGACATTGAAGTCAATAGTTTTACCAATCATATTTCAGTCGTTGGGTTGAGCAAGAAACATTATCACAATAGTCACCATTACAGCCCACTGCTCGGTGGTTTTGTTGACCCAACCTTACTGGTTGATGGGCTTAGATTAATGTCTCTAGCTTTTTATACATCTTGGTGCAATGCATGTATTATGAAGGCCAATAAACAAAAAACAGTTCGAAACACATCTCGCTCTCAGCCGTACTTCGTGGCCTAATCAAATGAGAAATCAATGCCGAAATTAAAGGATCAAATTTTGGAGTGAAGCATGGTTGGCCGCCTCCTTTCATACAAGGTTTGTCAATTTTATTTTCTATTTAAATTTTTTGCATTTAATTATTTTATTTTCATTACTTCAAAACAAAAATAAAAATACCAACGGAGTCTAGCCCATGTTGAAAAAAGTCATTAACTTTGTAAACCAACAGATTCAAACCCCCATTGCGCCTTGATAATGTAAGTGAGAACCTCATCCCTGTAATTTAAGATTACCTTTTGTATTTTTTTTTGTTTAAAAAAAACAAAATACGACAAAACAATTAACAAACAACGACAGTGATAGCACTTTTGCTTTGTCGGTTTTTTGGCTTTTGAGGAAATGTAGTGGTCGCCTCTTTCTAATTAAAAGACGTGCGAATTTTTATTTTATTAATTATTCTCATGCTGATTTTATTTTTCAGAGGCCAACACGTGGCTTACTTTTTTACCAAACTAACATGTGTTTTATTTGTTGTTTTTTTTTCCTTCCATAATTGGATTTTCTTTAATACTAGCCTCTCTACACACGCTTCTGCGTGTGCGAGAGGCTTTTTTTTAAATCACACGCACTATGCGCGACTTACAAAGTTTCGTAAATATTTATAATGTCTGACAAACTTTGCTTCTTTAGTGCTCTGCCTACTCTTTTCAACTCATTCAATTGGTTTCAATTTGATTGATTTTAAACCTACATTTCTCAACTTTAACCAGTGGTCTTCACCACCCAAATAAAAATGTCCAATTGGTTACATGTTTTTAATTTTGGGTTTTGTTTTTATTTGTTTTCTTTTGTTTATGCTGAATTGAAATTACCCTCATTTTGATGTTGCTCCTAATTTCATGTTGCAGGATTCGCTTCCAACGATCTATCCATTGCTAGGTACAGGTATACAGCCCACATTCACCTACCTTTACATTACTTTCTTTGTTTGCTAATTATACTTTTTCTTTTCTTCTATAGCGTGTAAACTGCTAAGATGGATGTCTAGAAAAATAAGGTCAATAAAAGAAAATACTTGAGACTGTCATCCAAAAAATACAATTACAAAAATAGAAAAATTAGAAAAATTGTAAGTTGCACGTAGCGCATGATCGAAAAAGATCTCCCGCACACGCGTGGGAGGCTAGTGGTATTATAAATAAAGAGGATATAAGCAACATTACAATAACAGATTCAATACTAATAATATATAGTTTGACAAAAAAAAAAACTAATATTATGCAGAAAAGTTTAATTAATAATTTAATATATATAAAAAAAAACTAATAATATATAGTTTAATTAAGATTTTGCATGCCCCAGTCTTGGAGAGGCTTGGACATAAAGCCCCCTTTTAAAATGGAGGGTGGCCATGGTCTTGTAACGAGCTACTTTGTTGTCATCACTCAGCTTGAACATGTAACGGCCCCAAAGCACAGCAGAAAATATCAAAGCCTCTCTATAAGCAAAGTCCTTCCCCCACACAAATCCTTGGACCCGCCTGTTTAAATCAACAAATTTATTTAGAATTCCCCATAATTTATAAGTCTACTCATCCTTTGTGCATGTTTAATAAAATGTGGCATTTTTACTGATCATATCAACATTAATTTATTTCTTACACTGAAGGCTGTGAATTTGAAAGGGCTTTCCTGTTGGAAAAGACCATTTTCCTCAAGCCATCTCTCTGGCTGAAATTCTTCTGCATCATCACCCATATATATATATATTTCAGCCTGCCCATGCGATAAGCATGGTATGGCACCACATCACCTGTTTTGACACTAAATCCATATGGCCGGGTATCATTAGAAAAACAAACCTTCCCATTCTACGACAGCATCAAACAAACTTGTTAAAAGCAATTCTAAAGATTAAAATTCAGAAAGGTCAGCAGACAGTGTTGTTTATATCAGCTTAGCCTTGCAATTGTGTTTGAATTAGAAGTACCAGTGAAAGAGCAGGGTACAGCCTGGTTGTCTCATTCAAAACTGCAAGGAGATATTGCATTTTCTAAAGGGTCTCTTCAGTAAGGTTGTCTGAAAGCTCATCAATGCTTGATTTATCTTTCAGATCTGTTGCTTCTCTAACTTCCCGTGAAATCTTTTCTTGTATATGAAGATGCTTGCAGACCATATAAATAAACCATGTAAGAGTGCTAGCCGTTGTGTCTTTTCCGGCTGCAATGAGGCTGAGGACCATGTCTCGCAAGTACTTTGGATCAGTCTCTTCCGATGCCGAAAGCCTTTAAACAATGTCTACTTTCTTCAACTGTATATTCAATTATATTAATCAATAATAACATGAAATTAATTCAATCCAGGACAAACATGACCTAGAAGGTAACTCACAGCTCGTAGCTTATCTTCTGAATTATGAATTGTTTCAATCTTGTCTTTGATTAATTTATAAACAAATTAATCTACAATTTTCATATTCTTCCTTAATGCTCTTCTGATTCAATGTTTAAGAAACTTCTGATATTCCAGGAGAAATCAACATAACCATACATAGTGCTTTCGTTTGCCACATCAAAAGAATTGGAAAACCGGGTACCTTCTTCATTTGTCCCACACAAAGTGTCTAGTTCGACATCAAGGAGACTGAAAGAGAAACATATCCACAATAGTCGGCTCCTCCAGCAACCACAAAGTGAAAGAAACCAAAGGCCAAAGTGTTTCATTCAGCTAATAGCTTGTATACCTCAAACGCCAAAGTCTTACCTGCACATAATCTACAGCATTAACTGAACCAAACAAATAGATCACCTCAGTTGCAACCACTACCACGTCTCTAGAATTGTTTTTGGAATAAAATTAGAGAAGTTTCGAGAGAGAATATTCTTACCTGATGCTCTGCCAAAGGGGGGATTCTGGACCCCCAACTCCAATAAGTTAGAACAAAATAGGAGAAGAAACCGAAACAGCTATAAAGAACATAAAAAAAAGGAAGATAAAAAATACAACGAAGAACTCATTTGTGAAGATTGGCAAAGAAGTTTTGATTATGCAGTTGAAATTTGGAACTGCAACAGTTATGAGGAAATAGCAGCAGTTATGTGGAAATAGAACTCCAGTCTAACGTGTGCTTTTCTTTTCTTTTCTTTTCTTTTCTTATTCCTTATTCCTGATGCTTCCCCACCCTTCTCTCTGTTTTTGAGTCTCTACTGCGCTACTTTCTCCTCCAGCAAATGACCCACCCCATATCTTTTGTAATGGCATGAGGATGTTGGGTCGTGTGGGAAGTCTTAAAACTGAGATGAACTGCAGCGGATTTGAGTTGGTTTTTCAATTTGTTTTTTAATTTTGGGTCATTTGGGTCGTGTTGTTTTTTAATTTTTTAATGGCATCCGTTGTTCGTGGGTTAAACCGTTCTTCACCCTTCCTCTGTGGTAGCACAGCATGACTCTTTTTTTCTTTTTCTTTCTTTTTATTAAGTCAGTGGTGTTTTACTATTTCACCTTCTCTTAATTAAAATAGTATGTTTTTAATTTTACAAATTTATAAATAAACCCAATTCTAGACATGTATTTATAAAAAAATCCAAACACTATTTAAACATAGAAACACACCCAAAATCAACCCCAAAATCAACAATTGTATATTTTGGGTGTGTTTATAAATGAGTTTTGAGTGTGTGTAATGATGAGTTTTGGATGTGTTTATAAAGTGTTTTGGGTGTTGGATTTTTTTATAATTTCAACCCTCATTTTGGGTGTTTTAGTGAAACTCCATTTTAATTTTTACTTTGACAAAGGGCATTTTCGAGATTTTTGAATGTTTCACCTCTCTTCCTTTATATATATAGATGTATGGCATGACAACAATCCATCTTCCCAAAAATTGAAGCAACTAAACCCTCTCACTTACTCTTCTTGTGGCGGCGGCAGTTTTTCTTGTGGTGGGTGACGGCGACTTGTTTTGTTTAGGGGTAGGTGTTGGGTTTTTTGTATTTTGTGGGCGGCCTCCTATTTTGGTATTTTGGGTTTTGTTTTATTTTGTTATGTTTCAGCCCTTGTTCTTCTTTTTGTCAGTTTTTTGGCAAACAAATTTCATTCATTTCGACCAAAAAATCGTGAATTGCTTGCTCTGCCTTAGGAGCTGGTCGATGATGACGAAAATTATATCGAAAAGAGCTCCAGGGTTCACGCTTCTCCGAAAGGGTAATCCTTTTTCTCTCTATTCTCTGTTTGGGCTCGTCTTTTTCAGAAGCCAGTTTTGCTCTTTTGCTGTCAATCGTTGTCATACTGTTAGTGTTAAGGAAACCATTGATTTGGAGGATTTGGTAAAAACGCGTTGTAAATCTGGTAATCTTGGGTTAGATGAAGCACTGGGTCACTTCGATTCCGTAATTCAAATGAAACCCATTCCCTCGATTTGGGCTATTAATCATTTGTTTGGGGCACTCTCCAAGATGAATCAGTGTTCCACTGTAGTTTCTATGTATAAACAGATGCTGGCTTGCGTTGGCTTACACCCGGAAGTCGGTACACTGAGTGTTGTTATCAATTGCTTGTGCCGTATGAATCGGGTGGACTTGGGTTTCTCCGTTTTAGCAACTATCCTTAAACATGGTCTTCATCCCAATGCTTATACTTTGAATGCTTTGCTTCATGGGGTTTGCAAGTATAGGTCGCTCTCTGAGGCAATGGAGTTACTCCGGAAAATAGAAGAGAAAGGATTAGCATGCTGTGAAATCACTTACGCTACTATAATTACTGGGTTGTGCAGAGCTGGGAAAACATGTATGGCGCTTGAGATACTCAAGCAAATGTATGAAGATGGAAGGTTTAAGCCCGACCCTCAATGCTATAATCCGATCATTGACCGCTTATGCAAAGAAAGAAGAATAGATGAGGCGCTGACCCTATTTCGAGATATGATCAACAAAGGTGTTGCGCCAAATGTCATCAGTTACACTTCATTAATTTATGGATTATGCAACATACTTGGACAAGAGCACTTGCTCTGTTTGAAATAATGAAAAACAAAGGCATAAAGCCTGATGTTTTCACTTTCAATTCCTTAATTGGTGCTTCATGCAAGTCGGGTAAGTGGGAAGAAGCTGTGCTGCTATTTAGAAACATGATTGATTGTGGAGCCTTCCCTGATATTGTTACATTCAGTTCTGTGTTGGATGCTTTGTGCAAGGAAGGGAAGACAGCAGAGGCACTTAACCTTGTGGAAGAAATGTTCCGTAGAGGTGTAAAGCCTAATGTCGTCACCTACACCTCCTTAATTAATAGCCTCTGCCATTCCGCGCAATGGAAAGAAGCCACAAGGTTGTTTAATAGAATGCTGGATGAAGGAATTGCACCAAATGTTGTAACCTTTAACACTGTAATACATGCTCTTTGCAAGGAGAGACGGGCAGAGGAAGCGCTCTCTGTGTTGGAGCTAATGTCCCAAAGAGGTATGAGGCTTGACATTGTCACTTACAACTGTCTAATTTATGGCATGTGCCGTGCAAATCAATGGGCTGAAGCCACAAGGTTGTTTGATGAAATGGTAGTTCAGGGAGTCTTACCTAATATCATAACTTTGAGAATACTTTTGGATGCTCTCTTCCAAGGAGGGATGCCAGAAGAGGCTCATAAAGTAGTTGAGGCCAAAGTTAAATATGGTATGGAGCTGAGCAAAATAACTTGCAGTATGCTAATTGATGGTTATTGTTTTGTTGGCAAAATGGATAAGGCAAAGAAGGTCATTGATTTAATGGTGATAAAAGATCGTGTCCCTGATATTGCTTCTTGCTATAAAGCCTTGGTCAACGGCTATATGCAAGCTAAAAGGATAGGTGAAGCTTTGAGGCTCGTTGAGGAAATGATCGAACAAGGGGTGAAGCCTGATTTGGAAACCCTAAAAGCTTTGAGAGGTTTGCGTCCTAAAAGTCATGTTGTATCTGCAGAATAGTTCCCCATGAGACCGCTAGACGTAGTTACAATCCTGTAAAATCTTTTAACTGCTAATTATGTCATTGGATTCTAAACTTGTATGACCAAGCAATATTAGTGAAATGAAGTGGTTTCAAACAAGTATAGGATCCTTGGTGCTGAAAAGTACATTCAATATTCTTAATCTCATCCATGGATCCATAAACAAGAACAGGATCCTTTTCACAATGTTCTTAGTATTCTTAGTTCATAGTGTAAGTTCAAGAATGAAGAAAAATAAAAGAGGTTTGGAGAAGAGAAATTATCTAATGACCAAATATTCTCTACATCCTTCTTGTCTGCATATAGACTAACAACTGTAACATTTGATTCTTCTAATTTCGATTACAATATTTGATTCTTCATATAGGAGGTAAGTGGCCAAATTCCATGCCTACTTAAACGAAAGCTTCCATACCTCTCGGACTTTAGAAGAACCATCTCCAACTTCAGCGACCATGCTAGAAGCCAAGACCCCTGCAGAAAGGAATTCCAATGAAAATCATTTCAAATTTCTTATTTAAGCATCTGTAAAGATATAAATAAGAAATACCTCTTTATGAGTTCATAAAGATGTGGGAGAGCAGAGCTCTGCCATTAAAATAATATCATACTGAGCATCTAGACCTTTCCCTGTACTCACATTAAGATCCTTCTCAATGTTTTGTGCATAGGGAAGAAGCTTATGGATTTCACGACAGTCGCCAGCGAAAAAATGAATTTCCGTCCCCGCATCACACTTCGTAACTTGCAGTTCTGGGCGTTGAAGCTTGGAACATTTGAATTTACATTAGGTATGGTGAGACAATCTGATTTTTTGTGATATACCTTGTCCAGTTTGATTTTCAGCCAGATTTTGACTTTTTTGGTGAACTCGATTTTTTTCCGACTCGATTTGGTTCGACAGTTTTTATGCCCCCAATATCACACTAACATATAGTGGAATCCAAATCAACCAAAGTTTAACAATTGCAAAGTTAAATAAATAAATAAATGTTTAAGAACACAAGGCGGGTGTCCAGTAGCCTGTTGGATTTGTGGTCCAAGCCAAAACCATCATTTCCCGGGTGAGAGAGAGAGAGAGGTTGACCAAAAAAAAATTTAAAAACACAAGAGCATCACAACTTCAGTTTATAATTTACGCTAAATAAGTACATGTTCTGTCTCATATAGTTTTTACACCCAAATAGCAATTGCAGATCTGCACCTCTTCCTCTATCTCCTTTTGTTTTCTAAACAGAAATAATTGAATTCAATCAAGCTTGTTCTTGTGTCTGAGGAAATGTGTACTTGTAACTATCCTCATCAGCAAAACCAATACTAGGATCCTTCCCCTCCCTAATCACCTCCCTAACATCCTCTATCCTCTCAAGAATTCCCTTCACAGCTAAATCGAATGCGTCTGCGGTCTCTAATCTTGACCTGGGATCTGCATAAACCAGGTTTGGAATTAACCTTATAACCTCCTCTCTCATGGCAAATTCCTTATCCTCTGAAATGCCAAGCAAGATTTCCTCAATGCTGGCTGGCACATCTTTTGCCTCCCTCACTGGAATGAACACAGAGTAGCTGCTATGATTCTTTGGCAAATGCCACAAGTATTGAGAATAAGCGGTACCCGGATGAAAAAAAACGGGTATACAACCAGCCAAAATAGAATCAAAAGCTGATCTCCTAGTGTATGAATCCCCTCCAGGCTGCAAGCAATAAACTGAGCTCTGAAACACCCTCATTACACTAGCCGGGTTGTCACAATCAATGTTCCCACCAGAACTACAATCTATTAACTTACAAGTGCTTGAAGCTAGGCACTGATCTATAATTTTGCCCCGAATCGAACTCTGCTGGTCAGGCCTTGGTGCCCCAGCAAAAGTGAACAAATAAGGCCTTTCTAGCTTTCTCATTCTGTCCTGCCATTGAACCAATTCAATGTCCTTTGAAGGATGAAAATTTGTAGGGTATGGTATAGCATAGTCATTTTTCCATGAGCTTCCTTCAACTGATAACATACTCATGTTCATAGACTCAGGCAACCACCTCAGTTTACTACCCCAATCAGAAACATCATCTGTTTGCCTCCTGAAATCCCATGAAATCCTCCCAGCAACCAAGAAATGGTCTCTCCCCCACATTTTCTTCCATTCGGGTTTTCTCGAAAGCCAATCGACAAGCTCTTTTGCCGAAGAGTCTCTGACCGTGAGGTTAGAATCCCACAGATGGAGGCTGGCATCAAGGCCAGCATAGAATGGGACATAAACGGCTAAAGCCAGAGTGGAGTTTTTTGTCAAACACTCATAATGCTTCATCTTGTTGTGGAATATGAACTCCAACAAGAACTGGTTTGTGGAAAACCAACTCTCATTGGCCAAAACCCCTTCATTGTTCTCAATTTCAGGACCAAAACCAAAATTCTCAAAGTAAGGACACAAATTGGGCTTATCAGTCCCCCTAGTAAGATATTTACAGTTCTTGAGCAAGTCATGGTTGAATTTTTCAGGAAGATCATCATGCATATAAACAAAACGACCAGAGCATGATTCTGTGCTGGGCTGGTCTGTAATTGAAAGGGTTTGGTTCTTCAAAATACCAATTGGGTCAACTTGTTGTGTGTTGACCAAAAGATTGTTGACACTAAAAAAGGTTGAATAATCAAAGGAAAGCAATATAAAGCACAAAGCAAAGGAGATTAGAACGCCAAACCAGAGTTCTTGAGAGCACTTTGCAGGGAGCAGTTTCTCCATTCTTGGGCTTGCTCTGCTGAGCCAACCAAGATCTCCAGCTACTCAAGTCTCACAGCAGAAGACAGAGACATTAAGGTAAGGAGAAAGACGGGAAAAGCTTTGTTTGTGGAAAAGGAAAAAAGGAAAGAAAATAAAAGAGAAACCCCACAGCATTAATAATGTGAAGGAGAATTAATAGGTCCAGTGTGGCAAAAATACACAAGTACAAAATTAACTTTAGAGAAAATCATAGGCTTGCTACTGTTGGTTGTTGGTAGATGACAAATGAAATGAGAATTGCTTTTGCTTTTGGATATCTGCAACAAGAAAAACAATTTGAAAAAGTTTTTACCGGGGGAGGCACGTCCAATAGTTTGTCGGGTGATTAAAGTACAGCTGTTACACGTAAAACCGGGGAACACCGACACTGGTTAAGGGCATGTTTGCCAGTATCTTTAGCAAGGAAGAGTGTTTTTAGCAATGTTTAGAAGAAAATTTTAAAATTATTTATGAATTATAAAAGCAGTTAAATTGTTAGTAAAAAATTTGTTGCACATCCTAGTGCTTCGGTTTGTTTTGTTTTTAAAGAAGCTGATTTGGTACCTCATGTACTAGTTTCTTTTACCCTATTATCTAATTAGGTATCTGAATTCTAAATTGTATAAGAATCCTCCGAATATCATTCAAGATAATTTGGTACGTAATTCTTCATATGTTATTTTTTTTTGTGATGAACTAAATCATGCATTTTTAAAAACCGGCATGGGTTGCAAAATATTCATTACTTGTTACAATGGATTAGTGAAGGCCTTGTTTGTTAGGCAAAAAGAAAACATAACAAAAACAAAAGCAAAAAAGCAAAAGCAAAAGCCTCCTCTCATCCTTGCAAGACCCAAACGCTGGTTGCGACGATCTCAAGTCATTGTTGTGAGGTCCGATAAGTTTTTGTAATTTTGGAAGGTTTCATAAGTCCGTAAACTCAATTTCGGGTGATTAATGAAGAAGTTTAGGTGAGTCTTTTCACTTGTAATCCTTTTCTCGTCAAAATGCTTTTACCATTTTGGGGTTTTTTCCTTGTGTTTATTGGTTGAAAATAAGATTGAAGGAATTACAGTGATTGATGTATGTATTTTTCAATACACAGAGCTCTTTAAGGCAGTCTATTCCTTGCATTGTGTAAGTTATTGCCCCGATACCTTTAAAACCCATTTATTTATAATGTGATCGAATAATTGAGTATAACCTATCCAGCCCCCGTATATGTATATTTTAAGACGCTTTGGATTTGCAAACACATTACAACGTTTGGATTTGCAGTGACCATTTATTAAACGTCAGAATGGGAAGACAAGGATAAGGTATCTTGCATACGGCAATAAAGTTGCATTCATAATAGTATAATACAAAACACAAAAATAAAAATAAAAATAAATATAAAAAATACACACAAAATAAAATAAGATCATCTAAATAAAACTCATGCAAGTAGTAGCTCGCTGGAAATCATATTTTCCCCAGATACGGTGGTGCGTGTGGCCGCGACGGCACTTCTTCAAGTGGTGGTTGTAGAGTTTGTTTAGGCTCATAGGTTGTTTTAGGGTTTTGGTTATGTTGGGTTTGTGGGCTTTGTTTGAGCTTATGATTAATTGTGGTGATGTATGAGCTAGTAGTTTTAGTGCGGCTTTTATCTGCGTTAGTTTTACTTTTAGTATGTTAGTTTGTTGTCTTCTTGGGATTGGTATCTTGTTGATATATTTGATTGTACTGTTGAAATTTATCTAATGAAATTTCTATTTGATAAAAAATAAATAAATAAATAAATAAAACTCCTGCATGTAAGTACATTCTCTTTAATGAAGTTGGTAAAGGAGAGCATCCAGAATCATGCTCTCTATTTTTTAGTTAAATTTTAGTTAAAAACATATAAAAGTTATTTTAGGAGCTCTCTATAAAATATAAACTCCAATCATGCTCTCCAGTTTAGGGAGTCATAAATGCAATAACTTTTTTTAATTGGTCAATCTCTATTAAAAATAATATAAAAATAATAAATATTAATTAAAAGTTTGAAATATTCATTAAATAAAGCAACATTAAATTATAGGGAGCCACTATGAGTCCTTTCTCTCTCCTCAGATTTAGGAGCTCTTAGAGGTCTCCCTATTTTAGGAGGTGGATAGGGAGCATGGTTGGAGATGTATTTTTCAAAAATCCTCCCTAAAATTTGTCTAAGAATGTAATTTAGGGAACCCATTGTGGATGCTCTTAGGTTGAGTTAATAAACTCCTTGTGAGATCGTGAGCTGCGTATAAAATGCTGACAATGTGTTTTTTTTTTTGGGCTTTTATTATGAAAGAAGGTGTTGTTTTCAGACCAAGAATTGTTATTATCACAACTCTGTTGCATAAAAGAATTTATAAAAACAAAGAGATAGTAATTGAAAATGTCTCTTTCAACAAAGAAGAAGAGGTTGGAACTTCAAATATATTTTAATATTGAGAAAAAAAATACTACTACAATAATATCTAATTATATCTAGGTAAAAATATTTTATTTTTATTTTATTTTTATACAAGAGATATTAGAGAACGGGACGTTCGAACATGGGTAATTTACTGAGAAGGCCGCACAATACCAAATGAGGTCTATGGACTTACTATGTATTCATCCAAATTAGATCCATGATAAAGTTATAGATCTCGAGTGCAAATAGTAGCGGACGCACAGAGGGACTAGAGGGGTCAGCGACCCCATGGCACCCAAAAAGTTGGTGGTGGAGGCCTTAGGCGACCCTGTGGTTAGCTAGTGTGCGACCCCAAGCCGCACACCATGTGTTCGATGAAAGACCTGAAGGACCTTGCGTTGTTGTGGTCTTTTTTTCTTTCTAAGCTCCTGGCCAAAAAGAAGTTATTTTGGTCTAGGTGCATTCAATTTCTTTTATGACATGGCTAAAATGATGCCGTTTTGAGCCATGTCTTTTTGTTTTTGTTTTTTTTTAAATTTTTTATTTTTAAGGGTCAGAATCAGAAAGCTTCATTCAATCAATCCCACAACCGCCATCCTGGAAAACTCCATAAAAACTTCCTCCAACTTCATTATATAAATAAAGATTTTAATTCTTCAGAAATTATATATTGCTTTGTAGGATTTTGGGGAAGAGATAGAAGGACGTCATGCATGTTTTTCAGGGGCAATGAAGTCCTACTGTTTATTGAATTTTAGGGCAAACAGTTATGAAGAAAATTGAAGATAGTTCTACTGTTTTTTGTGCGTTGGCAATAACTATTGCTAAATTATTGATGTTAACAATGGAAATGAAAACAAAGTGTTTTGTTTTCTTATGCTGGTAATGTATTTATACCAGACTTTCACATACAACATGGTGCCTTTGAATATGAAATCAATAAGGCTGTGGGAAAGTTTGATCATTTTTTTTTTTTTTTTTTTTTTTTTTTTTTTTTTTTTTTTTTTTTTTTTTTTTTTTATTTTTTTTTTTACATTTAAAAATTGAAATTTTTACACCACGACCCCATGAAGTAAAATCATGAATCCACCACTGCGTGCAAAGATAAAAATGCACTACTGCCTCTTGCTCTAGGTGAAAATGTTTTAAATTAGTGTCAATGGTAACTCTAATTTGAACTCTAAAAGAAATATCCGCAATGGTTGCTTAACAGTTCAGTTCAATAGCTCAATTTATTCAAATTTTTTGGCAGCTATTGAACTGAACTGCAGTTTCACTTGCAGTGAAGGACTTTAATAGCTTACAAATTAAAAATATATTTAAAATATATATATTTTTAAATGATCAGATAAAATAAAATGAATAAAGTTAATTACGATAAGAATTATACAATTAAAATGGTTTAAAATAGAACTTTAAAAAGAGAACAATTTTTTTTTAAAAAGAAAACCCTAATTAAACAAACAGGAAACTTATCCCAGTGAAAGTTAACTCCTGCAATTTTTTTTTCTATCTCCTTTCTCTGCAACGTCCCCCCCCATTGGCCGCCTTTCCTCTTTCCAGTTGTTTTTCTCCTCTTCCTTTCCCTGCATTTCTCCACCGAAGTACACAAGTATTTTTTTTTATGGGAGAAATGCAATTATCTTATTTTGTTGGTTTGATTAAAGACAACTTTTTGTACTTCTTTTGTCGTTTGTTTGCTGTAATCCTTAGAGTCTTCATTTTTTTTGGGTCCATTAATCCTGGGATATTATATTTCTTGTTTGTAATATGAGAGAGTGCAAGAGAGGTATTAATTGAGTCTGAAAATGAAAGGAAAACAAACAGAAGACGGGGAAAACAAAAAGGGGCATGTATTTTTTGGTATGTCTCTATCTCCTCCTACGGGGAAAACAAAATTGTGCAAAGAAATGTAGGAGAGTGATTGAAGTTTGAAGATTTATGACAAGTCGTAAGTCGTAGTTACCGTTGTCATTGTGTGCCGACACTTAACAGGAGACCCGCCAATCGTCTGTATGCAATGCGATCTACGGAGCAACACACTGACAGTAATTAAGGCAAGACTAGAGTAATGCTTTGGATGGCAAACCTATTAAATGAGAGCATGACGTGGTAGGCAAACCATGAGTCCCCCTCCCATTTTAGCGCCTGTGATTGTGCTAGCGTTCCACAAACTTTTCCAGTCAACAGAAAAAAATAACAATATTAGCAAACTTTTATTTGACCATATCTCTGCTCTCCCACATCTCTATGAACTCACATAAAGAAGGAATTTCTTATTTAGTTTGTCATTATTTATGATTAAGAACTGTGAACTTGCAGCTGCTGTAGGTCTGATAATGTTTAATTTACAGTGCATAACTCCTTCTCATGGAGCAGTATTTTGGAGTCGGTGGCCTTAAAGATGTGACAATGTGGTCATTGACTGTTGTCAAATAATTTATATCTATACATTATTGCTTTTGGAAGTAGGCCTCTCTTCTTATAGAGTCCACATCACCATCCTTGTCTCAGAGTGATATCTTTACAGATGCTTAAATAAGAAATTTGAAATAAGTTTTATTGGAATTCCTTTCTACAGGGGCCTTGGCTGTACTTAAGACAAATTATTGTCTTAACCACGAAATTGTGGTCTTCTAATCATGTAAGGATTCTAGAGGTTTGCATGTTCAGAAATATACTCAGACTTATCGAATTACTCTTGTACAAAAGCTGTTCTATTTGAAGTACAAGAGATAATGGAATTCCTAATTCTATATGGATTGAACAACCTAATCCTAATGCAACTAGAACACTTGACAGCTCCTTGATGGGCAAGGCTTTCAAGTGATGCATATATATAGAGGTCCCTTCTCTAGCAACGATATACGCTAAACACACAGCTCTCTCCCCATCTAGAGAAATAGCACTAAAGCGTTGCATAGAGAAGAAGATCTTCTATAGCCAAGATGTCAGACCAAGGTTAGTGTTATAAAAACCTAGTATGGAATTACATGTGGTATCAGAGCTCTAGGCTTTTGTTTCTTAATCTAATCCATGTTTTCAACAAAATCTGCATGAAGTTTTTCTGTTCTAATTGAAATCGAAGTCATATGAAGTTTCATTATTCTGCATATCTTATTTGTTTAAATTTGATCGAGGGCGTAAAGTTACTGCTCGATCATATTGCAAAAGACTTTTGATCAAGTTTTGGGATTTACTGTACATGTTGAGTAAGCCACAGCTGCTCAATTTGTATGAGAAATTTTGAAACGAAAGTTTGATAAAAAAATTGCATCAGTATAAGTAGCCTTCTGTATTTTTCTCCATCCAAAGATGAGAATTTTATAGATTGATAACGATACTGATGGAACAATCTGAGCAACAGACTGCACAAACTAGCAGGTTTCTCCACATCCACAGATGTGAGATTTCTTGCGCAGGAAGTTTGTACAATTTGCTGGTTGGGATTTTGGAATATGGCTTTTTAAACCCATAGGTATAAACTGACATATTTAAGTAAAGTTTTTGGGGACAGTTTTGCTTATCTGCTTTTATAAAAATCTTTACAGTGAACCACAACACCATCGAAACTCTTACTAGATCAAATTACCAGAAATGGAAGCAAGATTTGGAAATATCTCTTGGTTTTCTAGATTATGATTTTGTTCTAAAAGAAGATCCCCCTCAAGAGCCTACTGCAGATGCTTCTGCATAAACCAAAACCAAGTTTGCTAAATGGAATCAAGCAAATAAGATGGCAATACTAATTATGCAGAGGGCAATGGCTTCATTAGTTAAAGGTAGTATTCCAAAGGCAGAAATTGCTAAGAAATACTATGAGGCAATTGCACAGAGGTTTAAAGAATCAGAGAAAGCAGTCAAAAGTACTTTGCTAAACAGATTGATAGACATGAAGTATGATGGACAAGCTGTGTGAGAGCTCATATTTAGAATATGATTGACATAGGAACCAAATTGCAGGAACTGGAGATGACAGTTGATGAAGACATGATGGTTCATTTTGCTTTGAATTCATTACCAAAGGAATTCAAGTCCCTTAGAGAAAACATATTGCTCAAAAGGAATGCTGGAATTTGAATGATTTGATTACCATCTGTGTTCAACAAGAACACAACATCATAAGGGAAAGAGGACCAAAAATGGTGAATATGGTTCAGATCAAGGAGAAAAAGGAAAACAAAAAAAATACCATGACTGAAAAAGGGAAAAGTGGCAACACTGAAAAGTATCTGAACAGAAAGTACAAAAAGTGGCTGGACAAGCAAAAAACTAAAGGTAACTCTGAACAGATTCTAGTTTGTTTCGAATCATATTTGGTTGATTTCTCTCATGATTCATGGTGGCTAGACAGTGGTGCTTCTATTCATGTAGCTAACTCTTTGCAGGGATTCATAAGGAGAAGACTGCCAAGAAAGGATGAAGTAAAGGTGTTCGTTGGCAATGGAGAAAAAGTTCAAGTAGAGTTCATAGGAACAGTTAGAATTGAATTAGAGTTTGGTTTTGTTTTGGAGTTAGATGAAGTAGTTTACATTCCTTCTATGAAGAAGAGTTTAATTTCAGTTACTAGACTTGTACAATCAAAATTCAAATTGAATTTTGATGGCACTGGTTGTTCTATTTCAGTTCCTATCCATTGTGGAGAAAGATAGTAAGCTAGTCTGAGTTATCTAGAAAACTACTTAGAATCTATCTTGCCGCAGAAATAGTCTCTTATTTGTTTTCTACCCTATTCCTTTGGTTCATGGGATTGGGTTTAAGGGGATGGAACAAGTTACAGTACACTACATTCATGTATGGGCAGGGTTTTGTCGTTGTAATTAAAATATTCATGGTTCCTTTGTTAAATATATGTTCCTTTGTTTTCTACCCCTTTTGTTTTGTTTGCTAATTGCCGTTGTATGAGCAGGGTTTAAATATATGGTTCCTTTGTTAGATGTGTTAATGTGTTTTTGGAAGTAGGCCTCCCTTTTTATAGAGTCCACATCACCATCCTTGTCTCAGAGTGATATCTTTACAGATGCCCTGGTATTGGAATTCCTTTCTGCAGGGGTCTTGGCTTCTAGCATGGTCGCTGAAGATGGAGATGGTTCTTCTAATGTCCGAGAGGTATGGAAGCTTTCGTTTAAGTAGGCATGGAGTTTATGTGGATCAAACACTATCCTTATTTTTTATTTCTCTTTTTCAATCTCCTCCCCTGTGGCCACCAATTTGGGCACTTACCTCCTATATGAAGAATCAAATACTGTAATCTAAATTAGAAGAATCAAATGTTACAGTTGTTAGGCTATACGCAGACAAGAAGGATGTAGAGAACTATTCTGCAGATACAACATGCCTTGTAGGACGCAAACCTCTCAAAGCTTTTAGGGTTTCCAAATCAGGCGTCACCCCTTGTTCGATCATTTCCTCAACGAGCCTCAAAGCTTCGCCTATCCTTTTAGCTTGCATATAGCCGTTGACCAAGGCTTTATAGCAAGAAGCAATATCAGGGACACGATCTTTTATCACCATTAAATCAATGACCTTCTTTGCCTTATCCACTTTGCCACGAAAACAATAACCATCAATTAGCGTACTGCAAGTTATTTTGCTCAGCTCCATACCATATTTAACTTTGGCCTCAACTACTTTATGAGCCTCTTCTGGCATCCCTCCTTGGAAGAGAGCATCCAAAAGTATTGTCAAAGTTATGATATCAGGTAAGACACCCTGAACTACCATTTCATCAAACAACCTTGTGGCTTCAGCCCATTGATTTGTACAGCACATGCCATAAATTAGAGAGTTGTAAGTGAAAATGTCAAGCCTAATACCTCTTTGGGACATTAGCTCTAACACGGAGAGCGCTTCCTCGGTCCGTCTCTGCTTGCAAAGAGCATGTATTACAGAGGTAAAGGTTACAACATTTGGTGCAATTCCTTCATCCAGCATTCTATTAAACAACCTTGTGGCTTCTTTCCATTGCGAGGAATGGCAGAGGCTATTAATTAAGGAGTTGTAGGTGACGAGATCAGGCTTTACACCTCTAAGGAACATTTCTTCCATAAGGTTAAGTGCCTCCGCTGTCTTCCCTTCCTTGCACAAAGCATCCAACACAGAACTGAATGTAACAATATTAGGGAAGGCGCCACAATCAATCATGTTTCTAAATAGCCGCACAGCTTCTTCCCACTTACCAGACTTGCATGCTGCAGAAATTATGGAAGTAAAAGTGACAACATCAGGCTTTCTGCCTTTCTTATTCATTATTTCAAACAGACCAAGTGCTCGTGTCCAAAGACCCTTGTTGCATAATCCATAAATTAATGAATTGTAACTGACGATATCCGGCGCAACACTTTTGTTGATCATATCTCGAAATAGGGTCAGCGCCTCATCTATTCTTCTTTCTTTGCATAAGCGGTCAAGGATTGGATTATAGCATTGAGGGTCAGGCTTAAACCTTCCATCTTCATACATTTGCTCGAGTATCTCAAGCGCCATACATGTTTTCCCAGCTCTGCACAACCCATTAATTATAGTAGCGTAAGTGATTTCACAGCATGCTAATCCTTTCTCTTCTATTTTCTGGAACAACTCCATTGCCTCAGAGAGCGACCTGTACTTGCAAATCCCATGAAGTAAAGTATTCAAAGTATAAGGATTGGGCTGAAGACCATGTTTAAGGATAGTTGCTAAAACAGAGAAACCCAAGTCCACCTGATTCATACGGCACAAGCAATTGATAACAACATTCAGTGTACCGACTTCCGGGTGTAAGCCAACACAAGCCAGAATCTGTATATACATAGAAACTACAGTTGAACACTGATTCATCTTGGAGACTGCCCAAAGCAAATGATTAATAGCCCAAATCGAGGGAATGGGTTTCATTTGAATTACGGAATTGAAATGACCCAGTGCTTCGTCTAACCCAAGATTACCAGATTTACAACGCATTTTTACCAAATCCTCCAAATCAATGGTTTCCTTAACACTAACAGTATGACAACGATTGGCAGCAAAAGAGCAAAACTGGCTTCTGAAAAAGACGAGCCCAAACACAGGATAGAGAGAAGAAGGATTACCCTTTTGGTGAATCGTGAGCCCTTGAGCTCTTTTGGCCATAATTTTCGTCATCATCGACCAGCTCCTAAGGCAGAGCAAGCAATTCACGATTTTTTTGGTCGAAATGAATGAAATTTCATTGCCAAAACAAAGATACAACTTACAAGGAACCTAAATACGAAAAAACAGAAAAAACAGAAAAATAAGGACTCAAACATAAGAAAACATAACTCAACATAACATACCAAAATAGGAGGCCCAAAACAACAAAAGCCCACAAAATACAAAAACCCCAACACCTAACCCTAAACAAAACAAGCTGCCGCCACAAGAAGAGTTACTTCAATTTTAGGGAAGAACGTTAATTTTCCGTTCATTCATCCATTTTTGCCAACTGTTGGTTGGGTTTCTATTTTTATGTTTCATTTTGGAATTTACATATGGGGTGGCGCCGCAGTAGAAAAGTGGGTCAAACTCTCCCCCGTCAGTCAAGTCCTTAAAATTGAGGAGGAGTTCCTCCTTACAACCAATTGTAAGGACTCAATTGTAAATGCCACATCAACCACATATATATATATATATATATATATATATATACAGTCCTGATCTCTTGGACTACAAGGGTCCAAGAGATTTATGGTCACTTACCGTTAGATGTAAATTCAATAGTTCACTCACTCTTGCACTCCTTTTAAGAAATTTTTTTGAACCGTTAGATTAACATCCAACGGTGGGTGACCACAATCTCTTGGACCCCTGTGGTCCAAGAGATCGGAGCTGTATATATATATATCTTCAGAAAGTAAAAATGAAAACTTTTCTTGACCCTGTCTTAGCATCATCTTTAGAAAATGGAATGTCTACGAAATAGAAAAATTTGATTGATACAAAACCCTGTGAGGAGTGTGTTGCATCTGAGGCTTTAATCTTAAAATTATGCATGAGTTTATATGACAATTGAAGCAACCAAAAACATCAGTCACTGAAAATTCAAGAACAACAGCTATATAGCTACAAGTGTACTACAAATCCTTTTATTTTTTCTTTTGATTTACTGTGTACTATGTAATGCAAATCCTTACTTTTTATGTCCCAAAAAGAAGAAAAGTTCAAGAGCAGACAGGACCTTCGTTGAACCTGCCTAGCCCAGAGACATGTGGCAGTTACGCGTAAACAGAGTGTCAAACCAGAAGGAGGCAGAGGCAAGTGTTGTCATAATCACCACGATTGGACTTTGTTGGAACAAGCCATCACACTGGGCTTTCCAACTTCAAACTACAAGGCAGAATACGAGGCATTGCTCGCTGAACTGCGCCTAGCAAAAGATTAGTCATCTACTCAGACTCCCAGCTGATCATGAATCAAGCTTCAGGCGAGTACACGGAAAAACATCCAAGAATGATCCAGTACCTCGACAAAGTCCAAGCACTTTTGAAGGAATTCACCACTTTCACCATCCAACAAGCCTAGGATCAACGCTGGTACCCGGATCAAATGTTCCACCCCAGTTGAACACTTGACCGATCAAGCATCGAAGAAATGGAGTCAATCGACACAATGCAGATTGATGAAAACCCTACCTGGCAAGAACTCATCATCGACTGCTTGGTGAATGGAAATCTGCCAACCAATAAGTCCGAAGCTAGGAAAGTCCAGTAGAGGGCCGCAAATTACTACATGTAAGACAACAAGCTCATTCGCAAATCATACTCTGACCCTCATCTCACATGCATAAAATACCCTTAAACACTTAAGGTTCTCTGCAAAATTCACAACAGAGAGTGTGGCAACAACTTTGGAGGCAGGTCACTCCCTAGAAGGCTCTAAACACATGATATTTTTGGCCTACCATGCACCGTTACTCCACCAAATATATCAAAAGATGTGATCGCTACCAACGGTACGAACCAATTCCTAACTTGCCTGCCAAAGTCTACCATCTATAGAATAGTGCATGGCGATTCATGCATAGGACCATTGATGTAGTGGGTCCCCTGCCACTGGCACCCGCCAAGAAAGACATGATGATCGTCGTCACCGACTACTTTACTAAATGGAACGAGGTAGAAGCTCTATCCTCTACTAAAGAGGCCAATGTGAAATGATTTGTCTGGAGAAACATCTTCTGCCGGTTTGGCTGTCCACAATCGCTAGTTGTCAAATATGACTTATAATTCATTGACAAGCAAATCACTGCTTTCTTTGTAAAATACAAGATCAAGCAACACATGTCCACCCCGAGGTATCTGCAAGGCAATGGTCAGGCCAAGGCATCCGACAAAATTATATTGGACCGCCTAAAGAAGAGATTAGAGTACTGTGGGCTTATCGCACCACCAAGCGAAGATCAACTGACAAAACCCCATTTTACCTCGCCTATGAGACGGAAGCAATCATCCCTCCTCACATCACTGTCCCTTCCATAAGCATTAAGGTTGGCAATGTTGATCAGAACTCTGAATTCTGAACGAAAGAAGCTCAACCTCGACCTACTCGAAGGAGAATGAGAGAGAGCCATTATTTGAATTGCCTCATACCAGCAGTAGTTGAAGTCTTACTACGACAAAAAGGCCAAGGTCAAACAATTTCAATCGGGCAACCTTGTCCTCAGAAAGACTTTCATCACTACACAAAGGTAAGGATCAAATAAGATGAAACCCAATTGAGAAGGCCCTTACGTGATTAGCCAGTCCGAGGGCAGAGGAAGCGATACACTTGACATCATTAAAAGGAAGGAGATTCCAACAACGGAATGTTTGCCACCTCCAAAGATATTATCCATAACGTTTCCTCCTACCTGCTCAGTCCCTAGCAAATGACTGAGTCCTGCACATTAATGAAGAAGAGAAGCAACTACTGCAAATTTCAGAATGTGCCACCCAAAAAAAATGGTTGCCCATAAGGAGCATCCAACGGGAGACGCATGGCGACAACCAAAAGCGTCATTCAGGAGACACAGCCACCAAGAAGTATCCTTCGGGACACGTAGCCCCCAAGAAGCATCCTTCGGGAGATGCAGAGTGGACCAAGAATTTCCTAAGGGAGGTATCCAAGTTCCTATACGTTTCCTAAAGGAGGTAGGATAGTCACACAACGTCGTTTGGAGTGCACAGCCCACAAAAAGCGTCCTTCTGGAGGTACCCAGGTTCCTATATGTTTGGGGCAGGATAGTCATACAGTTGCCTATAAGCAGCGTCTTTCGAGAGACGACTGTTGGAGCAAAAACTCTTACAATAAGAATATCTTCCATAGGTTCTTGGCTTTACTCCGCACACAAGATAAATGAATCTCTAAGCAACATTCCTTTGAAATTGGATGAGAGAGGGATGGGTACCTGCAAAAGATACTTTGACGCTTAAGTCAATTTTTGTATGTATTTGAGTGCCCCAATTAATTTAAAATTGCATCCTCTTATCTGGTTGTGAAGCTTCGCATTTATACCTGACGCCAGCCTTAGGATGCAAACTTCGCTTTACACATCTCATGTCCACTTTCGCCACTTCTAGATAATGAAGGTTGTGCGTCATCAACTCCCAACTGTGTTCACGTTGTCCCTCGATTCATGCGAATTGGGGAGTGCAGTCGTTTGAATATACCCACGAACCCACGACAAGTACATGTTTTTATCAAATGGTCCAAAAGGGCAAAGGTAGTATCCCAAAGAGAATGTGAGCTAAGTTGAGTTTTTCCTTCAAACCACACGCTAGGCACGAGAGGGGAGAGGAAAAAATGGGGCAATTTGGGAGAAAAATAATTTGCTACAGATATGCCACGTCACTGGATCGGATATAGGCACAACCCAACATAGGTTTGGATGAGAATTGCCCTAAAGTGGGTTCACATGCACAAAAGCCCAACACGAGCTCGGATTGGCGTCAGTCCAATGTGGGTTCGTATGCACGTAACCCGACGTAAGTTCATTTGGGCATCGGCCCAATACGGGTTCACATGCGCGTAAACCCAATGCGAGTTTGGATGCCCACCGCCCAACACGGGTTCGGATATGAACCACTCAACGTGGGTTCACAAACACATTACCCCATATTGACTCGCACATAAGCGGCCCGACGTGGGTTTGTGGGTATATTCAAATGCCTGGACTCCCCAATCCCCATGAATCGAGGGACAACGTGATCATGGTTAGGAGTTGATAACGCACAACCCTTGTTTACACCATAATCAACCGAGCATATCTAACGTCAAAACGACTGGCATAAAGGCAAACACGCCCTCTCCCCTGCTGAAATACCCCAAAGAGACACACAGACAAATCCTTAGAAAGTGAGTGACGTCATCACCTCCTGACATGCCAAAGGAAGACATTCTTCTGAAGCAGTAGCCACCTGCCAAAGCTCTCGATTGCCGAACCTAATTTTCATGGACACGTGTCACCTCTGCACCAGTTTGCACAAAGTCCCACATCGAAACTCTGTGCAAGATTCCCATTTTCACTTCCCTATAAATAGGGAATAGTGCCCAAGTAAAAAGGGTAATTACTTTCTCACATTTACTGTTAGGCCTAGTTTGGGATTGCTGCTGCTTTAAAAAAAATCTGCTTCTGCTGTGCTTTAAAAAGAATCAGCTGTAAAGTAAAGCAGTTAAACGTTTGGTAAACTGTAATTTTAAAAGTGCTGTGAGTATGAAAAGCAGTGTTAGAGCGTTTGGTAAATTTTACCGTAAAAGTGCTGTAACTATTTATAATTACTAAAATGGACATGATGCTGAAAGTGCTTTTTACTAATCTGTTTGGTAAAAAATAAAACTGTAAAGTGCTTTTATACTTTTCTCCCTAAAAATTATATTAATCTTTGCTTAAAGAAAAGAAAAATTCAAATTGAATAAACTCCAACAAAGATAATTATGATTTGAATAAATTCCAACAAAGATAAAGAGATCACCACGGTAGTAGGTTCATACACCATCCTTAATATTGAATAAGTAATAAACATTTTTTTAAGGTTTGAATTGTAGCAATAAAAACAAATTGAAACTAGGCTTAAATAAATGGAAATAAAGAAAATGTCTAAGAAGATGCATGCATTAAACTTGCAGCAATCTTGTTCCTTAATGTTTCTAGTTCTTGTGCTCCAGGCCCTTGAGTAATATGATATTCTTCTTGTGCATCACCCTCCATCTCCATTGCATTTGGGTTGTCATTCACTTTGTCAAAATGAATATCACGTTGGGCATGCCTCCTTATATAGTTGTGAAGTGCCATAGTTGCAATTACTATCTTCACTTGCTTATCGAATGGATAGCTAGGCATGTCTCGTAAAATACTCCACTTTTTCTTCCATACACCAAAAGTGCGTTCAATGACACTCCTAAGGGAAGAGTGTACGTGATTAAATACTTCTCTAGAACCTGTTGGTTGAGTACCCCTACGAAAATCTGGAAGATGATACCTTTCACCTTTATATGGTCCCAAATACCCACTCATTTGTGGGTAACCCGCATCCACAAGATAATATTTTCCTGTAACCAATAAGATATGTTTAATTATAATATAATTTGAAAGTGCAAAAATTTGAAGTTTAATGATATGCACATATTTGAAACATTACCATTTGGAGGTTTGGGAAAATTTAAAGCATTATTTCGTAACGCTGATAAAAATACTCTTGTATCGTGTGCAGTGCCTTCCCAACTTGCACATGCAAATATGAATTGCATGTCAAAATTACATGCAACCATTATGTTTTGAGTCGGTATTCCTTTCCTGCCAATATATGGTACTTGATCTTCAGGAGGTATTGAGGCTTTAACATGTACGCTATCTATTGCACCAATGCAATCCTGCAAACAATAAGAGAAACATTTCAATAAATATTACTTTGTTCCTAAAACAAATGATAAATTGTTGTATCTAATTTTTACCTTAAAATGGGGCATATATCTTGAATCTCTCAATATCTCTTCCGGGACTCCCTTAAACTCAGGATCCAATGGTTTTATGATATCAACGGCCATATGGCATACAATATCAAGTAATTTACCAAAGTATCTACTCACAGTTTCACTAGAATGTTGAAATCGTTCTTGTGCTAGCCTATTCCCTATACCATGTCCTAGAATGTGCACAAACATTCCCAACATCTCAGCAGCACACATTCTCCTAGAACCTCTCAACCCATAATTATTTTCCAAGTCAGTGCATAATTGCAAAAATACACATTTATCCATTCTAAACATTCTATAACAACGTTTTTCATTCCCCCGTAACATTTCCATCACCCACTTATTTCCTGTTTGAAAAGAATCCATACAAGGACTTTTATGAATATACTTCTCATAATAATATTCCATAGTACGAATACAGACACATACAATTTGGTTGAACTCCCTTTCATCTTCTGAAATTTCCATATCTTGCAATAAACCTGCAGTGTTATAGACATATTCATTGATATAAATAAAAGTCATATGAATTTTCAATAAAAACAACCATCCAAATAACAGTCACATATAACTAACCATCCAAATAACAAATTCAAATAGCAAACCCAAATACGACACCTAAAAAATAAATCCAAGTAGCAAAACAAAGTTCTAAGAAATATTAGACATTGAAGCTTGATCATAATAAAAGTGCAGTTAGCATATTTTTCAGAAAGCTCATAGTTTAGCCATTGAAGCTTGATGTTAGGATCTTCCATAGTTGTGAACATTTCTCTTTTCTCTTGATTTAGGAATAACCGAGTTGCAAACAACCACAAATGGCTCCCAGGCCCTGCACCAGGTAAAGACGAGACTGCTTTCATCACTTCAGCAATGCTGCTACCTTGGGACCCTTTCATCATCATTGAAGTCGTACTCCTATTCTCCATTACATCAACCATCCGCTCAATTTGTTGTGACAATTTAACAGCACCTCCTACCTTCCCCACTTTTGTAGCAACTCTATTTCCGTTCTTCTCTTTCTTAACCTGTGTATCAAGTTGTTGATTTGTTCTCTTTTTCCCCTTCCCACAAGATTTTTCAGTAACTTCAATTGTTTCATCTGGTACGTATATGGGATCATCAGAATCATCACCACTGTCGAGTAGAATATCACCACATTCGGCGGAATCATGAGTTGGAAGTACACCAGATGAAGGTGCCCAAGCATGGTCACCAGTGGCAGTGGTGTTCATGAACATTCTATCAAACTTCTCTTCCATATCAGGACTAATACCTTTTCTACGTAATTTTGCATATTTGGGATTTATCTACAAATCAAAGAGAACAACATTAAAAACTATTACAGATGTTTCATTGAATTATAATAAACAAACAACATTAAAAAAAATATATTAATAACATACCTCAATTTTGTTATGCCACCATTCATCAGAAGCATCAATAGTCCCAAGTTTGGAATTCCACCCAAGACCAGTTTCTTTTCCAATTAGTTCTTTCCATATTTTCCATTGTTCCTTAAGTGCATCCCACTTATTTTTCAATTGTGATTTATCATACTCGGCTCCTGTCTCTTTACTCAAGCTAATCCTCACATTTTCCCATCCTTCTTTCTTAAAGTGAGTACCAGGACGATTACCTGCCTCCACCTCCTTGATACACAGGTCACAAAATATAGTTGTATTCTGATTATTCCATACAGCCGGAACTCGTGATCCACTAGCCACATTATTATTCTTCACCATCTGTGCATGTCCTTATATAAATATGTATGTATTGGGCGATGAACATGTTATAGCAAATAATGTTTTTACTAAAAACATGCATAGTGCCTAAGTAATTACCTATAGGAAAACTTGGGCAAAACTACATACATCAAAAGCAATACACAAGTCGTACAAGATGACAAGGATTCAAACACACTCCCACATATTTTTCCCTTATGTTTTGGGTCTATAGTTTTGATATTTATTCACAAAAGATTAATGGAAGTCAAAGAAATAAAGTTTGCAGCAAAACTAGTTTATCATAAAGGGAATTAAAATAAAGTTTGCAGCAAAACACGTACTAGAAATGAAAATCTATCATTGCTGGGATTGAATTGGCTATGGCCTCTAAAGATATGAATTCCAAGGAAGGGTAATTTGTGATGCTGGTTTGTGGCGGCGGTTCCATTAACCAGGTCCAGGTTCTACCAGTTGGGTTTTGGGTATGAAATTTTGCTCCCAAAAACAGAGATTTCAGGCATGTAGATTTCCCAAGAAATATTATATTACAAGTATGCAGATTATATAAACATATAATATTTGTATGAAGAAGAAGACGAAGAAAAATAAACCCAGTAGAAAAATAAAGCCCATTGACAACCAATGGAGGCCTCGTAAACCAGTAGAACAATAAAGCACGTAGAAAAATAAAAAAAATAAAAAAGCAAGAGCAACACGTATATAAAAAGTTTGAGAGATTGAAGAGATTGAAGAATCTACCTTGTGAAAGAGATTGAGAGAGATTGAGAGAATGGTTGTCTCCAAACTTGGGAGGCTACGTGAAGATGAACTTTGGTGTCTGCAGATTTGAGAGAAATACGTGAGGATAGATTTCTAACCTAATAAGGGTATTTGTGGAATTGCAAAAATTTCATTAAAGGGAGCGCGCTGCTTCAATTAAAAGCAGCTTTAAAAAGCAACCCTGATGTTGCTTTTAAAAGCTGCTGTCAAAAGACCATTACTTTTAAAATAAGCAGGATATTTTATTTTTACCAAACACCTTAAACTGCTTAACTTTAAAGTTAAGCAGGTTTTTGGGGAAAAAAGGCAATCCCAAACGGGGCCTTACTCTTGCGAAATTTCTACATATAGCTGACTTAAGCATTGGAGAGCCTTTGACAAGCACCACACTAGTGTTTGAAGCTTGACGATTGCTTCCTCCTTCTTATCTTCTGCAGGTTCTCCAAATACCAAAGGTCCTCACATTCTCCCTTGCTCTGGATCCGATACTCCCCTACCTAAGTTGACCATCCCAAAAAGAGCATCAATAGTTTGGCATCGTCTGTGGGAATCAACTTATGAATCCCACCTCTATACCAGTCCTGCTGGCTCCCTCCCCCATCAAGCCCCATCGCCTTTTCTAGCCTTCACACTTTGCTATACCGAGCAAGACTAGCCACGATACCCAGCACCACACCCCCCATGAGGACTCCTCCCGAAGGAAACCCTTAACAGAGGCGAATCTCTAGACAGAGGTGGAGCGCCTCAGTGCCAGTGTGGGCAAGATAACAGAGAACTACGAACACCTTCGTACCAAGAATGTAGAACTGGAGCACGATTGTCATGCCTTGAAGTGTAACTGGGAAAAAAACTCGCCACTAAGGCGTCCGGCAAGACCTTACCCAGGGTGTTGAACACACCCAGCCTAACCAGCCAATGATCTCCCGTCATAGGGCCCTAATCCAGTCCAAGCCTGGCAAAGGTAAAGGCCACCTTCATCCCGAGACCACCAAATCGCGGCTCCTCCACATCTCCCCATCGAATGATTGGCCCCATGTTCCGACCAAGATCTACAAAGATTGCACGGACCATATCTCGGAGCTTCAGTCAAAGCCTATCCGTGTTCCTGTTGACCTCGATGACCCCTCGGTTGCACACCTAAGCCCCTACCAAAGCCCACCCGCTTAAGCCTCGGGTTCAACTTCATGTTGTATTTTCGGAGTAGGCTGAATGTCTCGGCAAGATTCTCGATGTGGTCTGCTAGCTCGGGAGCTTTGACTAGCATGTCGTCCACGTAGACCTCCATAGTCTTGCCGATTTGCTCTTTGAAAATTTTATTCACCAGCCTTTGGTAGGTTGCCCCGGCGTTCTTCAGCCCAAAGGGCATGGCCTTGTAGCAGTAGGTACCTCTTTCGATGATGAAAGAGGTCTTTGCCTTGTCGTCTTCATGCATCATGATCTGGTTGTAACCGGAGTAGGCGTCCATGAAGCTTAGCAGTTGATTGCCGGAAGTTGAATCGACGAGCTGGTCAATTCTCGGCAGTGGAAAGTTATCTTTAGGACATGCCTTGTTGAGGTCAGTATAGTCGACGCACACTCTCCACAGGCCTTTATCTTTCTTTGCTACTAGAACAACGTTCGCCAGCCATTCTGCGTATGAGACTTCTTCAATGAAACCGGCAACTAGAAGCTTGTCGATCTCGGCTTCAATGATGGTGACTCGCTCGGGGGCGAAGTTGCGTCTCTTCTGCACTACAGGCTTGATGGCTGGGTTGACGTGTAGGCGATGGCAGATGATCTGGGGATCGATGCCAGGCATGTCAGATGGTGACCATGCAAATACGTCTTTGTTGTTCTGGAGGAAAGCAATAAGCTCTGCCTTTTCCTCCTGGCTTAAGCGCGAGCCGATCCGCGCTGTTCTCTCTGGCTTGTCAGGATCAAGGGGTACTAGCTCAACGTCCTCCTCGGGCTTCCATCCTTCTTCAGGATAGACCTCCGGACGGATTCCCTCGACTTGGTCCTGATTCTTTGATTGCTATTGGGGAGTAGTTATTCCCTTTCCTTTTTGGCCTGCTCGGCCGTCAGGAACGGGATCTACTTTCTCATCTGCTTGTTCTACTCCCTTTAGATCTGCTTGATTCACAGGGAGGAACTGTGTTTGCTTGCCTTTCTTCAGCCCTTGAGCTGAGCATTTCCTCGCCATCGCCTGATCGCTGTTGATTTGGCCGATCCCACCCCAAGGAATTGGGTAGCGAATCTTCTGGTGTGTGGCGGAGGTGATGGCATTGATCTTGCTGATCCATGGTCTGCCTAGAATGCCATTGTAGGGTGAGACTTCATCAATGACCATGAACGTTTGAGAGCTGATTACAGGTGGGGCGTAGACGTCGAGCTCTATCGTGCCTACGGTGACCGTTGTTGCTCCATTGAAACCAGTCAGCGACTTGGCTGATTTATTGATCTTTGCCTCTAAGCCCATCTGTTGGATAACTGTCAATTGTAGGATGTTGGCCGCACTGCCCTCGTCTGCATGGATTCGGCCGACCATGGCCTGAGCGATTTGAATGCTGATGACAAGAGCGTCATTGTGTGGTAGATCAAGGCCAATTAGATCTTTCTTTTGGAAGCCGATTATAGGGTCGTCTTCTGCTAGCGGAATGTCGGTTGAGACTTGGGAGATCATAGTGGCTTGTTTGATCTTCCTTTTTTTTTCCTTGCTGGTCAACCCAGATTCCTCAGAGTCGGCTAGGATTGTGTTAATCCTTATGACCTTTTGGGGCGGCTCCTTGGCGGTGTCGCGGTCCTCTATCTGTTGGATGGCCTACTTAGCGATGAATTCCGTGCAGTGACCTTCCTTCACGAGTTCTTCGAGGTGTGCTTTCCAAGCGAAGCAGTTGTTCGTAGTGTGTCCATGCGTCCCATGGAAGGCACAGTATTTGCTAGTATCCCTCCTGTCTGGGTCTCCTTTCAAGGGTGGCGGTCTTCTTACCCAAGGTTTGTTTTTCACTTGGGCTAGGATTTGATGTATAGGGATAGTGAACTTGGTGTAGTTCTCTCCTGCCTTAGCGTCCTCTTGTGGGTGTGACCTGCGCTTGTCCTTGTTCTTGGTTCTAAATCCATCGCTTCTTATGCCCGCCCGCTTGGTCTGCCGATCTCCCTGCTCAGTGGACTTCTTCGCAGCAATTCGATCGTCATCCCAAAGCGCGTAGCGTTCTGCGGTCGCAAAGACCTCTGCTAAAGTCTGGCTGGGAGTGATAGTCAGCTCGCGGTATAACTCGTGTTCTGCTGGAAGACCTTTCTTGAAGGCAGATGATGCGATTTGGTCGTCGCACCCTACGATGTTGGCCTTTTCTACTTTGAACCTCTTGATGTAATCTCGAATGGTTTCGTCGGGCTTCTTGCGCAGGTTGAACAGATGATCTGGGTTCTTCTTGATCGTCCGATAAGAAGTGTATTCTTTAGTGAAGACATAGGCAAGCTCCTTGAAACTGTTGATCGACCCAGATGGCAGGGTGTGGAACCAGTCCTGAGCTGCTCCTCGCAATGTCATTGCAAACGCCTTGCACATCAGTGCATCGTCGGCCTTGTGGAGGATCATGACACTTTTGAAGTGTTTTAGGTGGCTCTCGGGATCGAAATCTCCTTTGAAATGCGTAAAAGAAGACGTTGAGAATCGCTTCGGGGGAGCAGCCTGCTCGATTTCAGGGGTGAAAGGAGTAGAGATCGCCTGGTCCATCTCCTTACGTAGTGCATCCTCGAGGTTCCCGCCAGTCTTCAAGTCTCGAAGTCGGTCATTCACAAGCTTCTCCACGTCTTCCGCGCGCATTGCTGGTCGATCACGTTGGCAACTTTTGCGATTCGGGCGACGCTGATTGACCTCCTCGTTGGTCTGCAAGGGTCGGTCCTCTCGTCCGCGCTGCCTAGGAGGCGTGTTGGTGGACTGCGATTGCGAGGGATTTTCTGCAGCTTGACGGCGAGAGTTGGTTCTCTGAGAGGGGGCAATGGAGTGCCTCTCTTCACGATCCTCATTGCGAGGGTTACCGGGTTGACCTCCCTGGGGGCCTAGCCTTTCGTGAATATTTCTCTGCGAGTGGGCAGCGGAGCGCCTCTCTTCACGATTCTCATTGCGGCGATTGTCAGTTTGATCTCCCTGGGAGCCTAGCCTTTGAAGTACATTCCCCTGCGGGCCCAGGCGAGCACGGACGTCAAGTCGTGGGCCGAGCCTTTCTCGCACGTTGCTTTGTGTGTGGCTTGCAGATGCTCGCGACATGTCGGCAAGCTGATCACGTGGTTGTGCATCCCCTTGTCTGCTCGCTCCTGCTCGACCCGCTTGGTGCCCGTTGAGCTGCCCACCGGTGCGTTCGTCTATTCTTCTCACTTCGCCTGGTTGTCCAAGGCCAAGATTTTGAGCCACGCTTATTTGATTAAGGAGCTGCCTCATAAGAGCGTTTTGGTCGTCCACTCTCTGAGCTAGCTGGTCAACTCTCAGGTTGAGATCTGCTTGACTTTGTGGATCGGGAGGAGAGAAGCGTGTGGAGCCCAATTGCACACGGGCTAGGGTTTCACTGGAGGTGTACGCGAGAGCGTGTGTCGAGCGTGGAGGCAATGGAGGGAACACTTGAAGTTGCTCCAAGACCGGGCCTAAGTCGGTGGTGGTAACGAGCCCACCTTGATGGGAGGTTCCACCATGTTCGGCGGCGGTGCCACGGAGGTTGCTAGATTCGGTCGCGGGTCCGGTAGGTGGCACGGTGGCGAGAGGTGGTGGTGCCACCATGTTGATCGCGGGATCGTGGGTGGAGTGGCTTTGGGCCGTCACGGATTGAGCCATCGCGGCGGTTTTACTCCTTGTGCGCTTGCTTCCAACCATGGTTGTTTGGAAGGCTTCGGTGGATTGGAAAATATGAGGAACGGATTCCTTGAGCATGCGTTGAGTATAACTCGTGCTCTCAATGAAAGCACCAAATGTTTGTGCAAATAATCTCACGGGAGAATATTCGCTTCTAGATCCTTCAACCTTCGATCTTCCTTCTCTGTCTTCCTCGATTCCTGTAATACAGATTTGAGTAAATAGACCACACCCGGGGGGTGTTGGCCAAAGGCCCTCCGATGCCTAAGTTAGTTCGAGTGTTTGTAGAAAAACAATAGCTAAGCAAAGGGTACGGAGTAGTGTTTATGTAGGGTGTGAACCGGGCGGCCGGAGCCGTGTGGAGAAAATATAGAGAGTGGAGAGGGAGAAAGAGCTTCGGGTATTTTTCTCGGGTATAAGGAGTAGGTTTAGATGTACCTTGAATGATGAATGAAGTCATCTATTTATAGGAGCCTCGGGGCTAGGGTTTCGTAGAGAATATGCTGAGTTTATTCTCTACCCAAATTCGTAGGGATCGAATTGGACTGAGATAATATCTGATTTAATGATATTATCTCTTTTTATGGAGATAATATCTGAATTAAATGATATTATCTCTTTTTATGAAGATAATATCTGAGATAATGACATTATCTTCTCTTTATTAGGATAATATCTTAATTAATGATATTATCTTATTAAATAAAGATAATATCATGTTAATTAAGATGTTTATCCCAATTAATTAATTGGCCAGATAAACTGGTTCAATTAATTAATTAAAAGAGATAATCTTCTATTCCACGTGGCGCGCTGTGATTGGAGACGAAAATATTTGCTCCCACAGTAATACTGTTAGTTGTATCCGTTGTGAATTTAGTAGTGAACTTCATGAAAAATGTAAGAGCTGTTTTGACTTTCTTGAAATATGAATATCATTTCAAGTTTCTAATGACTTTCTTGGAATCCTTTGTTTTCAATAGATATGCACTTCTTTTGTAAAGTGGCCAACGGATGAAGAAACTCAAACCTCTACTTCAGATACATGGGGAAGCGCAGCCATGCTTATTTTAATGTTTATAAACCTAAAATACATGGGAAAGTGCATCAAGCAACTTTGTGAATTTCAAAAGAATGGCTAATAAATTCACATTTCACCGTTATCATAACAGTTTTGCATATGTGTTTACACGGTTCACAATACCTCACAAGTTCAACAAATTGTACCTGAACAATTCTTACCAAGAAAATTAAAAACTCAACGACGCAGGTAGTTCAACAATTCCTTCACCCACAATCACATAGCTATATACTGCAGCATACATGCAACTAGTCTATAGCAAGCTTTAACCGAAATAAAGGCATTAGGCATGGCCTATTAGAAATTTTCTGGACCTCAATTACAACAACATCATCAACAGGATTCTTATCATCATCCTCTTCAATTGACATTTTCCCCTTTCTACAAGGGTTGTCAAGAAAGTTAACAAGGGTCACACAAACCAATGCAGAATCATCCCAGTTTATCTCAGGGGTATATATTCCACCTCTCCCTTCTCATTTTCTACAACATCCTCTGCCTTATGAGCCTCCTCTCCAGCCTCCTCATCTTCAGCCTCTCTTTCTAGGCACTCTCTGTAGGCATCAAATCTAAAAGTTATTACCACATTTTCCAAACTACCATGACATCCACCCAATCGAATATATTTTTATAAACTATATAGTGTATATATACACTGCACTTGTGTCTCAAACCTAACAAACTAGATTTTCAATCATCCACATGCATGATGGAGTGGATGCACAAATATATCTTTTAGCAGGGTGTGAAACATCTAAAAGTACACACCCATATTAAATATCTAATATGTATGGTACCTTGAGATATAACTGAGTTCCGAAATGATAAGTGGAAAGGGGATAAATGGACTCTAACCAACTGGGCCTTGATTTCATCCTGTATATTTTCCAAGCCAGATTTTAGTTGGTCAACAACGCATCTTTATAGAAAAAGCAAATACAAAACAGTTAGGATGAATTCATGGCACTATGAATGACCCTTTTAGGGAGATATAGATGGCAACATCACTAGCATAGTTGTCTTCATGCCAGGATACTAAAGATACAGAATTTGATACCAATATCGATATTGCTCATACTACAATCAACACATTAAGATGCTAATATGATACCCTAATCCATACTACTCATCTATTAGCAAAATACAAAATGGATACCCATGTCCATAATACTCATCTATTAGCAAGATACAAGACGGATACCCATGTCCATAATAATCATCTCTATGTGTAGAGTAAGTCTATTGTGAAGAGTAATAATCAAATGATAAACCCCCAAAATAGTTTTGCATGTAATTGTTCAAAACAAAACAATATAAATATACATATTTTAGTATATTATCATAGAAACATAAGCAACATGGTGGTTAAAGCGTTGGAGGAGTGAAATGGCAAGGGTTTAAATCCCCTTTGTGTGTGTGTGTTTTTTTTTCATTTTTTCCATTACATCGATATTTTCAATATTTTAAATATTATACCGATATTTTGACAAAATATTATTGAAGTGTGAGCGAAATTATCGACATCGATATTTTCCGATATTATCGATATTTATACGATATGCGTATGGATACATTTCGAAATATACGTAACCCGAAAAAACAATAATATCCTTAAAATTTTGTCGATATTATTGATATTTTATACTATGGGGAGGACAAAGGAAGGAATGCGCGACTAGAAAGGGTTTTGATATCAGAGGCAACACCCAATCATGGAGAAGTTGAGAAATGGAGTTATGAGATTTTGGGTTGTAATATTTTGCACAAATGAAAACAAAATTTTCTTTAATCTAGTTCTTAGGTGGAGTTATGAGCTTTTGGGTATTGGGTTGTCAGATATTGGGGTTTGTAGTTATAATTCAAACAATAATTAATGGCGGAAGCACTGGCGGATCCAGAAATTTTTTAGCAGAGGTGCAATATTGACTAAGTATGAAAATGGTTTTTCGGAATAATCATTTTCTCAAGATAATTTTTGGCGGCTTTTATTCCTTATACATCAAATAAGAAAACTTGATTTTATGGGATTTTAGTATGAAGTATATATTGCACTAAAACCAAATTTTCATATTTTGATTTGGTGGGAATTTGATTTTCTAGTATTTTTATTTGAATCCAAATGGGGGGTACTTCCTTATTTACATTATAAACTTAAGTAAATGGAGTAATATAAAAATAAATAAAAGTAAAAAGACAAAGACATTTACTTAAATGTTGAAAATGGAAATAAGGTAATCTATACACCAGTTGAGCCAAGGGGCAATTTGAAGCACCTACAATGGTTTTTCTAGCGAAGGGAGGTGCAGCTGCACCTCCTTGCGCCTTAATAGATCCGCCCCTGGGCGGAAGAAAGGAAGAAGAAAAGGCGTGAGTGGCAAATGAGAAATTACAGCGTACCAGATTCTAGTGTGAGCTTGCTTTTCTCCCTAGCCGTTGAGATCATTTAAATGGTGAGATGGAGCCGCAAGAAGAGGTTTGCAAAAAGAAGTTCCCACTTGGCCTATGACTATATAAATATACAAGGGGCATGTTTAAGTATCAATAATGGGCATGTGAGGAAAGGGAATGATTTCCATTCTTGACTTCCCCTGCATTTACTTGCAATCAAGAATGAAAAAATAAGTGGGCCCTACCTCAAATTCCGTAATCACATTCCCCCAAAACTAGGTATCAAATCAACTAGGGGGGTTGGTGATACGATTCTCATTCCTGTTTTCCCTTAGTAACTTTCAAAAATACCCTTACCACTTAACCGTAATTCCAAAACATCCCAAACCCTAAAAAAAGAGAAACACACGCCAAGAAGAAGTTCAAAGATGCTCCAACTTCTTTTTCATGTTAACGTTGCAGACACAGCCTCCCTGAAGCAGCAGCAACGCCTTGTGCTATGTAAGTCATTCTATCTATCTATCTACCTTCTTCTTCTTATTATTCTATCTTCACATTCATCGCAAAACAAAGTATGGTCATGGATAAAGAAATTGATGATATTGTCATAGTTAACCATGTTGGTAGCATATGAATGAAGTTTGATAGTAGAATATCACAATGGTGTGAATTTTAGAATTTATTTCCATTGGGTTTGGAAAATCTTGTAGCTGGTGTAGAATGTATTTTGTCAAAGTGGAATGTCATTATCTTCTGTTTATGATAATTGCTACATCAAGTTTTGATTTTTGTTGGTTATCCACTTCCACTTTGACAAAACTTGATAATGACATCAATCTTCTGTTTATGATAATTACTACATTAAGTTATGATAAATAGTGTTACTATTCTAAGAATGTATTTTGTTTAGATAACTACTACAAGTGATTGATGCCGTTTGGCCCTGTAGATTTAAATAATTCAAGATTTATACAGTCTCCCTTTCATTCCATACATTCTATTGTGTTTAGAGTTCCAATCAATGGATGGATATTGAATCGTTACCATTTGTGTAGTCTCTCTCTCTAGCCCATGCCTTTGTTTTTTTAAAATCTTGCAATTCCCACATTCTCTCTCTTTTTCTTCTTTTCCTTCTTTCTCTCTTTTTCTACCTTTCTTTTTTCTGTTTTTTTTTCGGTTTTTCTCTTGTTCTTTCCTTCGTTTCTCCTTTTTTTCTTCTTCTACGCTTATCTTTTTTCTCTCACTATTGAAATTTTATAAATTCGTAAGGTAAATTTAACCCAATGAATTTTTCAAATCCTGAATTCGTCCCTAGATGGAGTCATGATTTCATCTTACAAGACCTCTCTCAACACAAAGAGAAATCTATCATCTAAGATAGAGAGAATTAGAGACCGATTGACAAGAGAAAATATAGATGAAAATAAAAGAGAGTTTTAACAGTATTTATTATCAAATAACTTTAGCATGTGACAATAATAATAAAAAAGATCACAAAAATGCTTATATGTTGTAAATGGGGATGGGGCACTAGGTGAAAGTGAAAGCAAAATTTATAGTTAAGTTGGAGCCTATAGGCTAGGTATAACGACATATTAAAAATGTGGTTGGAGTCACTATTGCTAAGAAGAAATGAATCTGTGCATTACGTCTATAAATGAACGCAGTGTATTTTGAGATGTATCCTAAAAGTACTCTATTCTCTCTATTTTACAATGTTATTCATCTCATAAAATTTTAGAGTCAGCAGAAATGCCAATCCAAACCAAAATAAGATGGAGGGAAAATTTGTAATTTGGGCCTGGGTGGGTTTGTAGTACTTGAAAAAAAAAAGAAAAAAAAAGGTTTTTATCACAAATGGTTCCTGAGTTTTGCTAAATTAACACTTTTGGTCCTTTATTTTTTTTTCTAACATTTTTGGTCCTTCATGTTACACATTATACATCAATTTGGTCATGCTGTTAGATTCTATTAAAATTTTTGTTAAATTGATGACATGACATATATGTGGAGCCCACATATCCAATAATAAAATACCACGTGGATTTGAATTAAAAAAATATATGTTTTGAAAATGTTTAAGAAATTGAATTTAAAAAAAACAACAGAAAATTAAATTTAAACCTTAAAAATAAAATATAAAAAACTCCAATCCAACTCCCCCTACCCCTATCATCCCCTCTATTCTCTGCCTCCCTCTTTTTATGCGCTCTCTCTCTAGGGGTGGCATTTTAAACCGAAAAACTGAAAAACCGCAAAAAACCAACCGATAATTTACCGCAATGAAATCGCATTTGCGGTATTAAGAACCGAACCGCATTTGCGGTTGCGGTATTTGATTTTCAAAACTTGCGGTTACCGCAAACCGCAAAGTATAGCCGCACGGATGATGAGGTTGAATTCTACAAGGAAATGAAACATATGACAACTTGTAAGTAATTAGTTTATTTATACTTCTTCTTATAATAAAATGTACTAAACTATGTTGTTTTATTTGTAGATAACATTGGTGCTCAAATAACACAACGGGGTTCTTCAAATCCACTCACCACCAACACTTGAGTTTGTAACATTGGTGCATTGCATTTTCCTTTTAGTTTGTAACTTTAATTAACTTTGAATTGAATTTTTCTTTTTGGTTGTAACTTTAATTCATTTTGCTTTGCATTTTCCTTTTGGTTTGTAACTTTAAAGGATTTGGAATTGAAATGCTTGAGAAGTTTAACTTTAATTGGAATGCTTGGAATTTTAACTTTAATTTTCTTAGGTTGTGAATGCTTGAGAAGTTGAGGAGATTGTGAATTTATATATGCTTGAGAAATTAAGGTTGTGTATTTATTTATTTAGGTTGTGAACTTATATTTTTGTGAATGCTTGAGAACTTGCGGTTTTAAACCGCTAATTCGCGGTAACCGACCACAAAACGCAGTCGGTTTGCGGTTTCAAAAATCACCAAACCGCAAATATTCGGTCGGTTTGCGATTTGAGTAAAAATTCACGATTACTGAATCGCAACCACCCCTCTCTCTCTCTCTCTCTCTCTCTCTCTCTCTCTTTTTGATTTATCTCTCTGCCTATGAATCACTCTATAAAGTAAAGAAAAATAAAATAAAATTTATGGGTATTTGGGCCCAGGGGTGGGTCTAGGGTTGGGTGGGGCTGAGTGGTTGCTTTTGGTTCAGTCGGGGTTGGGTAGGGGAGAAAGCAAGATTGAGAGGGAGGATGAGCAGAGAGAGAGAGAGAGAGAGAGGAAGGGAGAGCATAGGAGGTGGAAGGAGAGGGGGAGGCAGTAGGGGGGAGAGGTGGGGAGAGAGGCTGAGTTTTTTTTCCCTCTTTTTTAAATTTTTAAAAAGATTTTAAATGTTGAACTATTTAGAAAACACATTTTTATTTATTTAGATTCACTTGGCATTTTCTCATTGGCTATGTGAGCAACACATATGTATCATGAAATTAATGTGTAAGGTCTAAAATAAAGGACCAATAATAATAAAAATATATATAAATGACCAAAGATGATAATTTCGCAAATCTCAAAACCTTTGTGATAAAAACCCCCAAAAAAAAACAAACAAACCTTTTAACCCAAAACCCCAAAAGCTGAGGGGCAGACTTCAATCACTCAGCAAAGTAGAGAGCAGACAGCAATGGAGTCTGAGGTGAGTTGTGCACTCTTTCTTTCGCCTTCTCTTTCCCAACACTGAATAAATTTTCTCGCGTTTCTCAGAAACCAAGTTTCGAACCGTTTCGGCTGTTTTCATCATCAGGGTCGGGATTTCTTGAACAATCAGAGCCCCCTCTTCCCCCTCCGCCTCCTTGCGTCGAAGTGTTGCCCTCCGAGGTATTTAATTAATTGGTGTATTTTGCAAATTCAAGCACACGCCTACATAAGTTTCGAGATATGATACTGAACAATTGATTGATTTTAATGTGGAATAGATTTTGCCCTCTGTGAAGTACACTGTGGAGCCAGTGGAGTTGGGTGGACTTACTTTCCTCAAGGTCACTCCTTTATTTTTCATTTCTGTTTGGTTTCCCAGAAAATGGAGCATAGTAAAGAAGAGCTGTATGAACGAATATAAAATTTCATTGTTATCTCTATGTAATTTTCTTTTAAGGAAAACAAAAAAGTTGCCCCTTTGAGTAGAAAATTTTGATAATCTATCAAATTAAGCTTAATCTGAGTGTAAATGGGACTGAGAGTTCATGTGTGTTTTGATTGTAGGGCCGCGTTAGTACTCAAGAGGTTTTCACGCTATCCAACTCCGATTTAGTTCCTGGGAAATATGAAGGTGTATAGAGTTCTTCCTATCTTTTGTTTGCTTTGTTAATAGTGATTCAATAATTAAAAATGACACTAGATTAAGTTTGTAATATTCTGCATTACAAATGTTTATCTTATTAATGAAATGCTGTTGCACCAAATGGTGATGGTATGTCTCTTGCTTTTGGGGTGCAGGGGGATTAAAGCTATGGGAAGGTTCTCTTGATCTAGTTAAAGCTCTTAGCTCTGAAGTTCAAAATGGACATTTATCGTTTACCGGTAAACGAGTTTTAGAGGTGGGCATCCTAATATTTTCAGGTGAATGTATACTGACCCATAATGCATACACATGTTAACATTCTTCATGTTACTTTGTGTGGTAGTCTAATGTTCAAGTGTAAATAAGTTGACTTTTATTCATAAAGGTGCTTTTGTGAAATGAGACATATGCTTCTTTACCTCAAGCCCTTACAAAGAGAAACTAGTTTGGCTTCTGGTCGCATTCCTGCCTACTTCATTCAGATTGTGGGCTCTCCTCACTAAGTATTACTCCATTAATTTCATTTTCACACATCATAGAGGGGAACTCTTGAAATCTCTAGGTGCCTTTTAATTATTACTAACAGATGGCTAGGTCAACCTTTTGGTGCTCTTATATCCTATCTTGGAACATTCAATTAAGTAAAGAACGTTAACTTGAATGAACTGCAATCTCTTCGTGATACATTACCAAATGCTTTCATGACAATAGCCTGAACACTTTAACCTTTGTTAGAGATACACCATGTTATGTTTAGTTGGAGTCTTAGCTCTAACATATAACTTCTGAAGAAGTCCCTTCATTTGAATGAATATATCTCTTCACATCTACAGACACATCATTTAATTAGGTATTACTTGGTGCACCTTCACAAGTCATTCATGAAGCTACATCGTCATTGATCAATAATCAGCATATAACTCATATATCACCACTACAAGTGATTATCTCTGATGTGTGATTTCCTCGTTGGCCTAGAAATTGAGGCCACTGTCTTTTATCTCCTTCTCCCATTTCTCACTTTGCCTTAATGTGTTTCCTATCATGATTTTTCAGCTTGGTTGTGGTCATGGACTTCCTGGTATCTTTGCTTGCCTTAAGGTGAGTTTTTGTTTCTTAAGCTCGTACATTTGTTTTCATAGATTAGATTTCTTAACATTCTTCATTGTTGCTTCAGGGTGCAGCTGCCATTCATTTCCAGGACTTCAATGCGGAGGTCCTGCAGTGTCTCACCATACCTAATGTAAATTCAAATGTTCCAAGCTTCCAACCCCCAGCACTGCAAGTTACAAAGTGTGATGCGGGGATGGAAATTCGTTTTTTTGCTGGCAACTGGCGTGAAATCCATAAGCTTCTTCCCTATGCACAAAACATTGAGAAGGATTTTAATGTGAGTACAGGGAAAAGTCTAGATGCTCAGTATGATATTATTTTAATGGCAGAGACAGTTTACTCGATCTCTGCTCTCCCACATCTCTATGAACTCATAAAGAAGGTATTTCATATTTAGTTTGTCATTATTTATGATTCAGAACTGTGAACCTGCAGCTGCTGTAGGTCTGATAATGTTTAATTTACAGTGCATAACTCCTTCTCATGGAGTAGTATACATGGCTGCCAAGAAGCATTATTTTGGAGTTGGTGGGGGAACTCGAAGGTTCCTATCTATTGTGGAGAAAGATGGTAAGCTAGTCTGAATTATCTAGAAAACTACTTAGAATCTATCTTGCTGCAGAAGTAGTCTCTTATTTGTTTTCTACCCTATTCCTTTGGTTCATGGGATTGGGTTTAAGGGGATGGAACAAGTTACAGTATACTACATTCATGTATGAGCAGGGTTTTGTCGTTGTAATTAAAATGTTCATGGTTCCTTTGTTAAATATATGTTTCTTCTACGAATAGGCATTTTGGAGGCCTTAAAGATGTGACAATGTGGTTATTGACTGTTGTCAAATAATTTATATCTGTAAATTATTGTTTTTGGAAGTAGGCCTCTCTTCTTATAGAGTCCACATCACCATCCTTGTCTCAGAGTGATATCTTTACAGATGCTTAAATGAGAAATTTGAAATAATTTTTATTGGAATTCCTTTCTGCAGGGGTCTTGGCTTCTAGCATGGTCGCTGAAGTTGCAGATGGTTCTTCTAATGTCCGAGAGGTATGGAAGCTTTCGTTTAAGTAGGCATGGAATTCATGTGGATCAAACACTATCCTTATTTTTTATTTCTCTTTTTCAATCTCCTCCCGTGGCCAACGTGGCCACCAATTTGGCCACTCACCTCCTATATGAAGAATCAAATATTGTATTCAAAATTAGATGAATCAAATGTTACAGTTGTTAGATTTGTTAGTCTATATGCAGACAAGAAGGATGTAGAGAATATTTGGTCATTAGATAATTTCTCTTCTCTAAACCTCTTTTATTTTTCTTTTGATTTACTGTGTCCTATGTAATGCAAATTCTTACTTTTTCAGTCCCGAAATAGAAGTTTTTCTTTAATTATTTATATTTAGTTCATCGTTGTTGTTTCTTTTATTATTGTCTATGATAAATTATAATTTGGCTGAATGCTGAATTTGTTGTGTTGCAATTTTCATTGAATATAGGTATTGTAACACTCTGAAATGACAACTAATGACAATTTTCTGATGTGTCAATATAACATTATGCTGAATCGTAAATTCTTGATATCTTTTCATTCTTGAACTCACACTATGAACTATTTAGCAGTGTAAAGATTTGGATGTGGTTGAAAGTTCGTGGATCCTGTTCTTGTTTGAAACCATTTCCATTCACTAATATTGCTGGCGGTATCATGGGGATCTATTCTGCAGATACAACATGCCTTTTAGGACGCAAACCACTCAAAGCTTTGAGGGTTTCCACATCAAGCATCACCCCCTGTTCGATCATTTCCTCAACGAGCCTCAAAGCTTCACCTATCCTTTTAGCTTGCATATAGCCGTTGACCAAGGCATTATAGCAAGAAGCAATATCAGGGACATGATCTTTTATCACCATTAAATCAATGACCTTTGCCTTGTCCATTTTGCCAAGAAAACAATAACCATCAATTAGCATACTGCAAGTTATTTTGCTCAGCTCCATATCATATTTAACTTTGGACTCAACTACTTTATGAGCCCCTTCTGGCATCCGTCCTTGGAAGAGAGCATCCAAAAGTATTCTCAAAGTTATGGTATCAGGTAAGACTCCCTGAACTACCATTTCATCAAACAACCTTGTAGCTTCAGCCCATTGATCTGTACGACACATGCCATAAATTAGAGAGTTGTAAGTGAAAATGTCAAGCCTCGTACCTCTTTGGGACATTAGCTCTAACACGGAGTGCGCTTCCTCGGTCCATCTCTCCATGCAAAGAGCATGTATTACAGTGGTAAAGGTTACAACATTTGGTGCAATTCCTTCATCCAGCATTCTATTAAACAACCTTGTGGCTTCTTTCCATTGAGCGGAATGGCAGAGGCTATTAATTAAGGAGTTGTAGGTGACGACATCAGGCTTTACACCTCTAAGGAACATTTCTTCCATAAGGTTAAGTGCCTCTGCAGTCTTCCCTTCCTTGCACAAAGCATCCAACACAGAACTGAATGTAACAATATCAGGGAAAGGTCCACAATCAATCATGTTTCTAAATTGCAGCACAGCTTCTTCCCACTTGCCAGACAACATCAGGCTTTATGCCTTTGTTTTTCATTATTTCAAACAGAGCACGTGCTCGTGTCCAAAGACCCATGTTGCATAATCCATAAATTAATCAAGTGTAACTGATGATATTTGGCGCAACACTTTTGTTGATCATATCTCGAAATAGGGTCATAGCCTCATCTATTCTGCTTTCTTTGCATAAGCGGTCAATGATTGGATTATAGCATTGAGGAACAGGCTTAAACCTTCCATCTTCATACATTTGCTCGAGTATCTCAAGCGCCATACATGTTTTCCCAGCTCTGCACAACCCATTAATTATAGTAGCGTAAGTGATTTCACAGCATGCTAATCCTTTCTCTTCTATTTTCCGGAGTAACTCCATTGCCTCAGAGAGCGACCTATACTTGCAAACCCCACGAAGCAAAGCATTCAAAGTATAAGCATCGGGCTGAAGACCATGTTTAAGGATAGTTGCTAAAACAGAGAAACCCAAGTCCACCTGATTCATACGGCACAAGCAATTGTATTCAGTGTATCGACTTCCGGGTGTAAGCCAACACAAGCCAGCATCTGTTTATACATAGAAACTACAGTGGAACAGTGATTCATCTTGGAGACTGCCCCAAGCAAATGATCAATAATGGGTTTCATTTGAATTACGGAATCGAAGAGACCCAGTGCTTCATCTAACCCAAGATTACCAAATTTACAACGCGTTTTTACCAAATCCTCCAAATCAATGGTTTCCTTAACACTAACAGTATGACAACGATTGACAGCAAAAGAGTAAAACTGGCTTCTGAAAAAGACGAGCCCAAACAGAGAATAGAGAGAAGAAGGTTTACCCTTTTGGAGAAGCGCGCGCCCTGGAGCTCTTTTCGCCATAATTTTCGTCATCATCGACCAGCTCCTAAGGCAGAGCAAGCAATTCACGAGCTGTGCTCCCTCAGAGAGTAGTAAGTGAGAGGGTTTTTCTTTAGGTCGAAAGGAAAGAAATTTCACTGCCAAAACAAAGATACAAGTTATAACTTAGAGCACTTCCACCCTCTGTCCGAGGACAAGGTAAGGGCTGTCACTATTTATGTGAATAGTGGCATCCCTTTCAATTTTGTTTTCATCCATATGGGCAATGGCAATTATTATTTATTTTAATTTATTTTCTATTTTTTATACTTAAACGATTAATTTTAATAAGATTTTCGGTTGTCATGTATCACTATTTATTATAGAATTCTCATCTCAAATGTCGAATAAAATTTTCGGATTAAAGTCGATATTTATTATAAAATACTAATTTTAGATTTTAGATAAGATTTTTATCTTATAAAATTGCACCATGTGTCATCTCTATTTTCTAAATCGCTCTATAAAACTACACCCTCAACTCAGACTTCTCACACCATATCCTTTCTATCCTTTCATTTCTTAGATTTTACAAAACATATTCTACTCTCAATGTCTAACCTGAGGAGGGCGTTGGAGTGGCAATAGCGAGAAGATGAAGAAATCAGGTGCAGACGTGCTAAAGAAGATCGTGAGTTGGATGAAGATGAGGATGAAGTTGTTTTAGCGGTAGGTATGCTCAATCAATCAAGGCAACACCACCATGGTCGTGTCCCGAAAGTGGACAGATGTAGGCACTCTTGGGATAAGAATCTCTTAGAAGATTTCTTTATCCCAAATTCGTTGCGTCCTATTTCTTATTCTCGAGGGAGATGTAGAATGCATCCCCATTAAAAAAAAAAAAAAAAAAAAAAAAAATAAAATATGTATGTTTGCAATTACGACACATACTTCGTTCAGAAGTACGATGCTATTGGGGTTTTGGGTCTTCTTATGAAGCAAAAACTTATAGCTACTTTACGGATGCTTGCGTATGGGGTATCTTCAGACCAGGTGGATGAGATTGCTAGGATGGGTTAATCAATTATCCTAGAGTGCTTGGTCAGATTCTATGATGCAATAAAAACTCTCTACACGAGGGATTACCTCAGCAAACCTGCGCTTAGGGACCTCTAAAGGCTTCTACAAAAAGCCAAGGCTCGAGATTTCCTAGGCATGATTGGAAGCATCGATTGCATGCACTAGCAGTGGAAGAATTGCCTAACTGCTTGGCAAGGAGATTATGGGAATAGGAAAGGCAAAAAAAATATCATTCTGGAGGTCATTGCATAATTTGATACCTAGATTTGGCATGCATTTTTCGGAGTTGCGGAATCTCAAAACGACCTCAATGTGCTTGGTCAATCCCCAATATTCAACGATGTGTTGAGAGGTCATTCCCCCCAGATCACGTATCAAATCAACAATATTGTATACTCCGGTGGGTACTACCTAGCTGATGAAATTTATCCTAGATGGACGACATTCATCAAAACAATTCCGAATCCCCAATTGGAGAATGAAAAAAGTTTTGCTGCCTTTCAAGAAGGTTATAGGAAAGATGTGCAAAGATGTTTTGGTATCCTACAAGCTTGTTGACAATATTAGGGGTGCTGCTCGTATATTTGATGAAGAGGTGCTTCGGAGTATTATGATGACTTGTATCATTCTCCATAACATAATTGTGGAGGATGAGTATGATTATGATGCCTCTGAGATGTCCCGATCCCATGAACACGACATTGACAAGAATTTATGAACTGCTCGTGGGAGCAAATGGACAATCACTAGAGCACAAACCTTTGATTAGGGACGGTCGATATAACAACCTCATGATTGATCATTATATGGAAATGCAATCTTCTATGTTCACGAGAGACGTCCAGTTGGCTTGATCGAGCATTTATGGGCAATGAAAGGCAATCACGGTGGATGAAGTCAAGTTTAATGTTTTGTTTTAAATTATACTTTGTTCTTAATAATGGTTTGTTTTAAATTATGCTTTGTTTTTAATTATTCTTTGTTTTGTGTGTGGTTTGTAATGAATTAAGGTTTGTTTTGATGTATAAATGTTTTTAATAAATAGCTATATTATTTAATGCTTTCTTTATTCAATAAAAGAGAAACAATACAACTAATTAATACATATGGAAAATCTTACAATACAACCTAATAGTTTTGATCATTTAACCAATCCGTGTTGCTAGGTCCATCCTCATGTAAAAGCTTTATTCTCATAACATCCTTTCATTTTCATTTCCAATAGGACTTTGTTTCAGGAGACATATGACTCGTATCCATGACCATGATTTTCATCTATTTGTCCTCCATGTCTTGTTGTTGTGCCTGCGCCTTTCTGTTGCATATGCGTCATATCATGCCTTGTTAACTTCATCTCTTTTCAAGTCTCTCTCAATTCTTAGTGTGCAGTTGATAGCAATTTGCTAAAAAAAATTGCACATTCCGTGTCCGAATTTATAGAAAAAATTTAGATTTTTTTTCAATTTTTTTTTAGCCAAAAAATGGGCAGCCATTGGATTGAAGGAGATTTTCGGATCAGAGTCTCCAGGAGAAGCCACGTGGCTTGTAGCCGTTGGTTTCTGGGAACACTGGTGTCAGCGCAAGAATTTTTAATGTTTTTTTATCGTTGACGCGTGCATTACACTCGCCAACGGTAAAAAGAAAATAAAATAAAAAAATCTTGTGCTGACGTCAGCTTCCCGAAGGCAAGACGACGGGCCTGATCTTCCCGTGGGCCCCACACCTTGCCATAGCTGGGTCTTCAGCGCTGCATGGGCTAACCCCTTGCACTAGAGCTTCTCTTACAAGGAACCCAAATACCAAAAAACATAATAAAGAAAAACAAGGGCTCAAACATAACAAAACAAAACTCAACCTAAAATACCAAAATAAGAGGCCCAAAACAACAAAATCCCACAAAATCAAAAATCCCAACACCTAACCCTAAACAGAACAAGCCACTGTCGCCACCACCAGAAAAGCTGCCGTTGCCACCACCAGAAAAGCTGCCGCCACCACAAGAAGAGTAAGTGAGAGGGTTTAGTGCTTTAATTTTATGTTTCATTTTTGACAAAGTGATATTCTAAATTATATTTTGGAATTTACATATGGGGTGGTGCCACTAGGGTCAAACTCTCCTCCTTCCCCATATCCTTAAAACTGAGGAGGAGTTCCTCTTGTAAGGACTCAATTGTAAATACCACATCAACCACATATATCTTCATAAAGTAAAGATGAAAACTTTTCCTGACCCTATCTCAGCATAAGGCGATCATCTTTAGAAAATTGAATGTTTGCGAAATAGAAAAATTCGATTGATACAAAACCCTGTGAGGAGTGTGCTGCATCCGAGGCTTTGATCTTAAAATTATGCACGAATTTATTTGACAATTGAAGCAACCAAAAAAATCAGTCACTGAAAATTCAAGAGCAACAGCTATATAGCTACAAGTGTACTGCAAATATAGAGGACTGTCAAAACCAAATAGAAATCCAAACTTGCACGTGTGATCACGAGTCTGATCGACAACGATAGTACTTAGAGCAGCCTCTGTTGTGAGGGTTAGATGGAGGAGGAAGGCAGCCCCCTGTTTTGCTATAAGCTTCGCCTTTACCGCCGCTATTGCAAACTGGCTGGTCCGGCTTTAAAGCCCCAGGTGAGATGTATTTCTTGGTTCCAAGAAACCTCCGGCTTATCTCCGACTCCATCAGCAACTCGCCTTCTCCGTCACACTCTGCTATCGAAGCATTGCACGATGTGTGTGAACGGCTCATCCATGAGGTAGCTGTGCTGAAATAAGGAAGGCCAAGGACTAGGAGAAGGAAGCAAAGTTTCTGAGATACAGACACCATTTTGTTGTATGCGTGTGTGGCTTCCCTTTCTTCCCACTTTCAACCACTTTATAGAGAATCACTTTTGTTTTCTACTTTTTTTTCTTTAAGAAAGATGGTTAGTGGAACGCGCATTATGGAAAAGCAGGGGGACCGCACTTCACCAAACCTGAAATTTCACTCAAGCATGTATTTTATTTTCCATGTGTGGTGAAAAGTTTCAACCAATGTTTGCTTACCGAAGAGAAAAAAACAATTAGTATATATTACGATATCAAATCTCAATCACAGGAGTAGATTGCTGCAGAGACTTTTAACTGATTATGTCTCCTTCTCTAGTCCAGCAATCCCTGTAGTTTAGGCTATAGTTATTACTTATTTCCATATATGTTTCTGTACAATTTGCTATATATCTTTGTAATTGTTATGACTGAATATACAAGCAATATACTTCAGATTATCACTTTTCACATATAGTCAACAAATTTTTTTATTATTAGGATTCTCATATTACTCCACCTACCTTTTTTTCATGAAAAAACCCACTTATTCTCTGATGGAAGTCTTAATTCTCGTGGTTAGTAATTCAAATGGTAATCATATCTCCTAAAGAAACAGAGAAATTAAATTAAAAAGTCGTAAGTTCTCGAGTGCGGTTACCACAGTGATTGTGGCCCTCCTTCTTCCCCTGCTTGGCACCCAGGATCGAAACTCCCGATTTTTTTTCCTTCCCAAAAAAAAGTATTAAGAGTTACATTTTGAAATATGTAAGGACTGGCATTCCAATTTCTCAATAAGGATTAGATATTCTAGACAAACTAGAATAATTGGGATAGATAAATCTACATGATTATGCTTGTGCTTGCGTAGAGTATATCAGCATAAAAATTAGTACAGAACCTTATTTGGCAAAAACTTGCATCGGTAGTTTTATCTGATTGTGAAAGAATGGGATTAAAAGTGACAATATTACAATAGTTTAAGCTCTTAATTCCTTCCCCAAGTTCATGCATACACTCTCTAGTGGTCAAGCTCTGCACCTGTAGATTTTGGAGCAGGCTCTATACCTAGGGTTTGATGGTGGAGGGAGACAACTGATGCCGTAGGGTTTTCCTCGTGGACCTTTACAAACCGGCAGATCCCTCTTGAGAACTCCTGGAGATAGAAATTTTTGCACTGCAAGAAACCTCCTACTTGTTTCGTACTCCATTTTAAACTCTTCACCATTTTCACCACTGCAATGTTCTTTATATCCATGGGTGCCGGTTTCTGTAGCACTGGCTCTTGAATGAGAGGCCAGAGCTTGAAGAAGTAGTGGCACTAGAAGTGCTGCAAGCATGAAGAATAGGGAAAAGGTTCTTCTAACCCTACTCTTCATCTTCATTTGTTTGTCAAAACTAGTTGTAAAATTGTACCATTTATAGCTTGGTTGCCTTTTTTTTTCTTTTTTCTTTCTGTTTTTAAAAATGTATCTGCTTGTGAGCAATTTTTGTTTGAATCTTTGTGGGTCATGGTGTTTCCTAGTGGGGTTTCTACACGTAAGAGTAACAAAGATAAAAAGTTTGATTTTGCTGAGCCTTTAGTAATTCATGACATCTCGTGTGTGGAGAAATGAGTTTTTTCCAGGTTGTTTGAAATTGGAACCACAAAAAAGCCAAAAGGAGGTCATGTCATGCAGACCCTAATATGTAACTTGTGTCCAAATAGGTTTTGCAGACAAGTACCAAAATAATTGGACCCCTGTCAAATCTGTGATGGGCTAGTTTGTTTCTTTTCTGTGACCTATTCAAGAGGCAATTGGAACAGTTAACTAATAATCATTTCATTGAAGGGCATGTAATGAAAGGAAAAAACAAGAAGGGAATCTTTGTTGCCCTTTGGTATCCAGCAGCCCTTTCATGTTTCAAGTTTTGATCCAGTGCAACAGCTTAAGGTGTATGCCCAATTCCCAGAAGTAGAAGAAGCCAGACAAGATCAAACATCTTCACCCATAATGGCCTAAATGAAGTTTTCACTAGTTAAAGCATTTGCCATAGGCCCATAGAACCTACTTGAATTACCAACTAGTCTTTGGTTTAGTGGTATTTGTTTCCGGTTGGTTGAAGGAGGTCTCAGGTTCAACTCACATGGATGGCGTGGATGATATATATATATATATATATATATATTGTGATGAGTTCGATATATTGAGTTGCGAGTATACTAGCCCGTTATAAAAGTATCTTGTAAATATCCTATCGTTTGTCCCCAACAAAAAAAAAGGTTTACCCGTGCATAATTGGATATTAGTAGCTGTATTTAATAGCCAACGGTAACTGAGCATATAACTAAAAGTCTTCACACTTTAATATGGAGTAAATTTAGGTTTTAGCCACACAAAAATTTTCACTTTTGGCTAAATGTTAGTTCAACAATGACCTTTGTAGAAATTAGAAACCAACAAGAATTTAAGATACTGGATATGAACAAATCACAAACTCACAAAGGTAGATCCAACACTTGATAAAGAGAAAAAAGTAACAAAGCATTTAACCAATGATGCCAAATGTAGGGCATCTCTGTATCAGAGTCTCCCTTGCAAACATAAAATGCAATCATTCAAATGCACCACTCCTAAACTCCATCTTGTTGCAATCATTGGCTAACAGATAAGGATACGTCATCAGGTCAAGTGGCCATAAATCCAAAGGAAAACAGCATTGATGGTTGGCTTGGTCTTCCTTGCTATGTCCAATTTCAAACATCTTAATTACTTCATGATTCTTTTTTTTTGGTTGCCACAATTAGGAAAGGGGAAGAAGTATTCTCACACACACGCACAATGCAGTTAGGAAAGGGGAGGGCACACGCACACAGTACCATGGGGGATCGAACAGCATACAGCAAGCCTGCATGCCAACAACTCTTACCATTATGCTAAGACCCCATTGGCAATTACTTAATGATGTTTACCTTTGTCAATTAGTTGCAGATAACCTTTGGTGTTAATTTGTCCCCATTGAATTTTTATTAGTTCATTTTTCCTACACAAGGTCAGAAGATGGATGGAGAAATACAACGGTGGTGGAATTAATAACAGCACTCCTAATTATAAAAGCAGAGGTATTAGCAAAGATGGATTGTGTCATGCCATACATGCTGTCATAATGCACACACTGTATGGATTCTTATTTCTTTTACAAGGCAGTGAAAGTTTTCACACTATTATTTTGCACTACCAGATGTTAAAAGTAAATGCAATTGCAAGAGAGAGTTTTGACCACACTTCTTAAACCCATATATCTGAAGTGCAGTCACCACCAGGGTATCTCATTTCATGAGCCAGTGCGGGACCACCAGGTTCAGCTCCAAAGTCAACGAAAAAATTTGGGTTTACTGCAAGACCGCCATTCTCAGTGTTAACATCAAGCTGAATTATGTGAGATCCTTTCTCCAAAAGGTCCGGGTAAAACTGGCGATCCCATGTACTGAAGAGCGAATTGGTGATGTAAAGTCGCCTCCCGTCCAAGCTTAACTGGATCATCTGTGGTCCACCTCTCAACTTCTTTCCCTGAATGGAAGACATAAACTCTATCAATATTTACAAGGCAGACTATACTGCAAGGATACATATACCGTTCGGTGGGCTGGATTATACGGCTTAATAGTTTGGTGGCCTAAAAACTACTTGGATTGGATTGCATCTAATCCTACCAGCAGTCCCACATGTATTAGGAATATGAATCCCACCAAAAGGTTGAGATGCTGAATTGGATTATGTCTAATCTTGCTAGGCCACGTAAAAACATATTTCAGTTAATCCAGCCCCTTAATCATGTGTAGTACCAAACACAACAGGATTCGTGTTATACTCCAATCCAATTCCAGTCACCAAACATGGAATATATATGCCTCATAATATTGGATCTTTTTTTACTACAGTCGCGAACTGAATGAGACATATACACGGAAAAAAGGTAGCACAAGAGATGCTGCCTTTTGATGACAAGGTAGCACAAAAGATGATGCTATAATAAAAGTAGACCAACCAACTTCTTAATCTGGAGCAATAAAGTCTAAATGATACTTTGGGATACTAAATTGACACAGAAATAAATATCATACAAACCTGGATCTCTGGAACATCAAATTGCCTTGTTGTACCATCTTCAGCCTCAGCCACAACTGGGCTTCCCTTTTGGATTAGCCCCCCAACCCATATTTGGCCTGTCAGCTTAGGATTTTTAGGGTCCTCAATGTTATACTGTCTCACATCTCCATGAAGCCAGTTCACAAAGTATAGAAAACGATCATCAAGTGAGATTAAAAAATCAGTTATAAGCCCAGGCATCTCTGGAAGAATCCAGTTCTGCACCTTCAATGACTTCACCGATATTGCAACCTGGCAAAGTAAATTAATTTATTAGGTTTTCATGACCATGTACTTTTATTTTCTAAACAAAAGAAACGAAAAAAGAATAAGATCAAAGAGAAATGTAGAACTAAATGCAGAGACATGAAAATTGTAATAAATATGGAAATGCTTGTACAACAACAGGATTAGATATTGTGTGTGATACCTCATGGCTCCACGAGCCATCTTCTGTCTTGAAGAACCGGACTATGTTACTTGTCAAGGCACACCCAACAAATCCAGTGTCCTTAGAAGGATCGTGCAGGAACCTTATCTGCAAACAGTGGGATTGAGTTATAAGATAGAGGCAGAGTCACTCATAATGTCTTAATAGGAAAATAAAACTGTAAATTAATATGAGGTAGTGTTGATTGAGTTTATATAACTCACCTCCAAGGGTAAGAGCCCTGTATTTCCAAGATCCAACGTTTGTTTCAATTCCCCTTCAGGCCAACTGTAGACATGAAGATGCCTCCCATAGAGACCATCAGAGACATGCTGAGGGTTAAAACCTTTTGTGAAAGCAGCAGGGGCACCCCATGATGTGCTTATCATTGTCTTGTGTCGCGGTTGGTACCAGAAATCATAGCCAAAAAGTGGACTGTGCCCTGGTTTCTCCCACCTGACAGATTTTAGGACAGCTAGAAGTTAGATGTGCTCATAATTGTGGTAGATGTACTAAGCATGATCAATCTCATGTTACATGTTGGTACTACTTTATATTGTAAAAATATCTACCTAATATTATGCAGGTCATACACACATACATTATGTGTGTCTGTGTGGAGCAAAGATGACAATTTATTCAAAATCTACATAAATGAGTTGAGTTTTACAGCAGAAGATCTTACCTGCCCTTCACATTAAACTCAGAGTCAAGGAGAAGAAATCCACTTCCTGCAGCACTTCCATCTTTATCTCCCAGGCATGAAACCAATAAATCGCCAGAAGCAAGGCAATGGGATGTATGTGGATATGCCAATCCAGTCTTCTGTATAATCTCTTCAGGTTCAACAACTTTATGCAAAGAGGGAGCCTTCGGATTTGTTTTTGTGTCTATCGCATATATACGACCAGATCTAAAAGATAGAATAGGCTTAATAAGAAGTATATAACGAACAGCTGATTCTATGTATTTGATGGGCGAAAAAATACTTTTAAGCCTACACATAGGTAAATCATTGAAAGACCTCACTTGGCATCTTATGGAAAGGAGTTGATGATGCTTAAGTGATATTTAAAGCATGTAGAGAACTTGGAGAATAGATTGACTGAGGGGAAAAGTGGACACCAAAATCTATTACTATAGCCCATAAAATCACAATACTAGTATCTCTGTAAGAAGATACTGATGTAAAATTTTTGGAGAACAGACTGACAACCCAGTCAGGCCAAAACAAACAAATGTTTGAAACTCTAGTTTTTCTCGCATTAAATATAAACAAGGATGTCATCACTAGAAAATCTTATAAATGCTATGCAAATGTAAATCTTTTAAATGCTCTGGAAATGAAAATCTTATAAATGCTCTGTAAATGAAAGTTAAACTTTCCTATTCTACGAGAACAGTTAGCAGAAGACAATGAGTTCAATTGAACAGCTTACACTGCTTAATTTACATGTAATGTCTAAGTTCTTGACTCAAATTAAGAAAGGTAGCTTTGAAAAAAGATTAATGCCAACTTATATGTGCTCTCCCCTTCTACTAAAGTTGCACCACATTCGCATACATCAGTCGTGCTTTTAAAAGAACATTTCAGAATCACAAGCATGGGATAGATTCTGAATTGCTACAATTTACAAGCATCAAGAAAATTCAAGCTTGAAAAGTTGATCTATGCAGATTCTTAAATCTCAGTTTTCGTTTTTCTCTGTCCTTAACAGTCGGCTGCCCAACCAAATGTTTCACTTGCCAGTTCATAACAAAAGGACTGTCTTATCAAAATAACTCATTTCCCATCAAAAACAAAAGGTAAGAAATAAAAATCGATGCGACATAAAACTTAATCTCTTACATCAATCCAGGTAGGACCAAGAAACGCCGTTGTGCAGATGGATCTCCATAGCAAGAGCTGCATGAGTTCCAGCCCGTATGATGCAGTTCATCACCAATATAAGGCACAGGCAGCCTGTGGATGACTTTTGAATAAGTAGGAGAACTTGGATCTACGTCAACTGTGGCGAGATAATCAGGCTTCTGTATTCCGGTTCCTGTTATATTTTCATTTTGAAGAATTAACATCATATTCACAACTTCATGTCAAATGTAAGGAAAAAAAGAAAAGTCCATATAATCTGCATAAGCAATAATTTAAAGAAAGAACAAATCAAGGAGATAAATTCATATAAACAAAAACACACAAGAAAAAGGTTCAATTCTCTCCTCTCAAACCATTTGTACAACATAACAAGGCAATTCTTCTACCATCGAACACTGGCCATTGAACCCAATTTCACCTTGACAAATTAACTGTCTCTTACCCTATACCTCTTTAAATTTCAAATCTTTTATTGTATTAGGCTAATCAAAAACTAGATCATCAAGATGGGTTTTCTTTGCCACCTTCTAATTCAGGCTTGTACCAAGAAAATCATCCCAAGCACAGAAAACAAATTGAAAAACCAAGAAACTCAGACATATCCAAGAAGAACAAAAGCTCAAATCTTCATGATGAGACCAAAAGTGGAATTGGGTACCTGAGTAAACGGCAGTGACATAGATGAGAGCCTCTTTTGGACCAGACATGGCGTCCAGTGGGGTGGCGTACCCTGGCCCAGTTTTTGCAGCATGCTGCTTCATTGCCCTGCCTCTTCCCTACTGTCCCATGTTGCGGAACCGCCACATCTGTAGCCATCTCTCTCTCCTATATCTTCTCTCTTTCTAAAAGGCTGTGATAAGATGAACAAAAAAGAAGATGATGAAAATTATGAAAAAGAAGAACGGTGAAGGAGCTCTTTCCACTCGCACACAACACGTGAAGAAGCGAAGAAGCAGAGGGATGGACAACAAATACATATAGATGACGTGGCAGATTACTATAATTCGTTCTTGTCTGTATTTGGGTAACGTTTTTGTCTTCATTCGCATGTGTCCAGGGGGGATGTATCGGGTATTTCGCTGTTCAGGTTTGGAAAGTCTAACTGTGTTCAATCCTACGGCTGAAACTGCACCACGTGTCATTATAAAGTAGATCAAGCCTGTTGCTTTTCATGACAATGACGCGAGAACGTAGTGTGTGAACTAGGAGCGGAGTGGGCGAGGCAAAGACTTTTGGTTCTTAAATTGGTTTTGTTTGGATAAGGTCTCTGAATTCGAATGGTTGGGGCTTTTGGGCTTGTAGTGATTTTTCTTGTTGGAATCTTGACCGAATTACATAAAAGATAAGAATGAAGATGGCATTGGCTTAGAAAATTAGTTTGAGGAATTTTAGAGCCATGAATATTCCAATTTGTGGAATGCTAGCAACCTTCTCTTTAACCTTCTTTTTTGGACTATCTTAAAACAATGTAATTAATATATTATACAAGCTAACATTTGCTCCAAATTTATCCTTATTAAATGTATATAAAATAAAAAATAAAAAAGGAAATGTTGAAATGCCCCCCCCTCTTTTTTTTTTAACACAAAGGGTTTAGATAGAAAAAAAAAAAGTCCTTATAACAATACCATCTGGTGTAACTTGACCAGCAAAATATTCATGCATGTCTGAGGTCCACAAATTATAATTTTCCTGTTACATAAGCACCTTAATTAATACAAAATATATTAGTAATAAACACAAATAAATCATAATCTTAACTACCATTGGTGTGCTTATGGATGTGAATGACTTTTTTTTTATTTATCTAAACCCTTTGTGTTAAAAAAAAAAAGGCATACATTTTCTTTTTTAAAAAAAATTAATAAAATGGTAAGAAAGTTGTGAATTATTTTTGGATAAATTGAATACATTTAATGAGGATAAACTTGGAAAGCAAATTTTAGCTTGTATAATATATTGATGATATTGTTTTAAGTGTAAGGAGAATGACACATGTCAAGCTAAAAATGAAGAAGGTCCAAATGAGAAGGTTAGAGAGAAGGTTGCTAAACATGCATCATTGTCCTTATACTTAAAACAATGTCATTTATATATTATACAAACAAAACTTTTGCTTTCCAAGTTTACCCTTATTAAATGCATTCAATTTATCCAGAAAAATTTCACAATTGTCTTATTTTTTTATTTTGTTTTTTTAGTCTCCTTAAAAAAAAAAATTCACCCCCCCCCTTTCTTTTTTTTTTTCACCCACTCACACACTCACTCAAATTTTTGCTTTTACACACAAGGGATAGATAGAAAAAAAAAAAAAAAAAAAAAAAAAATAAAAATTATAACAATACCATCTGGTGTACCTTGACCAGCAAAATATTCATGCATGTCTGAGGTCTACAAATTATAATTTCCCTGTTACATATAGTAGATAAGCACCTTAATTAATACAAATATATTAGTACAAACACACAAGGCTTTAGTATAGAAAAGTCCTTATAACAATACCATCTAGTGTACCTTGACTATTCATGCATGTCTGAGGTCCACAAATTATAATTTCCCTGTTACATATAGTAGATAAGCACCTTAATTAATACAAATATATTAGTAACAAACACAAATAAATCATAATCTTAACTACCATTGGGGAAAAAATAATTATAAAAAAAAGGACATTTCCTCTTTTTTTAAAAGCAGAAATTTTATTTTAAACAAAAATAAATTAATAAGATGGTAAGAAAGTTGTGAATTTTTTTTGGATAAATTGAATACATTTAATAAGGGTAAACTTGAAAGCAAAAGTTAGCTTGTATAATATATTAATGACATTGTTTTAAGTGTAAGGAGAATAACACATGTCAAGCAAAAAAGGAGAAGATTAGAGAGAAGATTGCTAGCATTCCCCTTCTAATTTTATTAAGCACCAGATAACCACAGATCTGAAAATGCTTGGTGGAAGATCTTTGTCCAAATAAAATCACATGTAGTAATCTCGGAGTTGAGTTAATCATGATTGCAAAGGTTTCTTTTTTTTTCTTTTAATCAATGGGGTTTGGAGGGTTTCTAACTCCAGACCTCTTCAAACATCGGAAAGAGAAATACCACTTGACCAAGAACTAATTGCTCAATGAGTTTTGTGTTGAGTTCGAATAAGCTAATTTATTTACTCATTTATTTTCTTTGTTATGTGTCAACTACTTTTATAACTTTACCAACTAGTAATTCATCTAGTCAAGATGCTAATTATAGAACATTGGGAAAACTATTCAACATACATTAGAAAGGTTAAACCCCCAGTGCACACACTTTTTGAGCATCTACAAATACAATCATGTTCACTATTTTTTAGTCAAAATTTAGCTAAAAACATATAAAAGCTATTTTAGGAGCTCTCTATAAAATTTGAACTTCAATCATACTCCCTAGTTTAGAGAGTCATAAATATTATAATTATTTTTTAATTCAATATAATTGGTCCATTTCTATACAAAAGAATATAAAAAAATAGTTTGCATTAATTAAAAGTTTAAAATATGCATAAAACAAAGCAACATTAAATTATAGAGAGCCACCTATGAGTCCTTTCTCTCTCCTCAAATTTAGGAGCTTCTTGAGGTCTTCCTATTTTAGAAGGTGGATAAGGAGCATGATTGGAGTTGTATTTTTCCAATTCCTCCCTAAAATTTGTATAAGGAGATGGTTAAGGGAGTCTGTTGTGGATGCTCTTAGCAACTGATGAAGAACTTGTAAAGGGAAGGCATACCAAAAAAATATAGTTTTACCAAAAGTCATTGCATGAACATTCCCCGCTAGAAAAATGGTGGTATCTAGTGGCATCTCGAACAACAATGTCCCTCTTCACAATGCTGCTTATGAATTTCAGTACAGTATGACAATCTCCACAGACACGAAGATTTTTCACTATCCGGATAACTGTCCCCGGAGCAGCCTTAAGCAGCCCATAAGCCACTGCCAACCTCTCACTATGCCAAAATAACTGCCTTTCCTTCTCTGGGTGCTCCATGTCATGTAAAACAAAGCTACTATCAGGAACATAGCCTCTTCTCCTCATCTCTGCATCTAACTCCTTAAGCAAACTGAACATCTCATCCTTCATAGGATGAGATGTCTCTCCAGCATAAAACACTTGGGTTTCCTTTCCAATGTCAATGCAACTATAACCAGGCTTCTTCTTAAATTCTCTAGCTGCCATCAACTTTCTCAGCTCTGCTACATTTTCCCACATACGAGCACCGGCATAGACATTAGACAATAGTATATAAGTTGAAGGGTCTTCTGGTTTTAAGCTTAAAAGATGATCAGCAACCCTGATTCCCATTTGGGTATCCCCATGATGCTTGCAAGCACTTAATAAAGCTGCCCAAGTGGGTTCATCTGGGTCAAAGGGCATTGAATCAATAACATTTGAAGCTTCACCAAGGTGTCCAGACCGACTAAGAAGATCCAAAAAGCATGTGTAGTGTTGCAGAGAAGGGCTAATTCCATAATCCTCAATCATGGATCTGAAAAGAGCACGTCCTTTGCTAACTAAACCAACATGGCTACATGCATAAATCAATCCAACAAAGGTAACTTCATTTGGCTTTATTCCAACTGCAACCATTTCATCATATAAACTCAATGCTTTCTCAGCTTGCCCATGCTGAGCCGCCCCAACAATTATAGAAGTCCAAGAAACTACATCTCTTCGATGCATTCGACCAAAAATATCCTTAGCAGCTAAAATGTCACTGCATTTCGCATACATATCAACTAGTGCATTACTGATAAACAAGCAAGACTCATAGCCAAGACGTATAACTAGACTGTGAACCTGCTTTCCAGGCTCCAATACTGCCAAATTAGCACAAGCTCCAACAATGCTGGAGAGAACTAATGGGTCTACTATATGAATTCCCTCTCTTCTCATATCAATAAACAAATAAAATGCATCAACACTATGTCCACTTTGTACCAACCCAGATATCAACGCAGTCCAAGAAAACAAGTTCTTAACCGGTAACCTCTCAAACATTTCAAAAGCATCTGATTTCTTTCCACTTCTGGCATACCCTGAAATCATAGCAGTCCAAGAAATCACACTTTTGGACAAAATTGAATCAAAAGCTGCACGAGCATTATCAAGTAATCCACATTTCGCATACATATCAACCAGAGACGACTTAACGACATCATCATCACAAAACGGGGACAAAAAAAAGCGGGCATGCACTTGCTTGCCTTGTCTAACAGCTCCTAAGCTAGAGCAGGCCTTGACAACGCTGGCAAACACAAAATGGTCCGGCTGCAAACCATCAGACTCAAACATAGCGGGGAACATGGAGAGAGTTTGGTGGGGCATGTTGGCTTGGTTGTGGGCAGTGAGAATTGAAGCCCACGAGACATGGTCTCGGTGAGGCATTTCGTCGAACAGGTGGAGCGCGTCTTCGACTAGACCGCATTTGCCATACGTATCCAAGAGGGTGTTGGGTACAGGAACGCATAGATGCAGGGCTGTTTTGATGAGTTGAGCGTGGAGTCTTTTGGCAGTAGAAGGCGTCCGGCGTCTGGCACAGAGTTGCAGTTGGTGTAGAAAGTGAGACGCTGGCATTCATGACCTTCACTGTATAAAAGCCCACCCGCTGGTCAGACTTTTATTGCCAAAGTTATCAATCACAAGTACAAGGGCTGTGCACTTTTACTTTTCCCTCTTCTTCTACCTATGTCGTTTAAATATTTATTTTATTTTTTTTAGGGTTTAGTGGTGCACTTGTATTTCTTAGATCCCACTTTTTTCTTCGGGGCGTCTCTATTTCGTCAAAGTTTGGAAAAACCCAAATAAAAGAGAAATTTTTTAAAAGAAGTCAAAATGGACAAAATTGCCCTTATTTATTTTTGGATTTCCTAAAGAATCCTTAACATTTGCATGTCTTTGATTTGAAAATTAAGAGGTTTTTTTGTCTTTTTTTGAAAAAGCTTTGGCTTTTTCCAAAAGTGAAAGTTTTTTTATGGCTAAAACCTAAATTTACTAAGTTTTTATTTGTTTTTTGATACAAACTTTAAATTATTCAAAATTAAATTTAGGAGGAGGGGGACTCGAACTTGAATGCAAGAGGAAGGGCTCACTTTTCTGGCCAACTAACCTACCCACATATACTAACACTTGTATGATTATATGTTGTATTATATACATTTATGGTTGTTATATGATTTAATGGAAGCAAAAAATTTAATTAAAAAGGGATAATTACATTTTTAGTCACTAGAGTTAGGGTTGAATTTAATTTTGATCACTGAAATTTCAAATTTTCAATTTTGGTCACCGTATTTGCAGTTGTTAGCAAATCAGGTCAAATATTTCAATTCCGTCAGTTTTATTTTTTATTAAAATTAAATTATTTTTATTTTTATTTTTTAATCCTCTCTCTCTCCAACCCTTGATAGCCATAACCACCCCCACCTCAATCTCTTTACCCAACCTCTTAAATTCAAACTGCTATTGGAGCTTCATGGCTGGGCGATGGCATAGGGCCCCCACAAAAATAAGCATATTAACTGTTGGATCAAATTGGTTAGCATGATCCAACGTTTAAGAGATAGGATCTCACCTAAGGGCCATATATAAGACCCTCACTATAGAGATGACTCTAGCTAGCCATATGCAAAAAAAAAAAAAAAAAAAAAAAAAAAAAATTATGTGTGAAACTAATGCTTTTCAGGCTTTCCTTTTGAACTTTTTTGCGCCTTTTCCTTTATCTTTCAAATAAATGGGCATTTTTTACTTAAACTAACCTACTTACCACCTAAGTTTGAAATTTTTTATTAACATTTTTGTTAAAAATGAGGTAAGTGTTAAAGGCCTCATTTTTCATTTTTGTCAAGGGCCTCCAAAATCAATGGACCGGTTTTGCCCAGAAGCCTTCTCTCTCCTCTATCTCTTCCCACCTCCCCCACCTCCTCAGCCATCACTGCCCACCCCACCACCTCCCATTCCCTAGCTCCTCACGAAGGAGTGTCTTCCATAATCAAAACCATGATAGAGAATTGTAGAAGTATTAGGGTGTGTCATAGCAAATGCGGAAGGAAAAAATGCAAACAAAGAAGAAAAAAAAACTAGTTGAAGAGAGAGAGAGAGAGGGGTGGGTTATGGGTTGCGTTGGAGTGGGATGGGGAGGGTAGGTGGTTGTGGGTTTTGGGTTCGAACAAACCCAGTCAAAGAGAGAGAGAGGGGGGAAGAGACAGAAATGGAAAAAAGAGAGAGGAGAGGGGATGGGCATGTAGGTTTTGTTCCTTTTTAATTAATTTTTTTATTTATAATATGATAATTTTTTTAAATAATGAAATTGAATTGAAACATTTGACATGATTGCTAACAGCTGCAAATACGGTGACCAAAATCTAAAAATTGAAATTTCGGTGACCAAAATTAAATTTGACCCTAACCTCAATGACCAAATATGTAATTACCCCATGAAAAAAATTATTGAGGCACATAATGTTTGAGCAAATTTTCGGACGGGGTATATTCGCATGTAGATTTTTTGCCCTTTGAGCTTCCTTCTCTCTCTTCTTCCTTGACCCCTACGAAAAAATTTGGAGTAAATAGACCACATCCGAGTGGTGTTGGCCAAAGGCCCTCCGATGCCTAAGTCAATTGAATATTCTTGAGAAAGATATTGAGATAACTGAAAAGATGGAGGTCTTTTCTTAAGGGAAGAGCCGGGTGGCCGGAGTCGTGTGTGTGTGTGGCCGGAGCCGTGAGGGGGAGAGAGAGCCAATTGTGGCATGAGAGAAAGAGAGCTTTGATTAGGGTTAGAATTACCTCTTGTGTGTTGTGTAGCCATGTATTTATAGACTCCTTGTAGACTAGGGTTTGAAGAATAATCCTTATTCGGTTAGGATTATTTTTACCCATAAATAAGAGATTTGAATTAATCAAGGAAATTTGATGGAAATCTCATTCTTGATTTGGGGAGATATTCCCATCTTAAATCAAAAATAATTTTCCTAACTAAATAGGATTTAATTAGGATAATCAGTTCACCTAAGGAATATTCATTTTCCACGTGTCGTTCATCTATTGGTTACCGAAATATGTGTTCCCACACATAATACACAATGGGACGGGATGATAACAACATATCCGACTCACCCTATTGCTTAATGTCTATTAATTTAGTGTGCATCATTTTTGGAAGAAATTATTTAATGATGTTTTCTTATACTGGAGCTCAATAAATTTGTGGGTGAGCACATTAAACAAACTTGCTTGATTAGAATTACATAAATAAAAAGACTATTTTCTTTTGGTTATACCCGTCTTTTGAGATAATATACCCTATGAATTTTGTAGTGAGCAAAGAGAGGCTGGAACATTAAGGATACTTTGACGTAGAAAAACAATCGAATGTTTAGACCCACAAGAGCATTCAGACCCAAAAATGTCTAAATAATAAACATTAACAACATAAAGGGGCAAATTACACAATATATGTGTTAAATGGGTTAGGCTAGCCCAGCACGGCGTGAGCCCAACTTTTTAAATAGGGCATGACACGGCCTAAGAACAATTATTAACGAGTTGTGCTAGGCACGACACAAAAGCATGGGGCATGCCGGGATTAGAAAATAAGCCCAATGGACTGAGTCGGCCCAACATGGGTCGTGGCCCACTTCAAGCCCGACTGACCCACTTAACTTCGTTTTTTTTTGTCATGGCCCACTTTATATAAACCATCCTTCCTCTCTCGATATTTACATATATGGGCTTTGATTTGGTGGCTTCTTCTTCCAACAAATCATATATTTTTATATTAAATAAATACTACAATAAATCCTCAATAAATAAATACTACAAGAAATCCTCAATTTTTAATCTCATATTACATATAAAAAAGGTATGAACGTATTACAATTTTTTTCTTCTATAAATTTAATATGCTGAGTTTTTTTTTTTTTTTTTTTTTTTTTTTTTTTATATAAAAGAAATTCAAGTTAAATGGGCGAAGCACGGGCCCAACTCAAGCACGACATGAGTATGGCATGATTCAATATGGACTTAAACTTTGAGCAGGGATCAAAGATTTTGATAAATGGACTAGTACGACAAGACTTGATTGATTAAACAAACTGACCCAACCCAACCCGAATAACATACGTAGGGTCGGCCCTTGGTCAGGGCAACTGGGGCCATCGCATGGGGCCCACAATTGATTGGGGCACACAAAAATCATTAGTCCATATATATATGCATATGAAAAAAATAAATAAAAACTAAAAGTAAAAAGGCATATGTGATATTAGTTGAGAGTTTTATTGGTATTATAAAACAATAATAAAAAGAAGAACAAACTACAGTAAACCCCCCAACCTATAGGGTCATTTATGAGTTCATACCCAATTTTGGGGACATTTACGAATACATATTCAACTTCTTAAAAAATCTACAATTTGCCCCCTCCGTTAGTGAGATTGTCAGAAAATCCGTTATCTGCCTATGTGGTATTTATGGAATCTATTTTTTAATTGACGTGGACTTACAAGTGGACAAATAAATAATAAAAAATTATTTTACTGTTTAAATTATTTTAAAAATTCTCTCTCTCTCTCTCTCTCTCTCTCTCTCTCTCTCTCTCTCTATACCACCAAACCCTCCTCCGTCTAATCCACTTGTACCACCAATTGTCATGGCATAAAGATCAATTTGAATGCAATAAAGAATTAAAATCCCACCCTGTGATACTTGCTTTTTGCCATAAGCTCCTTCATTACTTCCTTATTGCTTTTAAAATCCCACCGTGTGGGCAATCTCCGGTGATGCAACGTGGCTAGATGTTCCTTGCAACTCGCAGACCCAAGTCCCCTAGTTCGAACGATGATGGCGATGTTGCAAGATGGTGAGAGGAACAGTGTCGACGACGCGTGGCAGATTTGGCAGAATCGCTATAGGCGCGTCGGCGATATCTCCGGCTTCGGGATGCATCGTCTTAGCCAGTTTGTGTAGATCGGAGGCTTGTCGGTACGATGATGTTGGCGGTGTCGCTTGAGGATATCAGAAAAGTCTCAAACTAGGCATTGCAGCAACTGCCAATTTTCCAGATCGGAGGCTTGTTATTTTATTACGTAGTTTAGACTGGAATGGAGGAGGGATATGGGGAGATGTTGAAGAAGGCGACGAGGGTTTGGTGGTCTTCTTAGTTTTGCTGGATCGGAGTTGTGGGCAGTGGCGGATCCAGGATTATGTGGCCAAGGGGGCTTAGTGTAAAAGTTCTGAAATTTTTCTACAAAGAAAATAATGCTAAAAAGATAGAAAGATAGTACTTCCATTCATAATTCATAACAAAACCAATAATACAAGTTACAATTGTCAATGACGAGTTTTCATATTTTGAAAACGTTGCATTATAGTTTCGTTATCAATACAAGCAAAAACATCTCTCTCAATGTAAACAATCAAGCTATCATTCAACCATTGATCTCTCATTCTGTTGCGAAGTGGATTTTTAATAATATTCATGGCGGAAAATGCCCTCTCCACTGAAGCAGTTGCAACCGGTAAAACCAAAGTCAATGTAAGAAGCAAATACACATAAGGAAATATTTCATGCATTCCTTTCTCCACCATTTTTTCCGCAAGACTACTAATCTTTTCCAATTGAGAAAAATCAATACTCGAACGCATATGATGAACATAAACACCAAGTTGATCTTCAAGCATCAATAAGTCTTTATCCAAAAAATCATAAGGATAAAATTGAGCAAGACGAACTAGCTTTCATTTGTCAAAAGCTACAGAGTTATTTTTCAGACTCAAGCATGCCAAACAAGTAAGTAACTCAGTACTTACCTCGTTGAAGCGATCATTTAGTTCTGCAAGTTGTCAATCAATTACATGAATAAAGATCTCTACACGATAACGATGATAATTTGTCTTCATTGGAGCATTACGCCGTGACCTCCCTGGAATTACATATTCCTCATCCATGGTAGGAACTATAATATCATGTTTGTAACAAAACAAAGATACTTGCTCAACCAATTCTTCAAACTCATTATCCCTCATGAACTGCAGGTTTTCCTTGCATGTTGTCACTAAACTCATTGCACTCACAATGTCTTGATCTTTCTTTTGCAATGCTAGAGACAAAGTGTTTGTTATTCCCAATATAGCTTTCATTAAAAATAAGTGAAACACAAACTCAAAAGATTGTATTTCTCTCCATAACTTATAGGCTTCACCCGAACTATCATTAGGATTATCATCAACAATCATTTGAAGCACATTCACCACAGATGGGAACATAGAAATGATACTAATCAACGTACCATAATGTGAGTTCCATCGTGTATCGCCGGCACGTTTGAGAGTAGTTTCTTGATTTAAGACCCGCCCCGTTATCAGACAATCTTCTTCAAAAGCTCTCACAAGCTCTTCTTGGTATTGTTCTCTAAGTGCATCCCGACGCTTACAAGATGCTCCAACAACATTAACCAAACTATTAGCCGTTGTGAAAAAAGAGTTGACATCAATGTTTTTCTTTGCTACCGCAACAAGAGCTAGTTGAAGTTGATGAGCAAAACAATGAACATAAAATGCACAAGGTTGTTCTCTCAAAATCTTTGTCTTAAGACCATTGAACTCACCTCTCATATTACTAGCTCCATCATAACCTTGTCCTCGTAACTTGGGAAAGCTCAAATTCGCGGAAGAAAAGAATTCATCAATGGCTTCCTTTAGTGCACTTGAAGTAGTGTCGGTCACATGTTGAACCCCCACAAACCTTTCAATTATTTGTCTTTTGTCATTCACATAACGAAGCACCATCGCCATTTGCTCCTTTATTGAAACATCCCATGCTTCATCCACCATTATTGAAAAATATCTATATTTTACATCACTCAAGATAAGACCAATGGTTTCTTTAGCACAAGAATTGACAAGATCTTTTTGAATTGAAGGAGCTATTAACTTCAAATTTCCTGGAGCATTTTCCAACACAACGGCCTTAACTTTTTCATCATGATCCGCAAGAAATTGCAAGAGCTCTAAATAATTCCCTCTATTACTTGATTGTGCACTTTCATCATGACCACAAAAAGAAAGACCTTGTCGCAACAAATACCTAGTGCACTTAAGTGATGCATTCAAGCAAGTGCGATAAGCCGTGCGAGCTTGGCTTGTTTGCTTGATGACAATTGTTTCAATGTGTGTAGTTTGATGCATCAAATTGTAAGCAACTTCTCTAGCTTGGTTGTGAACACTACCAACCGGTCCAACATGAAGGTTAAATCTTTCTTTTGCCTTCTTCCAATTATTGAAGCCTACCCCAGTGAATGCATCACCACCCACTTGATCAAAATTTGATTTGAAGAGATAACAATGAAGACAAAATGCAGCATCTTTAGCAATACTATATTCCAACCAATCATGATCATCAAACCAATTAGCAATGAAGCGTCTATTAATTCCTGATTGATTAGTTTGTGGAAATTTATAACTTCTAGGTTGACAAGGTCCCTTTTGTAGATATGCTCTTTGGATCTCATCCCGAAAATTAGGACTATAATCCGCCATTCGAGTTCTTAGTCCAGGGTCTGCCTGAAGATTAGCTAAGATGTCATCTACTTCAATTGGTCTTGCATTTGAACTACCCGGATTAGACGGAGAAGGACTATCTGTAGACAATTTTCTTTTAAAGAATTGTTCCATAAATCTACAAATCAATTAATTCAATCAATCATTAATTTTTACCCACATTATCATATGAATATGAAAATGTCAATAACCCACTCTCAAAATTCAATATACTCCCTAAACCCATATCAATCAATATTCAATATACTAAATTATCATATCAAATATCAATTAATATTCAATATACTCAATCAATTCACATTTTCAATCAAGCATAAACTCAATCAATCTACATTAATATGATTATCACTATGATTCATATCATATCCATAAATTTCATTACATACAAAAAAATCAATATTATTCATATCCATAAATTTCAAGCATTAACTCAATAAAACATAAATTCAATCAATCAATATGATTCATATTCATAAATTTCATTACATAAAAAAAAAATCAATATCAACAACAATATATATTATCAACATATCCATAAATTTCATTGCCAAGCTTACTTGTAGTTGAAGGGCAGAGGGAGGAGGACGGCGGCGAATGGCGGTGATTGGTGGCCTAGCGAGGAGTTGATGATGGAGGTTGTTGGAGGTTGGGAGGTTGGGGGAAAGGTTAGGGTTTGAGAGGGTGGGGAGAGGAAGTGTGAAATTGGAAATGAAGGGTTTGGGGCTGCTATTCAGATTCGCAAGGCTGGGTTGTTCTGTTTTTATTTTTTATTTTTTATTTTTAATAATTTTTTTTAAACTGGCCCAAAATGACGTCGTTTTGAGGCCAGGTCATTTAAAAAAAAATTGACTGAGCTTTTGCCAAACGACGTCGTTTGGCAAGGCAGTTTTAAAAAAAAAATTACGCTCAGCGCGCGCGCACAAGGCGCAGCGCAGCTGCGCAGCAAGCTTCGCCTCCTCTCCTGGGATTTTCATCGAGTAGTTGGCGTGCATCCAAGGGGGCTTCCAGCAGCTGTCCAAGGGGGCTTCAATGGAGTCCCATGCCATTTTTCCAACCTTCCAAGGGGTCGTCCGACCCCTGTTGTCCCAACGTGGATCCGCCACTGGCTGTGGGGAGGGGGGGGGAGGGGTCGGAGGTTAGGTTGGAAGGAAGGGGGATATCGGAGAAGATGAGTTTTTATTTTTATTTTTTATAAATAATTGTTTTTCATTTATTTTATTAATTTTATTTCCCACATGAAAGTCCACGTCATAAAAAAAAAAGGGGTCTTATTTTGACACGTTAGCATTTAACAGACTCACTAACGGTTTGGCTAAAGGAGTGGGCAATTTGTAGGTTTTTCCATGACGTTGAGTATATACTGGTAAATGTCCCTAAAATCAGGTATTTACTCGTAAATGACCCTATAGATTGGGTGGTATACTGTAGTTTTGGATGCCAACATATCTAGAAGAAAAGGAAGTCAACATACTTATTGTTTTCCCAAGAAACAAAACCTCTCCGTCTGCAGCTTTGCCTTGGAATCAATTTTTAATTCTAATTCTCTCATAAACAAGTGTGGAAGGAACAAAGCAATACTTTTAAGTTGGAAGCTGATTATTCTCTCTGAAATTGGGATATGTTTCTAAATATAGTGGTTGCTTATAGGATATTACCGACTATACTTGTGATAGTGGCATCTGCTGAAAGAAGTTTTTCTAAATTAAAATTATTAAAATCTTATTTGTGGACCACCATGGCTCAAGATAAGCTAAATGGACTAGCTATATTATTCATTGAAAGAGATATGTTGGAAAACATTAAATATGATAATATAATTGATGATTTTGCTTCTAAAATTACAACAATAAGACATTTTAAACGATCTTTTGTGATTAGGATTTCATTGCTATTTTTTTTTGTAGGTGCATATGAAGGTGAAGCATAGGAACATATAAGTTAATTTGTTGTTGATTGTAATGTTTTCAATCGGGTACTCTTTTTCCTTCATTTGAGGTTTTGTTCCCATTGGGTTTTCCTCAAACAAGGTTTTAATGAGGCCCAAAGTGTTCTATATTATCGGTTGTAAACTCTTATAATTTTAGTAAAATTTATTATTTGATAAAAAAATTGTAATTATATTTATTTATTTGTTTATAAAGGGCACATTCTTAAACTTGGCCCTGGGCCTTAAATCACCCAGGGCCATGTTTGACATCTCTACACACCCAAAGCAGTACAAGTTAACTTCTACTTTGTTCGATTTTCCTTTCACTTTTTGTAATTGAACTTCAATATGCGTCCAAAATTAGATCCAAAATTTAATCTCTCACAATTTAATCACTAAACTAATTTTTTTTGTGTAATATGTAACCAAAAAAAAAAAAAAAAAGGCCCGATACTCGAAATATAATTAAAAAGCCCAATATTTTCATGAAGAATTCACTATGATATATGTGATCCATGCTTACTAGCATGAAAAAATAGATACAATTTTGCTATTTCACTTGAACAGATTGTCTATTTGGTCCTTGTATTGAGCCACGATTCTATCCCTTCGAATTTTCATGGTTGGAGTCATTAAGCCACTGTCAATCTGCAATAGAAACAGAAATGTATAATCAGTCAAGAAGTCACAGCAGTAACTTGCAAGGCTAAGGACAATGCTGATGGCATGGATGTTTTACCGTAAATGGTTCGTCCGCAATTAAGATTGGTCCAATTTGAAATGAACGCCCTGAAGTCCTGCTCAAAAATAGAAGGAAAATTATGAGCATGTTTACCAAACAGCTAAACCTTCTTAGACAACTGAGTCTCAAACATGGCAGAACCTGTCCAAAGCTTAAAGTTATAGGCCATTTGGTTCATTAAGGCGGACTAAGGGTTGTGAGAAATTAAAATTAATCGTCCCGGAATAATTTGCAGTTTTCGACATTTTGGTTTAGACCCCAAAAACTTAAGCTGTTAAGGAAACGACATTGCTAATCAAGGTAGCAATATTTAGTGCACTTCTATGGGACTTTCGTTTACTGAACCCAATGAGAAAAAAAAGATAAAACAAACATAACAAAACTTGCAGTCATGCAAACCTTGTCCAGTATTATCCAAATAATGAACCTAGAAAGATTTTACCATTTTCTCAATTCTTCGTATAACAAGTTTGTCATTCTGTCGTTACTTAGGTCAGAGGCATCAATATCTACAAGAGACAACTTTTTGGCTGCAATCAAAGCCTCTTCTTTGTTTGGAACAATTATTGCCCCAAGGCGTCGTTGATCCTACATATATGAACGCCCACCACATACATAATCAGTATATCAACAATATAAGTGGGAGAACGAAAACAAACTGAAACTGATATTGGATTAACCTGGCCAATGACAACAATTTGTTGAATTAAACTACTTCTCAAGGCAGCTTCCTCAAGCTCTGCCGGTTCAATATTTTCCCCTAGTTGAAAAATGCCGACAAGCTCAGTTGTAAAAAGGAAAAGGAATGAATGAATAAAAAAAAAAAAAAAAAAAAAACAAAATATGAGTTGCATTTATATTCATAAAGTAGACTTCAATCAAAGATAGTTAAGAGGAACAAGAAAGTAAACACCTAAATATTTTTCTTGAGATCCAAATGTATAAATAAATAAGAGCAGCCTGCTACTGTATAGTGTCAGGCTAGAGCCTGCAATAATTTGTTCTTGTATAGAATAGCTTAACCAGAAAAAATTAAAACATTTATGAAATAGAATAAGCTCAAGTTCACCATTACCATAAACACAAATGAATTTTAGAATGAGCAAAGTTCTCTGTGCACATAAATTCATATAGTTGAGATATCTGGAAAGATGCAAGTGAATACATATACCACCATAGCATGACTATCTATCTATCTATCTATCTATCTCCATGAAATATAAACATGCAAGACTATTTGCATGTGACGGAAAAACTTAAGATTTGGCATTTAAGTTTAACAGAAATGATTACATTCAGCACTTAAATTTTCATACAATCTTCAATACTAATCATGGGATTTTTTTATACTTTTAGTTTCAAATTTTCTTTATTTTCAAGTAACTAGTAAGAAGATCCATGATAAATTTGCAGAAGAAAATTAAGCTATTAGTATACCTGTTGAAAGAACTATAGTGTCCTTGGCACGTCCTTCAAGGACAACCACACCTCCACAACGACGACTTCGCCCTGTTGAATGGTGAGGAGCAATCCAGCCTATGTCTCCAGTGTTTAGCCAACCATCATCATCCAGAACATGCTTTGTAGCTCCTGGATTCTAGTCCATACATGAACAAAAAAGGTCACAAAACATATAATTAGGTAAGGGAAGAGTATGTTGAATTTGGATAGTACTAAAAAGCAAATTCAAACTGTAAGAATTAAGTTCAAAAGAAATTCGAAATATGAAGACAATAACTATGAGATTTCTCAAATATATTTCTCCACCCACATTCCTAACCCTATTTGCACTTCATGTATAACCAAGAAGGTGTAGATTAAACTTAAGGACAATGGAAGTCTACATATAGACAAACAGGCATAGACATGTATATAGATACACACAAATACACATATATATATTGGTACACATGTAGGAATGTGAACAATAAAAATTATTGATACCTTGTAGTATCCTTTCATCACTGGTGGCCCCCTAACTTTTAAAATGCCACTTAAACCAGGGGGGAGAACTTCACTAGTTTCAGAATCTACAACTTTGAACTCTATATGTCGAATTGGATGCCCAACTGAACCAACAACCTTTAAGAAAGCGCACAAAAGAGAGAAAAGAAAAGTCTTTTAAGAATAGAACTAAAAGAAAAGTCTGAAATGTCTGAAGACATAATCCAGTGCCAACAATTTCAACAGACTTATACAACCACAAAGTAATCATTGTAAATTTCAAATACAATTGTAAAAACCAAAAAAAGATAAAGTTGATATATGGAAACTGAGTAATAACTTTGCACTAGCTATAGGATAATTCTAGCAGTATGGGAAGTGATTGCTTGTTCATGGCATGACCAGTAATTTAAACAGAATGGCATCCTCATTTGTGAACTCTTTTATGTTTGTTATCGATTCCTCAGGTGAAGACAAACAAAAGTATATCAAGTGCAACTCAACAACACAAACTAACACTCCCCTTGTTGAGTAAGTCCACAGAACAAGGAAACCAAATTGGGCCGTACACATAATTTTAAATAATATTTCTTACATTACAGTTTGGTCGTCGAGCAGCAACAACAGGAGAAGTCTCTGTTAAGCCATATCCATTCAGCAGTTTCACGTCAATTGCCTGCAAGCATACAACCCTAAAATGATAGCTGTTATCCAAAACATCTATTGGGCAAGAAAAATATGAGTGAAAACCAAACCTCAAAAAATTTATCAACATGTGAAGGCAGACAACCTCCTCCACTGATGCCAGCCTGCAGGAAGCCACATAATTCCTTTCTAATCAACACCACAATATCTAGTTTTATCAATCAGATATGCTTAAAAAGATCAATAAAAGTAAAGAGAGAGTGCAGATTCCCTTCTGAAACAGAGTTACCTCTGCAAATGAGAAAACGAAATGTAAAAAGATTTCTTTTAGTGAAAGTAATCACTTCAAGAACTTTTTATCTGGCTTAATCTATGAAGGTAACCATGGAATACCACTTTACAAAAAGTCATGTAATAGTACAAAGAAGCTACAAATAACAACTCAGACATAAGATGACCTTTGATATTCCCAGAGCAGAGTGAATATTTCTATAAACTAGTTTCTTTCCCAACACATGCAAAGGCCATAGTAATGCAGCAATAACTCTTGCCCATAACCAATCTGATATTGAAACAAGATATGGTGGTTGCTTCTGGTTCCTTGTCAAACATGTCCCCTATAAACCAAATCGAAATCAGTCAATGCAATTAAGTTTGGCTCAACAGATTGATCATACGATTCAAAAAGATTCCATAAAAAAAAAGAAAAAAAAAAGAGCAATTGAATTGTTATAAAAGACCCATTTAACAGTTGGGTCATGCATTTCAAGGTTATTTGAATTAGTATATAGATTCCAACAAAGCTGGTGTTTCTCTTTGTGTGACCTCTTTGATGTCAAGGCATAATACGTTATTGGACCATAGTGCATGAACATGAGCATTGACCAACGATGTGTAGCCAAATCTATCAAAGATAATAGGTCTGTTGATAGCACCTTCCTTTGGGGTATTTACAGAACCCTTTCCTATCTCCACAAACTAAGCTAAGTATGAAGGAGATAAATATAAGTGGGGTTACCTTGAGGGAACCCACAATCATTTACTTTGGGTACAGTGGTTTGACCAGCAGTAATGTTTTATTCTTTTACAACAATCTCTGTTTACTAAGTATCGACATATTTAACTTTAAAAAAAACAACCACAAATACGAAGCAAAACACATGTCCCTGTTAATTACTAACAGGGAGCAATTCGACCATACAGAAAGGTTTAATTTAATTGTCTTACAGCAATAAGACGCCATGAACCCATTAAAGAACAATGAAATAGTTACGTCATACCATGGCAGACTTATATCATATGTTATTAACTGATTTTTCCACAAAATAACAAATTATTAAAACAATCAGATTATCAGTAATCGACACGAAAATGAAATAGAAAAATAAACATGGTGTGTACTGAATGTTTGTTTGGAAATGAGAATAACAAATAACAAGACTTGTTAAAGAAGACTAAAATCTCAGATAATGAACCTCATAGATCCTCTTAAATTCCATGTATGCCAAACTGATCCTTATGAATGTAAGTGCAACAAACTTAAGAACTGTAGAGCTAGAAGAAATTTGTTTCTGAATCCCGCTGCAAAGAGACAAAATAAAGAATTTAACATTAACAAAAACAAAGAAAAAAAAGGAATCTACTCTATCTCACCTAAACAAAGGTCTAGATATACCAGTAAACTATGCAGAGCATTCATCATTCCATCCTTATAATTACAGTACAACATTTCAGAATTGAGGAAATTTAAAAGAGATCTAAACAGACATCTCAGTTTAACATCTGAAGCTAATTTGATCTTTATTTGGCACATCCACCACATGATTTTAACCAGGCAATGGAAACTCAACCTTACCGGTAAAGAAATGAAAGGGGTTTCAACAGATAACCTTATATGAGCATCAACTTTAAACAAACATTATGAACCCAAGAAAAGATATACCTGTAAAGTGTCTCATACACTAAAGGAACCGAAATTACATAGTTTGGTTGATATTGCCGCAAATCATCCTATCACACAATAAAAGCACCAATCAATTTCAACTTATAAAATCATAACGAGACCTAAGTATTCCATTTCACACTAACAGATTTTCTTTTAATTCTTTTACAAAATCACCGCCAAATAGTATAAAGTTAATATAGAAAGCAAGAATTGTTAAGGCAAGCCCTTAGAGTGTCTTGCCACTAAATTTTAGCTCTGAAATAGCATTTCCAAAAAATTGAATATACCAAAGAAAATAACATATTGCAAGAAAATCAGATATAATAATACCTTCAATTTCCTCACATTTGTGTAAAACTGCTCAATGCCACACGTAAAAGCAAAGTACTCACAAGCTCGTTCATAGCAATGCCAAGGTGGGAGCATGCTAAGAAATTTGTCTCCACCTACAGCAGGTACAATGTCTGAGAGGTTCTTTATCTGGGAAAAAACAACAAAAATAGCCGCAATATGTGTCAAATATAATTTATTACGGCAAGTACTGGTTTCAATTATACCAAAAAGAAACTGGGGAAGGTGTTTCAAAATGCAGCAAATACTTGCCCAAAATGCAATACAAGTAAGAAAAGTGGAAAACAAAAGAAATAGTTAATAGAACTGCCTCTTTCAACAATCATTGACATACAAACTCCCATAATCATCCCAAAAAAATACAACTAAAAACAAAACAAAAGTACCCAAAATCTATCTCTATCATAGAACGTTCAAAGGTGGGGCCTACTATTTTAGATATTATATCTTCGTCAAATATACACCCGAAATACCAACCTGATGCATCAGATTTCGATGGGTGAGGATGACTCCTTTTGGGTTGCCACTTGTTCCACTTGTATATACTAATGCAGCAACATCATCTGGTTTGATAGGTTCATGCAGACAGTACTGCTCTGCAATCAGAATATTTACATTAGAGGCTGCATACTGACCAACCATATCGTAGTCCATTTACAGAAACAATAGAATAATGCTTAGAAGATAAACAGTGGGATACAAGTCATTCCATGAAATAACTGTCTCTGTTTTCCAATTTCTAAGTGGCATGCCTTTCCATCAGAGGGTATTCTGTCGCCTAAATTTTTTGTAAACTTTATGGCATACCAGATGACTAATGCCAAAACTATAATCACAAGAGCCCCAAGGTTAACCCTTTAGGTGAATTTGTAATTCAACGAAAAAAGCTTACTACTTATCTGGGGCAGAGCAAAGTCAAAGAAAAGAAAAAACACAAGAAACTGACCAAACAATCCAATCCAAGTTGTTTGGGGTCAGACTTGAAAGTTACAAGACCAACTGGTTCAACCAGTTGTTCTGTCAAGTTTGGGGTTTAAAAAACCAAAAAGCCAACCCAATCCAATTCATAAACTTAGGTATTTTAATGAGGTGTTGTAATTTTTATGGGATTGCGTATTATGCTTTGCCTGCACTTAATTATTATGTTCCAGCCCTAAATCATGATTTATTTTGTCTAATATTGCATGCTTTGTGATAACAAGTAACACTGAAATTATGAAAAGGGCTTAATGGATAAAAGAAAAAGAAAGAGATGATTGGCGTACAAGCATCATCAGAATTAAGCACGGTAAAGGATATAAATGTATTTCAAGGCAAAAAAGGAAATTACTAACAGAAACAGATGGATGACATACGTTTATCATCAGAATCAAGCATAATCTTACGACTATCTCGTCCCAAATCTAGAATCTCCTTGTAGTTAAAAATAGGAACCTTTCCTTCACTGACCAGGCTTGACTTCTCACCCCATAACAGAACAATAAATTTAATAGGCTTGGAATAGAATTCTTCTGAAAATCGATTTAACAATTCAGGACTGTCCACAGCAAGTGCAACACTGTTGTAGCAACGAAGTTAAACTCAAAATTATTCCATGGAGTCAGCAATGCTTTTGTAAATACATAAACTCATTCATTATAGTTCCATGTACTTTCATTGATCTCAACCAAATCCCACTACTAACTCCATAGAATGGGAAAGTTCAGATTAAGATACACAATGAATTCAAACAGATATGAACTATCTTATTCATTATATACATATATTATTCAAGAAACAAATTTGCACTCATTGACTCTCAAAAAGAGATCTGACGTGAAAGGAACCTACTAAAACAAGTTGAACTGAAAAAACAAATGGTGTAGAACAAAAATAAAAAATCAAGAATAGAATACATACAACATAATGCATAAATCATATATTTAGTAGACGTCGGTACTATACTTGAAATAAATAGAATTTTAAAGGGAGAAAACCTATCAGAATGATTGTATATTTGTGATAACTCTTCAACGGATGATCTCGAACCTCTTGCCACATTGATTGCTCCAGTTGCCATTATACCTAAATCAAAATTAATCATGACAGTAAGCTTTTATTCTCAGAGATGAAGCTTTTATTCTCAGAGATGCATAAAGGAGATATATGAATAAATTGGCACAGACACATAATATCATGTCCTAGCATATTAAAATTTTCTTTAATGAATTTGATCCTAGAATAGAACTAATCAGCTAAGCATTGTCCAAAGTATCATACAGAATTTTAAAAAAATTGTTTCAAGATTAATCTAAAAATAGGAAGTGCTTTTTAGCCAAACACATGGGTTAAGTGATATTGTGATAGCCGCATGTCATACGAATATAGCATTATATTCCTCAACTTGTATTCTCCAACGATAAGAGTTTAGACCCAGCAGGTTCAAGTTTGTTCTATAAAACAGATACTATTCGCTTGCCATGTGGATGGCATGGATTGAAACAGCTGCATACTGGCCACAAAAATACAGTGAATGGTTGATACAAGGGAAGTGCAAAGTTTACAGTCCCTCTATTAGCAAAAGTTAAAAGATAGAACTAATTTCTTTAAAATTAATATGCACAATGATGTCAGGTGAGATGTTTGAGAAAAGATTATCTTAAGGATTTTCTGCTATATTTTGCTACATAGAGACTATGCACTTGACATCCTGTCAAGCATGCTTTCAGTTCATATTCCAAGCAACAAACCTGAAGAGCAAAATGACTATATCAGAGCAAGTGTGGCCATAGAGAAAATGAGCATACCACATCCTAAAGAAGTAATACAAGATGGCTATAAAGAATTGATTTAATGAAAGATTTTTTAAGCTACAATGTCAAATACCCTGATCCGCAACAAGCCAACGGCATGAATTATCAGCAAAAAGTGCAATTTTTTCTTCTGGCTTTACTCCAACAACTCTCAGCCCTTCAGAAAAATCCAAAATTTCCTGCTCAAGCTGCACAATTAAAGAAACAAAAGGACAGACACTCAATAGATCTGTAAAATGCTATACATGAAAATAGATTAAATGAAAAATAAAGTCAGAGTATGAGATCATAAAAAGTTTGCAAGAGTAAATTGATATAAACAACCAAGTTGATGGCCAAGTCAATGTTACAAAAAGTATACGTATGTCACTGATTGTTATTCATTTTTAATAGAAATTTATACTTACGATCAAAGAAAATTTATTAAAGTCAAAGAAAGAACAAGGAATCTTTGTCTGTTCAATGTACTCCCACTAGATCTACTAGTTACAAAACAGGAACCTTAATCATTGCATTAATAAATCCCTATATCCTGGTGAGTGGGTGACAAACAAAAAGAGCAAATAAGTCATGATAAAATAAGCACAAAAGAGATAATCAAGAATAAGAAAGGAAAATTAACCTCTTTATAAGTTAAATTTGAAGGTGGGTCATGGTATGGATCCACCAATGCGACACGGTCACCATATTTCTCAGCTGAAGATCTCCAAATGTCAGGAACTGCTCTCCACTCATCAGATACCGAAGCATCATTAGCATCTAGTAACACACTTTCTAGAAATGGGGAATATCTTCGTATCTGCATTTCCTCTGTCTGAAACAGGAGTTTCATTTAGTACAAATACATGAAAGTGCCCACTAGCTGTATAACCATCTGTATATCAGACATTCAAAGCCTTCTACAGTTAAGGGAAAACAAACAAAAACCTTATAACATATGCACAATGAGATCAATAAGACCAAAATGGTTGTATCCTTTTGAATATGGCATGATGGAGATAGATCATAGTCATGAAATTCCATGTATCTCACTTTTTGAAATTCTAGAGCACAACACTTACTGCCTCTATGAATGTGGAATACTTTAAAGCAATCCAGCAGAGGGATAAGAAAAACAGATCAAATAATCTAGACAGAGAGATGATAGCTCTAGAAAACTCTGGAATTAATACACATATCAAGTTCTACTTCCATTTTTGAAAAGAATCAATGTAAGAACTTTAACAAAACCAAAGGTGACAAACACAGAACCTGATTGCCTAGTACGTTTAGTCAGAAGTACATTATATTCCTCAAAAACAAAAAATAATATCTTACACCTCATTTTAAAAGTCCAGAAATGTCAACTAAGCTCCTAATTCAGAATATTGATAGAATTGGAGACACGGTAACATTACATGCCAAAACACCAAACCTAAATTTGTATTTGTTGGCGAGTCCTTACTTAGTTAGGATTTTGGTTCCTTATTTAGTTAGAATTTTGATTACTTACCAATTATTATTTAGTCCTATTGTAACAGAGATTTGTTTCCTATTGTAATTTAGATACATTTCCTCTTTTTTTTATGCTCATATTCTCATTCTTCTCCAATATGGAGGTATTTATACAAGTACAAAGATGTGTTAACTCTATATAAAATAGGAAATATATCTAAATTACAATAGGAAATTAAATAATAATTGGTAAGGAACCAAAATTCTAACTAAATAAGGAACCAAGATCCTAACTAGGACTCGCCAACAGTATTACAGCTAGACCAACCAAAATAACGAAACCAACTGCGAATGAAAAGGGTATTTAGAAATCACCTTTGATTGGCAAAACAGACGAAATCCACGATTGAGAGAAAACCCCCCTCGGCTTCCATAGCATTTTCTAAGAAAGATTTGTCTGCTTCTGAATTTATGGTTAGAACAGAGGAATTGGAGGGCATGCCCACAATCAAAAGAGTTTCTCAGAATGGAGTTGGGCGTTAAGAAAATGGTGGTGGCCATTTGATTGACCCAAGCAGAAGCAGAAACTGAAACTATGGAAACTGGGTTCATCTGAGCTCCTAATATAGCTTTCTCTATGCTTCCCTTTTCATATATGCACAGAAAGAGAGGGAAAAGAAGACGACAAGCGAGAAAAACTAAAAGATGAGAGTAGTGATAGTGTTTGTGAAAAGTACTGTGACAGATTACAGGAAGTTGAAAGAGAAAACAAAAACTGCAGAAAATGAATGAGTACCAAGGACAACGTTTTTTCAGCCGACTCGATGGAAGTTGTTGACGTCCGAACAAGAACGTGAAAGAGATAAAGGTTTTATATTTGATAATTTATGAAGAAGATGTAAATTGGCTATTAATTAAACATGAAGTCGAGTTTGTCTTACGCATGAGATGGAGAGGCTCTTTCATTTCTTTATAGCCAGGAGCTTAAACGGTCACTAAGAAACAAACAGAACGACTTTTCTGTTTATATATACACCAGATAAGCGAAGCTTTTCCTGGTTTCCTTCTGCTGCGGTCGTTTCCTGAAGGGTCAAATTATATTTAGTCCCGCAAGAAATTAGTAGTTGTGTACGTGGTGAAAACCAAATATATTTCGGAATTTTGAGGTTCTATGTCAGAATTGATTTGGACTTGCGATCCAACTTGCATCCCTAAAATTACCTATGTTCCTCTTTTACCAATTTTACCATTCCTTAAGAAAACAAAAACGAATATAAAAAGAGATTTTCTATTTAAACTCCACACTTCTCTTAGTTCACCTCATGTTCTAAGTTCACCCCAACTTTTAATTTAAATTTTCACAATTTCTAAATAAACCTCACTATCTTCCTAAACTACCCTTAAATACACCACAAGCTGAAAAAATAAGAAATAAAAGATATTTTCTATTTAAACCCCACAAGCTACCTTTAGAGGAGAAAATAAGTTTATTTATTTGTATGGTGGGTTTGGGGTTGTATGAGTTAGGAAAGTGGGACTGCTCGGTGTTTAAAAGTTGAAGACATGGAAAATTGGTTTTCCAGGGGGAAAAGCTTATTACTTGTGTTGCTTGTGTCACTAATATTGCTCAAAGCCAAAGTAGAAGTACTTGTCTTTTGATATATGACGCACCCAGCAAATCGTAGGACCATTATCAAAGCTTGGGCTTCTCTTTCTCTTCTCTGAAGGATAATAAAAACCCAACTTAACAATATTCCAATGAATCTCTTGGTTTCGTGTCTTTTGAATGTGTATGTCAATTAATATAATATGAAGAAAAATTCAAGTTACCCCATACTTTCTAGAGAAAGAGAACAGTTTTACCAAAACATCAGGTATAAATTTTAAATCAAAAATCAAAAACAATCAAGCAATCAACAGCCAAAAAAAAAAAAAAAAAAAAAAAAAAAAAAAAAAAAAACAAACAAAAGAAAGAAAGAGAAAAGATCATTACAGCGAAACAATCAACAAGTCTTTCCATCAGCTTTTGCGCAGATTTCAAAGTGGTAGGCTCGTTAATGTTCAACGTCTTTAAAAGAGAAAAGTAATCTGGCATAGGATGTAGAAGAGTTTGTATTTTTTTAAAAACTTAATTTGAAGAGTTGTGAGGTGTGTGGGGTGTGTGTATAAATGTACTATGGTTAAGTATTAAGTTGGATGACCTTTTTGTCTTTTTACACAATAATAAAACTTACAGCTTAATGATTTAAGTATTGGGGTGAACTAAGAGAAGTGTGAGGTTTAAATAGAAAAAATCTATAATAAGGGTACACAAGTTATTAGAATTTGTTTTCATAAAAATTTTTTTCCATAATTTTCAATAGCTTTTCCTATACAATAACTACCACTAATCTGACACATACAATAAGATATCGGGTTGAATCGGGTTGCTGACAACCAACGCTTCCTAAGCTAGGGAAGGTAGCCTCCTCCCCTCCACCCATCTTCTCCCTTCCACTCCTCTTCTCCCATCGTTTTCCCTCCCTCTCATCCTCTTTCCCTCCCGTTTCCCTTTTCGCATTTACTTTCCTTACACACTGTTGAGGCCCAAAAAATCCAAGGTTTGGCCCAAATATATTTCTAGCCCAGTACAACATCTAACTTAGGAAGAAACCCAACTTCTGTACGCAAGAGTTCGTCATATACACTTGTACACGTGCCACACCAAGTAAATAAGCAACACGCCACGCTATAAGCTTAAGTGGGCCCAAGCCACACGAATGCCTTGGGCTTACTGAGTGAGTTGTAGTATGGATGGTAACGAGTTTTCATGAGGCCCATTAATAAGCCGAGAAATGGAAGTTTTGGGTTGCTTAGGAGCCCTGAAACTCAAGCCCATTTCTTGAGTCCAAATATGTGGGTGAACATAAAGGAGAGAAAAAATTCCAATACTCTAGGAAAATAGCCCAATACTCTAGGAAATTAGCTCATTCCCTTAATGGGTTAACAGATCACCTTAGAAAGGCCCAAGCAAACAAGGAAAATATTTGCAGTCTCCAGCACTTAGCTGGAGACAAAACCACGACAAAAGCTAAAGGCCACTCACGTTTGCAGGCTGCTAGGAATCTCTAGCACATGGCCAAAGACAAATCCCAACACAAGCTATCCAAAAAACCAAAGGATACTTGAGCAAAACACCCTTTAGACTAGCACCATTACCCACTCATTTCTTATTATGAAATAAGGGAGGAAAGAAGGTGAGGTAGTAGCCAAAAATAGGAGTTTAACACTGAAGCAGCTACGGGAAGGCCTTAAAGCTCCCAAAAATCTTGTCTTTATGTGTTTGGACAAAGGAAGATTTCACAAAAGAGGTTGAATCAAAGGAAGAGAAGAGAAATGGAGAAGAAGACTTAGCAAAATTGGAGAGAACCAACTCGAGTTCCTAGGGAAGGAGAAGCTTCCAGCGGCTATAAAAGGAGGTACCTCCTATCCATTAAACACAACCACACCCACTACTTCACCACTAGCTAAAACACACATCCAGATAGCAAACTTCATCTCTCATCCCTGAAACCTCTGCAATTTCGAGCCACATTCCTCTATCTTCTCCCATTTTCTCTTCTGGTAAATTGTTCCAGAGCTTGACAGAGCTTTCTTCAAGCTACCGAAAACTACTCAACACACCCATTGTTATTCTCCCATCTTTCTCTCTTCAATGAACCTTCTTAGAATTCCTTCCCCTTGCCTTAAAACCCTTGTTTCTCATAGGAACTCACAGCCCTCTCTCTCTTTCATGCTAAACTCATGAGTGCTTAGCTTCCATGCCACAAGCTTCTCAAGCCAAGGCAAGAATTTATTTATAAGCAACTGTTGGTTTCATTAGTAAAGGAAACCAAGGTGTTTCCTAAGGCTTAGCTACCCTTTTGAAGCACTCTTGGGGTCTAATCCTTGAACTTAGACTCAAGGGGCAATTTCATACATTTGGCTCTTTACAGCAGCGCATGCCCATCAGTAGCTACTGAAACGAAAAAGTCCCTACATAAATTGGTGACTATGCTAAGGATTAGGCCGTTATCTTCATCAATACTTCCAAGGAAGAAGTCCGAGCAATAAACCAGAGAAAATAAAAGATAAGAATATTTCCTCTTTCTTTTTTCCTTTATTGGCTATCAACTTTACAGAACAAGCATAATAAGGGTTACTGACATGTGCCTTTTGCTTGTGTCTTAGATCTCTATTCTCAAGCAAAACCAGATCTTGTATGAGGGCTAGGGGCTTAGGCAAATCCATCATACATGCCATTGGGCGAACTACACATGCAAACTCCAAAATACTTGGGGCTCCATGCCAAGCAAATATATATAGGCTTAATTATGTACATGCCCCCTGTGCTCTCAAACTTATCTCAAATTACCACCTGTGTTTGCAAACGTCTCAAAATACCCCCAACCTTTTAAAAACCGTCTCACGTTACCCGTTCCGTCAATTTTTTTGACGTTCCGTGAGGAATGTTACTGTTCATCCCCTCTCTCCCCCAAAAAATTCTAGAACAGTAGCCCTCCCTTTTGTTACTGTTCATTGCTTATTTACCCTCCAAAACTCAGAAATTTCTCCTAACCAACACAACTAGTAGCAAGAACAGCTCGAGAGGTTGAAAAACCATACCTGGATCAAAGCAAATGGTGCTCGGAATCGCCTGAACGAGCGATGAAGATTTTGGGTAAAAACCGGCCAATTTCTTGCTTTTTCGGCGATCCAGATGGCGGTTGGCGGCGGCTGAG